TATATACACAAAAGAAACAGATTATCAAAGCAAGTTTTCAGCTTGTAAGACAATTTTTTTGATCAATTAAAAGGTATCATAATTCTCTAATGTACCAAGTAATCCTAAAACATGATTTGGCCCTTTAGTTTTAATTAATCTAACGAGATGAATTTCAATCCAAATAGGCATTGATTATATTTTTGAAACGCCACATTCAATGAAATCTGTCATATTTTTTTAAATTCTATTGAATAAATTTAAATATTTACAATTAAATTAATTAAACATGATCGTCTTTCAGTATATTTAATAGTGAATAGGAAATTTAAACTGATATTACTCGTTCATTTAATTTTTCAAGAAGTTTTTATGACAATTAAAATTTTTTTAGTTTCATTGCTATTTTGCTACATTTATAGAGAAATATGGATTCCTGTTTGATAAATTATAAATATGTTTATTGTTCATCTAAATCTTTAAATTAAAGCCCATTAATAACATAAAAATCTTGAATTTCTATTTATTTCTCTAAATAATTTTTATTTTTTAAAGATTCTTTTAATTAAGATTTAAATATTTTTGTTAATTTTTGTTTTGGTGATTGTTTTTCAGAACAATTAAATGAAGTTTATTGAGAATTTTAACAAGATTTAGATTTTTGACTGTTATTATAAAATAATTCTTCAAGAATTTTAAAAGTTTATGAAATGTAATTTATAAAATCTTGAAGTATAGGGTTTAAAGTATCTTTTTTTCTTTTCATCAAATCTTCCATTTCAGTTTGTTTAACTGATGAAGAATTTTCTAAATGATCGATATACCCATAAATTTATACTTTTTATTCATTTATGATACTTTACTCACTTAATGTTTCCATAGTATTTTTATTTTGCAAATTGTGAATTGCTTTTCCTTTTAATTTATAAATATCATCTCTTTCAGATTCAATACTTTCATAAGCATTTTCTTAAATAACTGAATAAGTTTTGCTGGGTTCTTTTTTTTAATTGTTTTATGATTTTTTATTAGTTGAAAACATCATTTATGATTTTGTTGTTTATAAATTAGTTTTTGAAGCAATATTAGAAAAAGAGTCAAGAGATTTATTTAAATCTAATTTTAAAAATTCAGGTTCTTCTTCTTCATCTGAATCAAAATCACATAATGACATTGTAGTTAAGCTCTATTATAAATTTTAATTTTTTACTTTTTAAAAATTATGTTAATAAGCTTTATGATTCGTTTATTTTAATTTTATTTCAAAAGATGTTATATCAACATTATTACTAATTAAACTGTAGGAACTATGAGGTGGAGTATAGAAATGAAGTTATAAATATTTATTTAATTTTTCGTGACCCACTTTAATTGATAGTCTTATTATTTCTTCTTATAATAAAGATAGTTCTTATTTATTTTCTAATAGTTAATTTTGTGAAATGAATTCTATAGTTTATTTTTCAATTTTTTAGCCCTATTAATTTAAAAATTTTAAGGCTTAAGTATGCCAAATCTATGAATAGAAAAATAAAATACTTTAAGTTCTTTTTTATCTAAATTTCTATGTCTTAATAATAATTATTCAAGCACAGGATGATTACTCAATTAGGAAAAGCTCTCAACTTTATCAACACAAAGAGGATTGATTACTGTATAAACTTTATCTAAATCATGCAAATTATTTATTTTATTATCTTAACTCATTACTCGATAATTTTAAATATGAATCTCTCGCCAAAGATTTTTTTTAATTTTTTTACCTTAAAAAGATGCTGCTTTGTTAAGTAAGTTTAAACAGATTTGATAATGGTTTTATTTTCTAAATATGGAAGCCTAAAATAAATTTTATTTATACCATTGTAATCCAAATAATTTAATTTTCATATGATTTTATTAAGGTATCTTTCAACATAATTAAAGCTTATTAAAACTTTCCTAATTTAATGAGTACCTTTCCAAACATATATTTAATGAAATTAAATTAATTGCTAATCTAAGATATATTAACTAAACATGATAATGATTTTTCATAATTTCTAAATTTAGATTTTATAAATACTTCATTTTGTAATACAATATACTTTTGATCAAATAAAATATTGTATTATCTTCAATATTCTCTAATTCTTTGATTAAAATGTCTAATTAATTAGATTTATTTAAATGTGTGGCTAAAATGTCTAATGGCCAACATAAATAATGTAAAGCATCTTTAATTTCAGGAAAGTTATTAATTGAACTAATTTTATCAAGGTCTTAAAATAATTAAGGTTGTATTGAGATTAGTGACAATAACATTGATATCACTTCTATTAATCTACTGTTGTTTTTTAAGTTTATATTATTAAAGAATCTACCTACGCTGGCTAACTTGAATTCATCATCAATTGCTCTTAATATATTACTTATGTAAGCACCTTGCCAATGCTACTAAGAAGGCAAAATATATTATTCATTTTCTTGAACAGCAAAAATTTTAGATTTTTGTAATCCTTCTATAGATAATTAAATTTCACAAACCAAGATGGTTTTAGTAAATATATCATAACAAAGGTAAGATAACTATTTTAATATGCATTTATACTTTTGAAATGTTTGGAACTTTAGAGAACAAGGTTTAATACTCTTGTATTTCTTAATTTTGTAAAATCGTTTGAAGATAAGCAAATATTTCTGCTTATGATTATGGACATAGACCCTAAACGAAATGAAATGATGATTAGGTTTCAAAAGTGGTTTTTATCAAATTTGTTTGCTATTATTTAGTTATAATACAGACATCTGGAACTCCTAAACCTTTAAGTTAATCTAAACATCAAAATTTATATATACTTATATTTTTGTACAAATTTTCTTTCACTCCATCCACACGATTGTCTTTAAATTCAAATATATTCTTGATAGAGAGGGATTTCATAAATTTTTAAATTATTTATGAATTGATAAATTTTGTTCTATCATTTAAATGTTTATTTTCTATTAATTTTTTTAATTAACCTCTTAATCACTAATTTTTATTATTATTATATATTATTTGGAATTTAACAGAACTAATAATTATTTTTCTTTAGGCTTAAATTCATTTGCCTAAAAAGAATATCAATACAGGTCTCGTAGCTCAGTTGGTTAGAGCGTCAGTCTAATAAGCTGACGGTCGAGGGTTCGATCCCCTCCGAGACCATTTTTTTATAATTTATTGATTTCATCACAACTATATCAATTGTACATTAACGATTTATTTATTTTATAATCAAACAAAAAATTTATGTATATTAAGAGAATTACAATTTCAATTTGTATTATAAAGTCTTTTCAAAAATATTTTATAAAATAAAAATTTATATAAACAAATTTAAGTCATAGTAAAAAATTTTCTTAAATATTTTCAGATACAATGTCTTAGCTAAAATGTTAAAATGATAATCATGAAGAAAGTTCAATATTAGGAGTTTGTATAGATACAAAATGTAAATACTCTAGAGCATATTGTGTTGCTTGTAAAATTGAATTCCATAGAGGACATGAAGATAAATTACAGCCTTTTTCATAACTAAACAAGTGGATTGCTTAAAGTTTTAATTATTATCAAAATCTTCTATAATTTAATGGATCAATTCTTTAATTTTAAAATCTATTACATGAAACAATCAATTTATTATAATTTAACAAAGAAATAGATATCTTTTAGATGAGCATTGAATAATTAACAAATTTTGTAAATAAATTATTAGTAGTAGAAGAAATAGAAACTAAAGTCTCTCCTTAAATTAAATAAATTTATCAAGAAATTAATGTTTTTTAAAGTGTGTGTAAAACTGCACTTTAATAATTTTCTATAGTGAAAGATTTTAAAATAAAAGAGAAAATTTTATTAATTGGTAATATTCCTTAAATACAAACATAAAACATTTAGCTAAAGAGAGTTGATTTTTGTAAATTTTCTGAAAAATATAGAAATATTTAGAAAACTTAGATAGAAAAAGATGGAAAATAAGCTAGTGGGATTGGATATGTTATGTGTGATTATTTAATACCTAAAAATGGGGAAAGTCTATTAAGATTTAATTATGTTAGTGGATTTACTTTGTCTTTAGGATTATGTCATCCAAAGAAATTAATAGAATCAAATTTCTAAAATTAATAATTATCCAGCAAAGAACATGGGTAATTGTTTGTTCTATGATAGTTTATATTTAGTTTAAAGCAATGGTTTAATTTACTCTCATTTGGATTCATCAATTAATGGTTATAATCTTAAAGATAAGATATTTCCACAGGACATAATTGAGTTAAAGATAAATATGTAGTTACAATCGGTAACTTGGATTGTTAATTAAAAAAAAATATATGTACACATATTAATATATAATGTAGACGATGAGAATTGATACAACATAAGATTTATATCCAATAGCAGATATTTGTGGAGTAGTTTAAATAGTAGATGAATTATGAATTAAAATTTTTGTCATAACAATATTAAATAATGAAAAGTATCAAATTTGATAATAGATGTATAAGCTCAAAAAAGCAAAGATGAGCAAGGATAAAATCAAAACTTTACCTCCAAATCTAAATTCATTACCTCTAGTTGCTCTATGAACATTTCTACTATATTTAAAGATAATATCAGCATTTTTGGTCAATTCTTCAGTCTTTTAGACTAATACATCAAGTTTAACTTCTCTTTCTATAAATAAGATAATAAATGATAGAATACCAATCATTTTACGAAGATTTTGAAAAGCAGATTCATTTAGATCTTCAACAGTTTGTTCAAGATTAGTCAAAGCATCTTTTTGATCTAATTGATTAAAGCCTTTCATCATACGTGATAATTGACCAGAGAATTAGCCATGATTAAAATCTGGATCTAAAATTCGGTAAGTGATTATACTTTTAGAAGAATTTTAATATTCTTATAGGACAGCTTCAAGAAAAGCAAAAGCTTTTTCTTTGTTGCTAGTATTATGGATCATACATAGAAATCTAAGATTGGAAAAGCATGTAATACAAAAGACATATTCATTCTACATTTTACCATCATATACTTTACTAAATATTTATTTATACTAATTGGGGTTAACACTTTTGAGGACTATTCGAGCCATTTCTGTAAAATCACCTTCCAATTCTGTATATTCTGATAAGACTAAGTTTCCTTTCGAAATTAGAGCATACAGAATCATAAAATTAATAATATAAATAATGGGAAATTGTAATATTAATGAAAAAAAGGAAGATCTCATGGAAAATAATGGTATTGAGAATAATTGAAATAGTAGTTGTTTCAGTGTAGAATTTTTAGTTTATTGATGCAATAGGGAGAGGGGGATTTGGAAAAGTATGGAAAGTTAGATAAAAGAAAAATAAATAATTTTATGCTTTGAAAGTGATGTCTAAGCCAAAGTATAGAGAGATATTAAAAGATAGGATTATGTAAAAGAAGTCAGTATAGTCTGTGATGAATGAGAAGTCATTATTAAGTGGATTGAAACACAAGTATAGATAGAAATTGAAAAAAGTTTTCTGATAAATATGTAATATTCGTTCCAAGATCGAGAATATTTATATTTGGTGATGGATCTATTATCTGGAGGAGATTTGAGATATCATATAGGGAAACACAGAAGATTTAATGAAGACTAAACAAGTATTAATAGTATATAATAAACAAGAGTTTTTTAGTGGATGTATTATAGTCTCATTAGATTATTTACATCAATAAGGAATATTGCATAGAGATTTAAAACCAGAAAATTTAGTATTTGATAGTAATGGTAAGTTTGTTAAATTTTAAATAGAATAGGATATCTTAGATTAACAGATTTGGGAATAGCTAGAATTTGGAAACCAGAGAATTCTTAAGATACAAGTGGAACTCCTGGATATATGGCTCCAGAAGTTATGTGTAGTAAAATTTTATATTTTTAATAAAAGGACATAATCATGGTGTAGCAGTTGATTACTTTGCATTAGGAGTTATAGTATATGAATGCATGTTAGGTAGAAGACCTTATTTAGGAAGAAGTAGATAAGAAATAAGGGAATAAATGCTTGCTAAATAAGCTGTTATTAAAAGATAAGAAGTTCCTCCAGGATGGAGTTTAGAGGCTGCTGATTTTGCTAATAAAGTATTGATTATTCTATTATTCATTTAATTATTAGTTATTACAAAGAAAACCATAGAATAGATTGGGAAATAATGGTCCAGATGAAGTTAAGGAGCATCCTTGGTTTAAAGATTTCAGTTGGCAAAAATTAATAACTAAATAGATTATTGCTCCATTTATACCTAATGTTCTATATTTTAATATAATAATATTAGGGTAATGAAGATAATTATCTTCCTTCTGATAGTAGACATGATTCAGATGATTCTATTAATGAAGAATAATAAATTATGCTTAGAAGAAATTCTATTTAAAGTATTATTTAATTTCATTATAGATTTATTTAATGGATATGATTTTGATAATCATACTGTTAGTGTCCCTAGCAGTTAAATGGTTGTATCGAGTACTTCTTCATCTCGTATCACCAAATAACCAACAACTACTAACACCCCAAGATCAGCTAAATTATCATAAAAACTCAAAAATTGATATACATTTTTACCTTTATAAGAGGTTGGGTTTATATATTATTCATTTAACTAATCTTTATATTTATTAATTTCAATAATAATATATATACATTTATATTCAATATAATGTTATATCATATGTATTTTTATTTCAGTTCTAGAATATATAATAATAACTTATCTAGAATTCATAAAATTAATCGATTTAAAACTATTTATATTTATTTCTGTTTTAATGATTTGTATTACTCTATACATTAAATAAAAATCATGTGATTCTGTTTATAAATAGTAAACAGAAAAAATAATAATAATTTAACTAAAAAAACAACAAATATATTGTATATACAATCATATCATTCAACCTTAATGCTATCTTTTTTATTATCAGTTACTATAATGAGTATTATAAGATTATAAAATATTGATAAATGAATTAATCGAATCAATCCTTAAAAAAATAAGAAGATGAGTGAAATTATTTAAAGTAATCTAAAACATATCTGTCTCAAAATTCAGAATAATCATTGTTATATTAATTACAGATATCGTTATAAATATGCGATTATATATAAATAAAAGTAAATTTTACTATTTTACTTTTTCGGAAGATTATGATAAATTATTATTATTAAGATCTTTTTAAATATTCATTAAATTATTTGAATAATCTTCTCTTTCTAAAACCACTTTTGTATAGCAGAAGAACAGTAATTTAGGTGAATATGAATATGGTATAATTATAGGAAATAGTCTAAAAATAAGGCTTAATTTGACAATCAATATTTAATGGTAAAACTAAAGTAGAGAGGAAATGATCTTCTGTATAATTTTATCCTATCAAAGTATTATCAGTATGATCAATTTATATTCAAAAAATTGTTAATTATATTTCGTATTCATCTTTATATTCATATTCATTATACTAGATAAATGAGTATTTTAATTAGTTTTACATTTCCTAATGTCTCTAAATTAATATTATTTTATTTAAATCATTCATAATATCTTCTAAACATGTTTTCTAGCTCCTTGATTATTTTCAGAAAAAATCAACTTATTTATTATTATTATTAAGGTTAACATTTATTTTGAAGTTTAAACTTAACAATTAGGCTTGCTATTTTAATAATTAAATCAACTATTATAAAATTATCTAGCTGTGAATTTGATATCTTCATAGTTAAATTATTATGTTCATATATCTCAAAAGACATTAAAGGAATTTCTTGATTTTAAAAAATGATGTTATGTCTTTCAAAAATTAATTATTCAATTTACTACAGCTTAAGATAGATTCTTAAACACTTTTTCTAGCAAAATTTTCAGAATCAAAAAAAGAATACTTTAAGATTTAATTAGATATGATAAATCAAATTGTTTTATTTTTATTTTCGAAATATCCCCTATCTGGATAAATCCCTTTAGTTTTCTATATATTCTTCTATTGTTTGGCTAATTAATATCACTTCGTTTATGATGTTTTTAGAGTAATTATGCTGAATAAACTCCACTTTAATGTTTTAAATCATAATAATTGGGGAAATCTAAAATATGAAATGAATAATTAAATTATCACTTTTAAAAAAGTTCAAGAAATTCTAATTTTGATTTATTATATATATGACTATTGATTTATTTAATTTTAGGTTGTTCTAAATAGTTTGCAATCTAATCCTCTTAAATTTGCATTATGATAAAAATAAAGATAGAGTTTCAATATTTATTGAAAACTTGATATTAACTAATTTAGTATGAAAATATTTCAATTTTTGTATCTTATATCCCATTAAGTCTGCTGTTTGAATATGTAAAATAAATGTGTTTCCTATTATGTTTATATAGATATGCATGTGATCACTTTGTTGGTTTGATTATATTTTAATTAAATGGGAAGTATGATAATTAATTATTATAGANATATTCATATTCATTATACTAGATAAATGAGTATTTTAATTAGTTTTACATTTCCTAATGTCTCTAAATTAATATTATTTTATTTAAATCATTCATAATATCTTCTAAACATGTTTTCTAGCTCCTTGATTATTTTCAGAAAAAATCAACTTATTTATTATTATTATTAAGGTTAACATTTATTTTGAAGTTTAAACTTAACAATTAGGCTTGCTATTTTAATAATTAAATCAACTATTATAAAATTATCTAGCTGTGAATTTGATATCTTCATAGTTAAATTATTATGTTCATATATCTCAAAAGACATTAAAGGAATTTCTTGATTTTAAAAAATGATGTTATGTCTTTCAAAAATTAATTATTCAATTTACTACAGCTTAAGATAGATTCTTAAACACTTTTTCTAGCAAAATTTTCAGAATCAAAAAAAGAATACTTTAAGATTTAATTAGATATGATAAATCAAATTGTTTTATTTTTATTTTCGAAATATCCCCTATCTGGATAAATCCCTTTAGTTTTCTATATATTCTTCTATTGTTTGGCTAATTAATATCACTTCGTTTATGATGTTTTTAGAGTAATTATGCTGAATAAACTCCACTTTAATGTTTTAAATCATAATAATTGGGGAAATCTAAAATATGAAATGAATAATTAAATTATCACTTTTAAAAAAGTTCAAGAAATTCTAATTTTGATTTATTATATATATGACTATTGATTTATTTAATTTTAGGTTGTTCTAAATAGTTTGCAATCTAATCCTCTTAAATTTGCATTATGATAAAAATAAAGATAGAGTTTCAATATTTATTGAAAACTTGATATTAACTAATTTAGTATGAAAATATTTCAATTTTTGTATCTTATATCCCATTAAGTCTGCTGTTTGAATATGTAAAATAAATGTGTTTCCTATTATGTTTATATAGATATGCATGTGATCACTTTGTTGGTTTGATTATATTTTAATTAAATGGGAAGTATGATAATTAATTATTATAGATTTATGTGGTTAAGAAAGGCTTGAGTAGACATCACTAATGAAATCTAAACTGTGCCTCTCCAAAGTTATTGGAAAAGCATTTGTATAAATACTTCAAGGTGACATTTTGAAAGAATAAACATCAGCAATTTGTAATTTCAAATTATTATCTATTATTAGTAAATGTTGCGCATGATCCTTATTCTTCTCATTTTATTAAAATCTTTTAATCATCATTAAACATAAGACCATAATGTAGAAATGAAAATTATATTTTTTAGTAATTACCGGAGTACCAACATTAAGTTCATTTTAACATAATGGAATATAATTTATTATTCATTTAAAAATACCTAATGATTTTGTATTAATTTAACTAATAATATAAGGAAATCTTAGATTAAGAAGATTAGATATAAGCATTTATTAATACATTTGAATTAGCTAGTTCTAAAAATCTGGAATCCATTTCATTCACAGAACCACCAAAAGATATTACTTAAATTAAGTAGAAAGATCTATATGCAAAATTATTATTATCAGCATTCTAATTTTACATTTTTAACTCTTCTAATCCAAAAATTAATTTATTGAAAATAATAAATCAAGACTAATCAACTACAAATATTTATATTAAAGAATTATTATAAATAGCTGTCATAAGTACTAAATAAAGTTTTGACATTGAACCTATAAGCAATTGCAAAGAACAAAATAATAATTAGTAATTAATTATTTAATCAGCTTCTATTTCTGTCGAATAAAAATCAAATATTTAATCTTATTAATTAGAAATTTAATAGAATAATTACTTTAGAATAAAATAAGAAATAAAAACAATAAATTGTGAGGCAATATTTATCTAATAGGATAGACTGATTTAAGATAACTTATCCATTTAATAAGATAATATATAAATAGCTTAATAAAACCAATAAAATTAAAGTAATTAGGAATCATAAGAAATTAATGATCTTGAATTTGAGAAATAATTTGTCTTTGATTATTCAAAGTTTATCGTTTGTGCTATATTAGAATAAGCCATTTTAAATTTCACAAGTTTAAATGATTCTTGATTGATTTATTTTATAAAATAATAAATAAAAGTTTGAATATGACTACATAAATAAAAGTGAATAGTAAGAAATTTTAAGATTTTTACAAAATTAAGAAAGATATATTCTTTGGAGAAGGATATTTTGGATAAGTTTATGCTTGTGAGAAAATAGATGATCCAGATAAATAAAAATATTGTGTAAAAATTATTCCGATTGCACAAAAAAAAAAAGATGTAAAAGGTTCTAAATATGAAGAAGTCATTAGCACTGCGTTGAAAAATTATTCTTAAAATAAAAAAGAATTTTTAAATTTTGTTTAAATATATGATACTTTTAAAAATGATGAAGAATTATATATTGTGATGGAATAATGTGATGAAGATCTGTCTAAAGAATTTGAAAGAATGCAGAAAAAAAATATTTGGTATACTGAGGAAGAGGTCTTTAATATTATCAGACAAACAATTACAGGTTTCTAATAGTTATATAATTTGAATATTATACATAGAGATATAAAGCCAGAAAATATACTAATAAAAAAAGAAAAGAATTCATAAAAAAAAATATATAAAGTATATTAATATATTTATGTATAAGATTGGAGATTTTGGAGTTGGAAGATTGGTAGAAGATATAAATAACTAAGATGAAAAATTAACAAGAATTGGAACTTTAAATTATATGTCTCCTTAATTGATATATAATGAAATTGCAACTGCTAAATGTGATATATTTTCTTATGGAATTTTATTTTATTAAATTTGCTATAAAGGTGAATTACCTTATGATTGTAGCTCAATCATCAAATTTAATAAAAGCTTAACATCATTAAAAGAAAAACCTTTTAAAACTCCTCCTCTTGGATATAGCAGAGCTGATGTATTAAAAGATTTAATTGAAAAAATGATTGTTTATGAAGAAAGCTAAAGAGCTTCATTTGAAGAAATCTTTAATCATTAAGTCATGTTTGTAAGAGGAATACAAGAAACTCAATTATTTTCACAAGTTATTAGCTCATAATTAATTGAATCAAATATTAATCTTAACTTAAATTAATAATCATAATAAGAGAAAAATAAAATACAAGCTATCACTTAAGATTTTTAAATGTATTAAAGATTACTAGAGGTATTTTATAACAGATTTAAGATATGTTCATATTTTAACTAACAAATTGATTGTAATTAATAAAACTATTATTTGCACTTAATCATCTATTTGATAGCTAAATAACAATTAGAATATGCTCTTGCAATTATTTATATTAGACCTTAAGATATACATCCCATAATCTTAGAAGATAATCACGAATTAAGTTTGATCTAAAAATTATATTAAATTTAAACAGCTCTTCAAGATCATAGACAGAATTTTTTCGAATTTTTAGATTATCGATAACTTATTTAGGCTACTTTTCATAAATTTTTAAAAAAATTATTTGCTTTCTAAAATGAAATTTAATTAAAATTAGTTAATTCAGCAATCAAATAAGATGAAGAATTTGTTAAGATAATTAGAGAATCACAATTTCAGAAAATTGAAATATCTTAATTAATTAAGAGTTTAAAAAATATTCAAAAATCCAAATCAATATCCTTATAAAAAGACTTATAAGAACTTTTAGATAAAATTATTGATTTTGATAACAAATATCCAATAAGTCTATACAAAAGTGACATTGATTTAAAGGAAATTTTTCCATTTTAAATCTAATCTTATATTTATTGATTTTATATTTTCGTATGAATAGTTAATTTTACAAACAATCAATAATCGAATTTCAAATTTTTCTTAATTTTTCCTAATCTAAGTATCACTATAAAAGGAGATTTTCAATTATATTACCAAAATTAAAATTGAAATATAAATTCAATAAATAATATTTTATAATTACTAAAATAAATATAATCCTCTAGCTTCTCAATATAAAATATTTGAATTTTTAAGTTTCTAAAGTAATTACTCATTTATAATTTGCTATATAATTAGTGTATTAAAAGAAAATGATGGATCAATCGTAAATAAATTTTTATCTTATCTACAATTATTTAAACCTTTTGACTATTTAAAATTTTTCAATAGAAAATTTTTTTAAATTATTATAACTCTCAATACTTTCAAAATCAGAATCAACAAATGGTATATACAGAAGATTTAAAAAAGTGTTGAGTTAAACAACTTTCCCATTTAAAATTTATGATATACTAAGGGAAAGTGATCATAAATATCAAAGAATCTATTGATATTAATCGAAAGTGAATAAATAAAAAAGTTTAAAAATAAAAAATTAAACAAATTTTTTGTAGAAGAATATAGGAAAACTAAGTGAAAAATTAAAATTAAGATGACTCTCTATTATTTATCAATTTGTTTTTGGTTAAGGATATATTAGAAAATTAAGATCATATACGTTAGTTTTTGATAGGTGAAATATGAAAAAATATGTTTAATCAAAGGAAAAATAAAAAGATTAATTTTATGATTCAATATTTAAATTTGATATTGAGATTATTAATTATAGTCTAAATCTAATTATGAATGATTTTGTTTTTATTTTAAATAAGTGGAAATGGTCCAAATTTTTATTCGATTAATTCAATACCTTCTGGTAATAAGTTATTTCTCATGGTTCTTTGTTGAAACAATAATTTAGGACTTTAGACTCTTTTATGTTTCATTTTATTTTATTCCATTTTGAGATTATATATTTCATCTGTAATCTAATAAAAAGAATGAGAGATACTTTATATTCAAGTTATCGAATTCCATTTGCTTCAGTTTGGATTTACAACTCATCTATTTTTTCAATTAAAAAATTGATATCTCTAATAATATTAAAGTTATAAGTATCTAAAGTTAAAAGTGTGGTTCCATCCATAATGTGTTCTTTGATGCATATATTTTATTTTAAAAAGTATACATTTAAAGGTTCGATTATTGTTTATGTTTCGAAATTGATTAATAATTTTTATAGATGTTTCTTTAAGCCAATAAGTTTAAATATTTATAGATAAAACTTTCGATTATTATTCATTTCTTCTTTTAATTTAATTAATAATCCTACAAGTTTAAAGAGAGATTCATTAAGTTATTAAAGTTTATCACTATTTTATTCATCATATTATTCTTATGCTTAAGCTTATTTACCTAAAATTGTTGATCTTTGAGATGCAAATCTGGCTCTTGTAAAAGGTTTTTATCTTGATGCTGATTATTAAGTTGATTAATTTAATTCTTTAACTGAATTACTTGCAAAAAGATTTTGCTTAATAGGAGTCTTTTTGTTTTTAATCTAAATTAAATTTTTGAATATCTTTTTGTCAACATCTTTACGATCACTCATCATTTATAAAGAACTTAAATATGCATTTATATTTAAATTTTCAGCTGATGATCTTCTTCCTTCTCTTTCTGTTAAGCTTTCACATGAATGATTTGTGCTTCTAAAAAGACTTTTCATCGAGGATTTATTTAAAGAAAGCAGCATTTAATACCAATTAAATTATATTATTAAAATTAAAATGTTATAAATTCTGATTAAAAATTAAGGTTATAAAATGAATATGCTATTATTTGTATCTCACTATGTAATCATAGTTAATTGATAAAATATTCTTATTCATAATTTATTAAAATATAGAAAAAAATCATTTTCAAAATATAAAAATAATATTTATTTTAATATTAACTTTAAAGAATTATTTTTTAAATAGAATAGAAAATCTTATGATTATTTTATAGATTTACTTTTAGATTGAGCATTTATTATGAAATAATTTACAGTATAAATATTAAAATATATATAATTTATAATCTTGACAATCAATTTGTTTTATTAACATGAATGCAAAATAGAATTAACACAAATCTTATTAAAGAATAATTGTTTTAATATAGCTTGTTTTTAAATTATCNAGTTAAAAGTGTGGTTCCATCCATAATGTGTTCTTTGATGCATATATTTTATTTTAAAAAGTATACATTTAAAGGTTCGATTATTGTTTATGTTTCGAAATTGATTAATAATTTTTATAGATGTTTCTTTAAGCCAATAAGTTTAAATATTTATAGATAAAACTTTCGATTATTATTCATTTCTTCTTTTAATTTAATTAATAATCCTACAAGTTTAAAGAGAGATTCATTAAGTTATTAAAGTTTATCACTATTTTATTCATCATATTATTCTTATGCTTAAGCTTATTTACCTAAAATTGTTGATCTTTGAGATGCAAATCTGGCTCTTGTAAAAGGTTTTTATCTTGATGCTGATTATTAAGTTGATTAATTTAATTCTTTAACTGAATTACTTGCAAAAAGATTTTGCTTAATAGGAGTCTTTTTGTTTTTAATCTAAATTAAATTTTTGAATATCTTTTTGTCAACATCTTTACGATCACTCATCATTTATAAAGAACTTAAATATGCATTTATATTTAAATTTTCAGCTGATGATCTTCTTCCTTCTCTTTCTGTTAAGCTTTCACATGAATGATTTGTGCTTCTAAAAAGACTTTTCATCGAGGATTTATTTAAAGAAAGCAGCATTTAATACCAATTAAATTATATTATTAAAATTAAAATGTTATAAATTCTGATTAAAAATTAAGGTTATAAAATGAATATGCTATTATTTGTATCTCACTATGTAATCATAGTTAATTGATAAAATATTCTTATTCATAATTTATTAAAATATAGAAAAAAATCATTTTCAAAATATAAAAATAATATTTATTTTAATATTAACTTTAAAGAATTATTTTTTAAATAGAATAGAAAATCTTATGATTATTTTATAGATTTACTTTTAGATTGAGCATTTATTATGAAATAATTTACAGTATAAATATTAAAATATATATAATTTATAATCTTGACAATCAATTTGTTTTATTAACATGAATGCAAAATAGAATTAACACAAATCTTATTAAAGAATAATTGTTTTAATATAGCTTGTTTTTAAATTATCTCAAAAGAATAATAAATTTGAATTTTAATCAGGATAACGAATTTCTATAGATTAAATATTTGTAATTTTTAAGTCTTTTTTAATAAATTATATTATAACTTTGAATGATGAACATTCTTCGAAGAATGCAAAAATAATTGATCCATTATTATTTATGCCTATCTGAAAATTAAGATAAATATTAAATGAATAATTAATAGATATTGAAGCTTCATGTAGTTCAATATAATAATCAATAATTTGTATAAAATAAACTTAAAATTAGTATTCATTTTTTCTTTTTTTTATTTCTGTCAGATTTTAATGAAGTAACCCATTAAACTTATCCTGGTTTAATTGTACCTTAGCCTTCTTCTTTAAGACAATGGATAAATGAATTAATGTTTTTTTCTTTAATCTCAATAAAAGGATCTTTGAGTACTTTTGGTAATATAGTTTTTTCTTTGTTAATTTGTTTCAATGGTTTGGGTTCTTAATTTTATGAGGTTGAACGTTTCTTATTATTTCTAAGATTGGTTTCAAAAAGAACAGAACCAAGAAGTGGTTTAATTCCTATTCTATTTCTTATCAAATGTTCATACTCTATTTAGATCAAGATGATACTATTGATATATTTCCAAATTTTTCTATATTTTTAGTATTCTAATATTTCTCTGTGGAGAAGGTTTGTCTACCAAAACAACTTGGTATATCATGAACTGTTTTATTTAGATCATTAATTTAAATTGGTGCTCGAAGTGTAGTCATGAAAGTGATATTCACATTATTAAAAGATTAATCCAATCGATCATGGTAATAGTCATTTACGTTAGGATTTTTAAGTTTATTACTCATAGTTATTTTTATTTATATATATATATTATGATATCTAATTATTCATAGTTATTGATATTTTAATTCATAAATCTGTATTTAATTGCTTTCTCCAAACTTTACTAAATTTAATTACCCATTTATAGTAAATAATTTGATATTCCATCTTGATTACTTATTCTGTTTATTATCTAAATCTTCCTATTATTCATTAGAAAATATATTTATTTTTTATCCATTAACAAATGCATTTAATTTACCATTGCTTTTATCAATACTAATCATTATTAATTAATCTTTTGTTATTATAGTATTTAATTATGAAATCTCACTCTCTAATCCTATTTCTAATGTTTTCTTCATTTTTCTAGATGTTTATAAAGGAATCTCATCATAAATTCTAATTGAATTCTAACCAGTCAGCCATCCATTATTAAAAGATATTACTCTTAATCTTTCTTCAATTATCATTTAAGATAAACTTGATGTTTATACAAGTTCTATCAAATTTACAATTTCTCCTTTTTAAAAAGATTATGAATCATCAAATATTTTTATTATACATATTCTACCATCTATACTTAATGTATAGATACATTTTGTAGATATTTATAATTGCATTTCAATTATCTCAATTGTAGGAATTGATAATATTTAATGAGGTTCTCCTTTTATTAAATTCCAAAAAAACATTTTAGAATCTCTTCCTAAACTTGCAAATGTACTAACATCTCCCAATTAACATAGAAATCTTACACTTTTCTCATGTCCTGGAAATGTCTATATTTTTTTACCAAAATACAAATCAAACAAATATATATTTGGATCGAATTCACTTCCACCTAACAACATTAAATTTGAAGGTATTAAATTCTTTCCCTTTACTTTAAATAATTGTAAACAAGAACATGGTACATATCTCATTGAATCAATTCTTTGAATAAGTGAATTCAAATTAGCATCATATAAAAATAATTCGTTTTCATATGTAGCAATCAACATTTAATTAGAGTTCAACAATGGAAATATGTCAAATATTTAATTACAATTAAGTGTTTGATTCTCTTTAAATGAAATACTTTCAAGTTTATTTAATGTTCTACCTATTCTTCCATCTTTAAATCCTCCAACTTCCTATTAAATTTATTTGAATTTATCTTTCAAAGCAATTGGATTAGGTAATGATACGGCCTCCTTTAAATTTTTCATATATAATTCTGCAGCCTTCAATAATAGTTACATAACATCTAATAATGATGATACTTATTAATCATCATTTGTAGCTTATTTAATTTCTTATAAACCACCAATTGAATTTGAAATTTATTCTCTCAAAGCTAAACATTATATAAATATATAGAGATTACTTCTCAAATTTAAGTTTGCATAGTTCTATATTTCTTCCCATAAGTATGAATAATTAACGAAGTGACTATTCTACTCTTTAAAATCTCTTATTTCTCTATAATTCTATCTAAATTCAGCAAAGTTTCTTTCTAGAGTTTGAAACACTTCCAAAGTTGATTAATTTATTATTGTTTAAATCTTATTGATAAGTACATCATTTTGTGTCTTTATAGCCTTTTATAAAGTATTAATCTAATCCTAATATTTCATTTCTAATTCATCCATTTTTAAATTAAAATAATTCTTTAAATGAGTGAAGATGAAATTGAAATAATTAGATCTGAAGAAGAATTCTAAAGGCAAAATAAATTAATAAAAACACTTTAAACTGAAAATACTGTATATTTATGTCTAATGATATGTTGTAGAGATTGTATTAGGTAGAAAAACAATTATAAAAAGAGATACAATAATTACATCTTAAATTTAAGAATTTCGAATTAGAAAGAACAACAGCATTGGTTGAAATTTAAAATTGGAGTATTTATTTAAATAATTTAAGGAGTTAAATTGGAGAGTAATTTAAAATAGTCAGAAACATAAAATATTTAATATGAACTTCTTTTAAGAAAAATTAATAAGAAAGTTGAGAATGATAAAAATGAAATTTAAAGTTTAAAGCAATAATTATTATAATCATAAAATACTGTTGAAAAAGATAATGAGATAATAAATCTAAAATAAGAAAATTAAGTTTTAAATGATAAGGTTATTAACTTGAATTAGGTTCATATTATTAAGATTGATTTATTGGAAAAGTAAATAGAAGTTACTTTAAATTAATTATAATAAGAATAGTAAACTTCTATTTCATGGCAAAATAAAGTTCAATAGTTGGAAGATAATATTGAAAAATTAAAAGAGTTTAATCAAGTAAATAATTTTACTATATGAGGGTTTAAATTAAATAAAAACATAGTTAATAAATCAAATAGATGAGATTCAGATGAAATTAAATTAGGCGTTAATTGAAAATTAGAACTTATAAAATTAATTCGGTTTATCATAATCATAATATTAAGAATCATAAGATAATTTAGAAAAGATGATTGCTGAAATTAAGTAATAGTATGAAGATAAAATGTAAGCATTTTACAAATAGAATGAATAACTAAATAAATAATATTAAGAAAAATGTAATTAATTAGAAGAAATAATTTATGAAAAGTAATCATTATTGAAGAGAATTGATGAATTAGAAAGTATTAATAGTTAAATTAATAAAAAAGAATAAGAAATAAAAGAATTAACTTATAAATTATAAACATCTGAAACAGAAATAAGTAAATTAGAATAAGAAATTTAAAATATTATACAAAAAAACAAAACAGAACTTTCTAAGAAAGAAATTGAAACAACAAAATTAAAAAAAAAAATTTAAGAATTAGATAAAAAATCTGAAAAATACTTTAAAGATAATAAATCCATTCATTAAACTATGTAAACTTTAATGTTAGAATTGGATTAATCAAGTATATAAATAAAAAAACTAAAGGATTAAGTGACAAGATTATCAGATGAACTATGTTAATAATAAATTGAAAAAGAATCAATTTAAAAAGAAAAAGAAGATTTAAAATAATAGTTTGACAGTATTAAAGAGATTTAAAAATAATTATTAGAAATAGAAGAAAACAATAAAAATCTTGAAAATTAATTATAAAAATCAAAAAAAAAAGATAAATAACCTCAGAAATACTAAAAATTAGAAGATAAAATAATAGAACAATAAGAACATTTAGATTATATATTAAAATGTAATAAATTATTTATAATGATTAGAGGAGCTACCTGAAACTTTAGAATTTATTTTAGATTTGACTGAAACAAAGTTAAAAGAATTTTTTAAACAAAAAGAATAAGATAAATTCATATACTAATCATAACAAGATTTTGTAAAGCATAAGATTAGCAATTATCTAAATGGATTAGAATAAATACTAAAAAAGGTGAAAATAAATTTGAAGTATAATATTGAATTAGAATAAGAATAATGAAGAGTTTGTGAAGTAATTTTATTAAAATTTAATCTAAATAAACTATTTAATAAACTAAATGAAGTATATTGTATTTTGAATAGATTTATTTACTTTATAGAATTCTAATAGATAAATAATTTCACATAAATTTAAATAAAACTATCGAAACTAAAAAGACAATTAAGCCTATCAATATAAATTAACCTTTATTTTTATGATAACGTATTCCATTAATCAATTAATTGATTCCTTCAAATTATCCTATAATTATAATAAAACTGCAAAATACCCATATAATCAGTGACTTTATTTTAAATAGAAGATACTCTATAACCTTAATCCGAAAGACTTGAATGTATGGTTGAAGCCATATCAAGTACATGAGATGCTTAATTAACTCCTCTTGAAATAAAATCGTTGAGTTGGTAATCTCTTTTGTATTTTTAATTTCCTGATATATTTGGGTTTTTGATTGCTTCTTAAAATAGTTCATATTTTTAGATATTAGTTTTCATTGCTTACTATTTATGCTTTCAAGTAGTACTTTTAATTTAAAAAGTTCTTTCTCATGCTCTTAATGAATTTCTTTGAATCTCCTTAACATATTACTCTTAAGTTTGGCTTAAACTTCTTCTGCACTTATTGTATAGTCGTTAAGCATTCTAGACATTGTATTCATTATGTAATTTAGATCATCGACTTAATCTTAATACTTTCTTATATCAATAGATTAAAATTATTTTCGATTGTCTTATTCATCTTCTTCACAAATTGGATCTGATTTACTATTTTCTTATAATTATTACTTACTCTAATTAAATTAGTTTTCTTGAAATTTCACTATGTTATTCATTTAACAATTTTAAAGATGTTTATAATACATTTTCTTATTAATAATATTATTTTTTGAATGTCTCCCAATCTAAAAATTAAGAATCTTTTTCAATTAATATTGGTTATCTTTCTTGATCATCTTATTCTTTATTCATATGAAACAATAAAATTAAATTTATTTTAAATATATAAACAATTAAATTAAAAATCAAAAGAATTATGGATTTCTTTAAAGATATTAGGTCTGTTTTGGATAATTATGATTAACTCTATCAGAACATGCAGAATTAATTACTCTTTTTGGAGTTGAAACTGCACTTGAAATTCTAAATGGTGATTGATTTATCTAATTTAATTAAGGTAAAGCTTTAACATTAAATTAATTATGTTATTAATTCTCAAAAGAAGGTTTATTAAATTATGTTTATTAGTGTTCTGTTTAATACTATTCAGAATTAGATCTCATTCTTTTTAATCTAGGATTTTAAACTTATAATAATTAATTGTAATATTCATCTAATATTTTCTCTATATTGAATGTTTATTAACAAAATGGACAATCTATGTTTCTGTTCAAACCATAAGTAATAATTTATTAATATTTTGAATCAAGACAAATCTTACAATAATAATGTCCGCATTCTCCTTTTACACCTTTCTCTTAATCAGATTAACAAAAATAACAGAATTCTGTATTCTTTTAAATTATAGAATTCTATCTTGATAATACAGATTAATAATCATTATTATTTGTAGATTAATCAATTGTAAAATCATTAGATAATAATTCAGTGCAAGAAGGTTCTAAGCAAAAATTAGTTTGAAATAATTTAGATTTATTTAACTAATCTTTAATGCATTTTTAACAATGAGTATGTCCACATTTATTAATGTACAATTTATTGATTGATTCTTTACATTAAAGACATTTATTTTATTGCATAGTTGTATCCATTAATGGTGAAAATTACAAAAATGGGAAGTCTTCTCTTTTGAGTTCCATCTTACAAAAGAAATCTTTACAAATAAAAGATTATCCTAGTTTAAAATAAAATTTCAAACATAATTTACAATAAGTATGATTACAAGAAAGAGATTTTTATAATTCTCCTTGTTCAAATATTCTTTAACATCCATTACATTCTTGTTTCATTTCTAAAACATAATCTAATAATGAAGATGATCGACTTCTTGATTTTTTAGATGTCTCTATTATAAATTCAGATTATTATTAAACTATTTTTAAAATTAATTCCAAATTTTCACTGTTAGACAATGATATAGATGTATTTTGAGTTATAAATATAATATCTATTTTAAAATTATTACTTAAAAGTTCTAGAATCTCTTTGTTACAAATTTAAGTAGTCATCATATTATACTAAGTTTTTATGAATATTTTCATAACTTAAGATGCTTCTTCTTGATTAATTAAAGAATAAAATAGATCGGTATTTGGATTTCTTATAATTTAATTCATTAATTCAATAGTTTTGAAGATTCTGATTCTTGAAAGCTAATATTAATTTGGATAAGGTTTTAATAGTGAAATCTATTCATGTTAATTAGTTTTAATAAGCACTTCTATGATTCCACAAAATAAGGCAGCCCAACAATCATTACTTTAGTGAGAGTTTTTTATTCTAGAAGAATTATTCATAAATTATTTATATTTAATTATACTGAATTTAATATTGTTGCTTATAAAATCAATTAATTTAAATTGAGAATAAAGAATTAATCAGTTTTATTTGATCAAATATTATCAGATTGTTAAAATAATATATATGATAACATAAAATTAATGTATGATTTTTATTTAATAATGGAATCAACTGATTACTTCTTCTTATTATTCTTCTTCTTCTTCTTCTTATTATTATTATTATTATTATTATTATTCTCCTTATTATTATTCTTATTATTATTCTACTTATTATTATTCTTATTATTCTACTTATTATAATTCTTATTATTATTATTTTTCTTCAGGTGAATTGATTTCTTCAACTTTAACTTCTTAAACTTCAACTTTCATATCTTCATGAGATTCAATTTTCAATTCTGTTTCATGTTTTACTTAGAGGTCATTAACAACTTCTTCTTATTTGTGTTTATCATGATGATCAGGTAAATGTTTATGAATATCATCTTATGAACTTTTTCTACCAGGTTCTTAATGTTCTTAACCTTCATGAGCCTTCCAATATTTATTAACAGTTTGATCTGTTATAATTTCACTAGCTTAAGGGGATGTTTTTAAATTTTATTCTTAGAATTAAATAATTTATTCAACTAAAATATATATGAATATTAAAATTACCAACTTTAGGACTTGTTTCTGGACTATTGATAACTTTTTCAAGTTCTTCTTCATCAACATCAATCATCATTTCGGGCTTTTTAGAATTAGTTTCTTAAATTTCTTATGTTTCATCTTTTTAAGGATGATTAACATTTTCATCTTAATCATCTGTATTTTATATTTCTTCTGTATCTTCTTCAACTTCCAAAGAAGGTTATTGATCTTATTATTAAATTTATGTTTATTGAGTATTTTGAGAATTTTTGATTTTTTGAAAGTTCTATATATTAATAATATAATATAATACTTTAAACATTTCATTCATATTTTCATCATTTGTATCCATTTAAATTTTAGGTTTAGGATTGACTCCTAACATATATTAATTTTCAATAATTCTAACAGGTTCAAGTACTTGTTCAATATATTAATTCCATTCTTAATTATTTTAAATTTTATTTAGGAAATAATAACTTAATTTACTTAATATTCCAACATATCCTCTTCTTATTTATGTATTTAATGATCCAATATTTTCTTTTTCAAATGTATTATATTTAATTATGAATTGAATAAGATTTAGGGATAAGAAATCTTCTTATACATTTTCAAATTGTGGTCTATCAAAAATAAAGGTTGTAATGTCGAAAAAGTGAATTTGTAATTGATTGTTGAATTCATATTAAATAACAAATTTCATTAGTATTTCATAAATACCTTTATGATCGAATTGATCAATCAATTCAACATTATTGATTCTCAAGATAGATAAATATAATTGTAACAACTTCAACTTCATCTAACTAAAAGGCTATTGTGATATTCCATATGTAGTATTAAAAGCACCTTGAATAAGGAAGTGAAATTACTGATAGATATTTTTTCAGCAAGCAAAGCACTCTTGAATTCTTAGGCAATTGGATAAAATTAATTATAACTTAATTAAAAGGAGGGATTCTTTTCTTATTGTTATTACACATAACGATGAATGGCTTCCAATAATGTGATCAGTACAGAAACTACAGCACCAGAACTAGAATTTAACTAAAAATATTATTATATGTTACAGCTATAGCAAATAGTTTTTCAGGAATGTTAAGAACTGAAAGAAATAATTCTGATTTATTTAAGATTTCTATTATTATATGACTACAATTATCAGTGATGTCATTTTAATGAGTCTTATATTCAAATACTCTAATCACTCTACGTAACAGATCACTTCTCTCTTCTTAAAAATTAGTTTGATTCTCTTATTGTTCTTGATTAGTATCTAAAATGATTAATTTTTCAATTATTTCAGCTATATGAAATACATCCAAATTCTTAATCAAATTACTTAAAATTGATTTATGTTCTGGCTAAGAAAGAAATCTCCATAGCTTTAAAATATATTCATCATTTATACATCATAACCTCTTCTTCTGATGATTCCACATACTACTTTAGATATATATCCAGCAAGAGTCACATTCAAATAATCTCTATCCAATATATCAAAAATCTTTGGTAAAAATTCTTGTCTGCGTTCTTCATTTTACTCATAATTTGGATTAGATTTATCTGCTTCGAATAGATAATCTATGATTACGCCATTCTCATTCCCTATTGCCTCACTTATCATAAAGGGGTATCTTATCATTTTTAATTAAATCATTTTACCTAATCTAAGTCTTCTCGTTATATTCCTCATCTTCATTAACACACAAGTATCCTATCATCTTATTAAATGTATCTATGTTTTTTATAACACTTAAATAAATAAAAAAGACTTACAAATTTCCAAACTTGGATGCTCCATTTAATTTGATTTCTTATAAGGTGTCTTCATCAAGAATCATCTCTAATGTACAGTTTTCTTAAGACAGTAAAGGGTCTAAAACCGAACCTAAACCAGCAAAGAATCGCTAGAAGCTTAAAGAATACAACTTATATATCTTACTTGAAGAACATCATTTTTATTTTATTATAATAGGAGAAAATTAATGTTTCTATTATAAATTAATAATTATTAAACAAAATAAAATTATGCACAAAGATGAAACCTATTTAAGAACTCCACCAATTAGAAATCTCAATAATGGACTAACCATTTAACAAAAAATCAACCAACTTAATAAAAAAAGCAGCATAAAATTTTCTGAACTGACAAAAGAATAGTTCTCCAATTAAAAAATATCTCTTCGACGACCAAGCTTTCAAAGAAAACAAATTCAGCGAATTTAGTAAGGTACTTACTTTCTTAATCTCTCAATATAGCTATGAGTATTCAAAGAAATCTATCATAAGAACCTTAAACCTAAGGTACATATAGTGTAGTTTTTACAAATAGTGCTCCATAAAAGAGAGATAAGAGGAAGGTGCAAACTAGTAACTGCGATTAGATTGATGAATCTAAAAATAGTTAAGTTAGAATAGTCAAAGGATTTTATCCGTCTGATATAAACAATACAAAATAGATTTTAACGAGCATATTATAAGGAATGCAACATAGAATATCAGCTGAAAAAACAATGGGAGTGATGGGCTTATAAGTTATTCCATTTAATAAATTAATTGAATAAAATACTGTACTAACTTAATAGACAATTAGATAAAAAGCATTATCTTAAGATAAAGAAAGAGATAAATCATAATCATTTACTGAAGAAATAGAGAAGAAAATAAAATGCAAAATTCCATAAAAATCTAAATAAAAACATTCCGTTAACTATAATAATGCTAGTCCAGTACCTCCTAAAATAATGATGCCTTAAAGTAGTTCAACTTAAATTTAAAGTAATAATTTTAAATTCTCATTAAATGAATATTCACAATTATCAAGAGAATAATTATTCTAGACTAAATTGTAAAATTACTAGCATTTTTTGTTCTTAGTTTCTACTTAGAGTGGATTTTATACATTACCATAAGATTAATTTATTGATTTAAAATTTAAAATTGGCAGAGGAAATAATTCTCTTTTAATTAAAGAAATTTTTAAATTAAGATGGTGGTGGAATTTTTTTAAATATAGTGAATTAATAGATTAAGAAAGCAATTTCATTTGGACATAGATAAAAGTTTAGAATTATATGGACAGTTAAAATCCATCAAACAATGAAATAAAATCACTAATGAGAAAGAAAATTTATTAAACTCAATCTATAACTTAGGTTAAGAAGAAAATCTAAATAGATCCTTTGTTAAGATTAATGAATGATGATTCTGATTATAAGTAAATAGAGAGAAATCAAAAAGCGTACTTAAAATTAATAAATTAAAAAGGACTAAGTTTGTTAAAGGTTCATTAAAATTTGAAAGTAATAGAATCATTAATAATTAGATTCATAATCATATAGAGAAGAACTATCATTTGGGTAATAAGAAAGCTTTATATCACAATTTGAAGAGATATTTTGAATTAACGAAGTAGGATTTACATTAAATAATACCAATTACATTTCATGTTTAAAAAGGATAGAGAGATAAAGTGTATTTGTAATTTTTAGAGCATTACAAGAAATTACCAAAGTATTATTTGATACCTATCTAGAGGCTCTACTTGGATAGTAAAACCTGGTGAATTTACAAACAGAGGAACAGGGATTATAGTTTGTTAAAATTTAACAGAGATAAATAAAATAATTAGTAAGAAATAAGTGCATTAAAATGGAAAGCCATTCACTTATTTGATTTAAAGATACATAGAGAAACCATTTCTTTATAATAAACGGAAATTTGATATCAGGTGTTACTTTCTTATAACTCAATTAAATAATATTTTTAGAGCATATTGGTATGAGGATGGATATATAAGAACTTCATCAGAGGAGTTTGATTTAGATGATCCTGCAAATTTATATGTTCATTTAACAAATGATGCTATTTAGAAATATGGTGATACTTATGGGAAATATGAGAATGGGAATAAATTATCATTGTCTGAATTTCAGCGTTATTTAGAAAATTAACCAAAGAAATATAATTTTTATAAAGACTTATATCCAAAATTAATAGAGATAGCAACAATAAGTATAAAATCTGTATATTGTAAATTGGCTCTTCATAAAAAAGAGTTCAATTTTGAGATATTTGGATTAGATTTTATGATTGATTCATAATTTAAACCATATTTAATAGAAATAAATACAAATCCTTGTTTAGAAACAAGTAGTCCAATTTTGTAAAGAATAATACCTTAAATGGTTGAGAATGCTATGAGATTATCAATTGATACTATAATACCACCTCCAGATGGGAATATATGGCCACCATGTAAAAAACATTTAATATTTTATGATAATTTATTGGAGAATAATAAATTCTAATTGATATTTGATGAAAGAGAGGATTCAGAAGAATTGATAAAATTATATGGGGGATTATTATAACATGATGAAATAGATGAAATGGATGAAGAAGAAGAAGAATACGAAAGTGAAGATGAAAATGAAAAATCTGAATCATGATATATTTATTTTAATGATTTTTTAAATTTAATATTACTTAAATGTTGAAATGGAAAAAATAATAAATAAAAAAGAATGTAGGGAGAAGATTTGTTACCAGATCATATAAATGATGAAATATATCGTACTTTGGAACACCTATACTTAAGATTAAATGAAATAGTTCGTAAAGCAGAAGATGTCTTAGATTTATCTTAATCAGTTAGTTTTTAAGCAACTTTAAAAAGACTTAATACAGCCTCTAAAGGTGAAAATTATTAAAAGATTCCCAAAAACTATTTTCCTCCTCCTTCTGATTAAGAATCTTTTGAAAGAAAGTTTAAATTATTAAGAAGATGTGGACATATATTATCTGATACAATGTTGAAAGTAAGAACTTCTCTCATTGAGCTTCATGATGCAACTCGTAAATAGAAATAAGATATCGTCAAAATGAAAAAGGATGAATATGCAATTAAACATGAAAAGTCATTTCCTATTAATTAAATATAAAGAAATGGAATTCAATAATAAAAGCTTCCTTAAACTATTCTATTAGATGAAGATGATGATTTGATGATTCTACCTAAAATTGAATTTGTTATTGAATAACCATAATTACTATCCACTTCAATAGCTTCAGATCCTGTTTATTATATTTCTTGTACTTGTCTACTTGAAAATACACTTTAATAATAAATTCCAGAAGAACTTAAACTATGTATTGCTATAGAATCTTTATAATATTATGATAAATTCTATTTGAATTAAAATATCATCTAAGAATGTAAAGCAGCTAATAAGATATTACTTCAATTGAAAGGCGATTCTAATTGTATTACGAGATAATGTTTATTTTATGAAAAGATATATCTAAATATGATTAAATAACCAATTGTTTAATTGAACTTTGCTAGAATCTAAAGAGGAGAACAATTCTATTTCCCTCTCTTTTCTGATATTTCAGATTTATTTAATGACTAAACATTATTTCTTTATGGCATTTATTAATTTAGTAGATCCATTGGAAGAGCATCTTGTTAAAAAGTTGGAAATATTAAGTATTTAATGAATCTATTACATACTCAATCAACTTCTGGACTTGTCATTAATGCATATAGTTCATCTCTTGATAAAAGTCAATTTTTAATTGATTTTTTAACAGCCATGATTCATTTAAATGGTAAGGAAATTGTTATTGGACTCAATAAAATCACATTTCCAGAATGTCAACGTAATCCTAGAATTATTTTAACTCGATATACACATAAATTAAGTTAATAAGATAAAGAATTATTAGATTAAAATCTTAATGATGGAATTGATGGAGGATATAGAATTAATGAATCAAGTTGTAAATTAAAAAGAACTATCATCATTTTCACCAAAGAAAAGATTTTTATACCAGAAATTGGTAGAAATCTTAAGCATTGGGAAATTCCTATTGATTTCTTAAGATAATAATGCGAAACTTATCATTATTAATATCTAATACATTATATTGATTAAATAGTTAAATGTAACATTTAAGATAGATTACCTAAGTTCTTTACTATCCTCATCACTCTTATTAATTTAAAAGTTAACAATTTTAAGGAATTTAATTAATAAATCATTCGAGATTTTGATTACTTCATCAAAAATAGAAATTATGTGAATTATTTTTGCTTAAAAACATACCATAAATTAACACATATAGAAAATTATTTATAAGAATCTTTAAAATCATAAAAGTTGATTTGTTATAGCAAAGACATTACAAGATTGTTAGGAATTGAAGAAGAATGAAAATATTATAAAATATATATATATATATTTATATAATGCAAAACGACTCATACCTTTTTGATTAATTGAATCAAATCAATGTCTGTGTTGAACCGTTTACATTGAGAAGATTGTTTAAATGAACCAGAAATTAATTATTAAATATTTGAATGTTCTTTTACTTATGACACAGGAGATAAACAAATTTAAGTTTTCTATTATTATTTAGGTAATCCTTATTATCCTTAGATCTATCTTGATTTTGTTAACTACTCTAAAATATTCTATCTATGATCTATTATTCTCTTATTCACATATTCAAAGTGTGGAAATGAACGAGTAAATTTATTCTAAATATAATTTAAATTTTACTTGTTTTTCTAATCTCAAATTTTCATACAATTTCTTTTAAAATTCTTAATCTCCTTTACTAAATTCCAATTCATCAAAATTGTACTTTAATGGCATAGGACGATAACTTATTTCACATTTCCTTTTAACCAAAGCTTCAATATCACATCCTTAAAACCATTTATGTTATAAAATTGCTTTAATTCCATTTTATGCTCCCAATCGTTTTGCAGGATCTTTTATTAACAATTTCGAAATCAAATCCTTAAGATCAGGATTTATATCTTTATAAGGTGGAAATTGCACTTTATCATTCAAAATACTGTTATAAATTTAATCTATGTTTCTACAATAAAAAGGTGGTGATCCAAAGATAAATTCATAAAGCAATGCTCCTAAACAATAAATATCCACCATATAATTATGTCCTTCTCTTTTTAACATTTCTGGAGACATATATTCAGGAGATCCACAAAATGAATAAGCTGTCTCATCTCTACTCATATTCGGTTTTGATAAACCAAAATCTGAAAGTCTTATATATCCATCTAAATCTAATAAAATATTCTCTGGCTTGATATCTCTATAAACAATTCCAAATTTATGTAATTCATTAATTGCTAAACAAACTTATACAAAATATTGTTTTGCCAATGGCTCTTATAATCTTTTCCATTTTCTCAGATGATAAAATAGTTCACCACCTGCACAATATCTATATTTAACTGGATAAGTTACTCCATTACAAAAACAAGATAAAATTTTGTCTCAAATGAATAAAATAATTTTGCCAAATATGGTGAGTTTAATTATTCCATCACATATTTTTCATTGCAAATAATTATTTCCTTGTTAGACTTAAGAATAAAGTTCTTATCTATAAGTTTCATTGCATAAAACAAACCATTATCACGTTTCCTTACTAAATAAACTCTTGAAAATCCACTATTAATTTAAAATCATATTAATACCCTACACCTATACATTTTAGAATATCATAATCTTCAATACTCATTTGATTACCCACTTAAGTTGAATAATAAGGTTCTAATTTCAAATGTCTTTATTCTTCAAATACTTCTAACGGTTAAAGTTCTAGTGACAAGTAGTAATCAATGTTGTAATTCTTAACACTATTATGTGTTTGAAAGTGTTTTATTTTATTTACGATAGCCGGATTCACTTGGAGTACCTTTGCTATTAATTTCTTATATAAATCTGTAGTGTTTTAGTAAATGCTTATCGGAACAATCAATCTACTATATTTTTATTCATTTACTTCTATCCATTTATAATTAATGTTATGGTGAGTTCAACTGGGTCTCTTTCACTGTTCAATGTTTTTACCGTCTAACATCGACCGAATGCTTAATTCATTTTATTGCCTGATGGAGATTGAACTCTTGTCAAATTTTAGTTTAAAGATTGAAAATCCGATGACTTCTTTTTGTGTAAAAGTGGTGAAGAAGGAATTCTAGCCGATAAAACTAGTGATTGCATTATATAATTTAAAAATAGTAAAATCAATTTGGTAGTGTAATAGTTTGTACTTCTACTCTAAAGTTAGGAGAGAATATTTTGTGTTTTTTATCCTTAACTGCTCTGTCAAGCATGTATTTATCGATTACCAATAAACCATTAGATTCAATAAAGCCAGTATGAAACCAAAATTAAAACATTAGTTCTTTACCCATCAATGATTTATTATAACAAATAATACGAGTATCTTTTTAAACTATTATGTCAACAGTAAACAAAATAAAACTATCATTAACTATTTGAAATTTAGTGAAAGTAGCTTAATTTTGATAGTTATGTATAACAATATAAGGATTGCATGAATTAGAGTAATTCATTGAAGGTATGGTAATCAAGCGTATTTATAATATTTGAATTTTAGGTTAGGGAACATCATTTATATTATATCCTAATTGCAAAGCTTTTTCAAAGTATAAAATATATCTGATTTATGAAGGTATTGTAACACCTTTGTGATTTTTAGTTCGCATCATACCATAATATCTCATGGCTTCAAAGCTTGTTTTAAACAATTCTGAGAATAACAAATAACAACATATCATAATTCCAGTTCTACCTTTTCCTGCTTTACAATGAATGGCAACAACATTTTATTTATCTTAGGTTACATAATTGTGGACATCAGCACATAATTAATAAATCATATTAAATTAAGGTGCTTAATGATCATCAAAAGGATATTCTGAAACATTACCATCAAAGTAAGCATGATCATATTTTCTCTCAGAACATAAATTTATAATCTTGTAATGGTTCTTATGTCTTTAATTGAAAAACCTTTGAACATCTTCCATAGAATTTCTATAAATAGCTTCAAAGTCAATAGCTGGAAACCCCATTGCAATCACTTATTCTGTAATGTCTCAGATTTAGTTTAAAAATATACATGTTAAATCTAAATCAAATCCATCCATAACAAATCTATTCTTTTGCTTACTAACTAATGATTTTAGAGGATTAGAGAAACCAATATTATTTTCATTAGTTAAACATTGCAGGTGTTCTTTCACTAATTTACTTTATTCCTATAATTATTCAGATCTTCCTCTAACAAGAAAGATTTATTAAAGACCTTAATCTGATCGAAAATCTGACATAGAAGATAAATCAAAAACACTCTCTTAGTCCATAAAATTAAATAATCATTTTTTTATCTAAAGCACCGGGGACTGTGTAGGTCTGTATTGAGTGCCTCGTGAAGCTGACATATACACCAATGGTTTATCATTAAGATAATTATCATAAAAAGAAGCTCCTTGTTGGCTTAGAAAACTTGGCTAAAGGCCAAACGATGATTTCTCTTTTAATGAGGATTGAAGAGATAACATTTCTTCTTCAAAAATAAGTTAAATCATTAACTCTCCTACTTTAACTTCTGTCCATATTTATATTATGTGCATATCCTTACGTTCTTTCAAAACCTTTTAAATATCAAGTCTTCCAGACCCTTTCATAACTGGATCTCCCCAGTAATCCCATAATTAAAATTCAATCAATTATGAGACTGGCAAACTAAATTTATCTCTAAAGTCATTCAGTCCATGTTAAACTTTATATGTACTTGTAAAATACAGTTCCTTACCTGAAGATATCATAAAATAACACTGACTAGCTTGTCCTATTTCATACTTGAATTGTAAAATTTTTAGTTGTGTATTCATTACAATAATATATTAATCCATAAACTACCCCTATAGAATTCTGTTTCAAACATTCTTATTCCAAATATTAATGAATTCAATTCCCCTATACATGCTTTAAAAAATCGTCAAACTAAACTAAAAAAACTCAATGGAACACTATTAAAAACTTTTTGGAAAAAGTATATACTCTGTGAATAAATTTAAAAATAAAAACAATCTAATACTAATTCTAGTCAATAATTGTTTGAAATCATTAAAAATGTCTTGTATCTTCAAAATTAAACCTAAAATTATCCCATTCAAAAAAATCCTAATCAAAACCATAATATCAAAGGAACTTGATAATTGCACAATTATTAGAAGCATAAGAAAATTAATTATTTATTACTGTAGAGAAATTTGATAGAAAAAACTTTACAGACACAAAATTTTATTGGAAATCTGTCTATTTTTCATATACCAAAATTGATAATTAATAGGTAACTTTGGATAACACATCAATAAAATTAAAAAATGTATAAGATAGATTAGAACTCGATTTTCATATAATATTATCTGTAACAATTAATGAATAATAAATATTAAAATAATTGAAATACAAAGAACCTCATATAAAATTTGGTATCAAAAAATAGGAAATAAAATTAGAGAATAGGACCCATTTCAAAACAATTTATTCTAATAAATTAATTTATAAAATAAATAGCTTTTATAGTAGTAAGAGATTATTTATTTGTGATTTGAAATATAATTATTTAATTAGATTATTACTATTTTGATGATATATTTGAAAATCTATATTAGATTATTACTATTTTGATGATATAGTTTGAAAATTTAAAATTAGGAAATCTAAAATAAGAATAAAATTTTTGAGTTTTTTTGTTTATGTTTAGAACTTTATGAAGCCTGAGTAGGATTATTTAGATAAGTTCGGATAATTTTTGTTTAGAATTTATATCAACCAGTGCTCTCAAAAAGTAAGATAATACGCAGGAACGAGAAATTGATAATAATGTTATTACAATATAATTTAAAATTATTAATTTATATTTATTAGAATTTATAATTGAAATATATTAATTTTTGTAATTGAGGAGGGAATTCTAAAAAACTTGTAATAATTTTTTATCTAAATAATTTTCCAATTTGTCATAAATGAAAACGAAGACTTGTATTTAAGAATCCACCTTATTAATATACTTTTAATAAGGTTAGAGATAATTTTGATAAATTTTTATAAATGTTAAAGGATGAGTAATATACAGAGATAAAATGAAATTGCTAAATAAATACCATGAAAAAACCACTAGATTTAATTAAAGTTGATTAAATAATTAATTGTAAAATTGTTATCATTATGAATCTGGTAATTCATAAAAAGGAAATTAATTAAGAATTGACTTTGATAAAAAAAATAAAAATTATATTTATCATGCGTCAAAGAGAACAAAGAATAAGTTAAAGAGCTTTTTCATCTACATCTCCAACAACTCCAACAATGAGTAATGCATATGCAACAGCAATGAAAAATATGCAAGATAAATTAAAATAGGATAGCATTCGAAAATCTGTTGATATATCTCCATAAGAAATAATAATAGAACATTTAAAACAATAAATAATTGAATTATCTGGTGAAAAGGAAAAGCTTTAATCTCAATTAACAAAAATCTTATAAGAGATTGAAATGAATAACAAAGCAACTTAATAAATAGAACAGTTACAAGTAGAAAGACTTTAACATTTAAAAGATTATTAAGATCGTGTTTCAGAATTGATAAGAAAGAATGAAGAACTTAAGCATGATAAACATGAACTTCTTTAGTAAAATGAGTATCTTTAACGACAACTATAGGCATATAAAAATAATGAAAAAGGTTTGATACACAAGGCAGAACTTAAAAAGTTTGAAGAAAACTCAGCTCTCTTAAATACTATTCAAGAGTATAAATAGAAGGTGGATTTAAAAGATTAAATTATAGCCAATTTAGAAACTCGTATTGAATATTTGGAAAAAGATAAATTACATATCTAAAATGAATATGAAAACTATAAATTATAGCATCCTTTACTTAGATTGAATGAATTCGAAAAATAAATTAATAATTTAAGATACTAATTAGATGAGAAAGATCGGGTTTATTACAAAAGTATTGATGAAGTGCAAACAAATAGGCTATGTAGGGAAGAATAGATGGCTAAGCGTATTCAAGAATTAGTAGTGAAAACATTAGAGTACTAAGATATAATATAATAACTAACTTTGGATTATAAGGATTTAAATATGAAATATTAATCAATTCGTATAAAATGTGATTAAGAGGATAGAAATCAAAGATAATTAAAATAGGGTTGTGAAGAATCATGTTTTATTTAAGGATCCAAAAACTAAAAGATTGTTAACAAGTTAAACTTAGATTAAATCTTGCCTACTTATTTTAGTCCAAGAATAAATGAGAATATGAGATAGAGTTAATTGAAATAGGTGATTAGAGATTGCTTAGAAGATATGAAAAATACATAGTAAAGTCCTGAAAAAAAAAATATAGCCAAAAAAAGATTAACCTCTCCTCTATCACCTTCACAATAAAATGAAATCGAAATTAAATTGAAGTATCTAAATGAAAGATATGAAACACTCATACGATAAGCCTAATAAGAAAATGATATGAAATGTAAAGCAAATATAAGAAAATAGCTTCTCGAAATAGCAGAGCAAATTAAAGAAGTTACAAAAGTTAATAAAATAAATTGAATAACATCAATTACTAATTTATTTACCATTTTTTGCATCAAATATCATTTTCCTCTATTTTTTTTGATTAATTTTAATGCAACTCTTTCATTATATACAAAATTCCATAGTTATTATAAATAATTTATTTAATCTTACAATTACCTTTTATATCTTTTTAGACTTTCATTATAAATGAAAGAATTAAATTCAACGATCTATGACTATAATTATTTTTTGGTCAGACTATTATGAGCTCGACATTTTAAATTTAATTCTTATTGTTAAATTGATATTTATATTTTCCTTACTAAATTTTTTAAAACTTGCTTAAATAATGAAGAAACCATGACATGAAGGAAATTTATAATAACAGATTTTCTATTTAGCTGAATTGATTAAAAATTAATACTTATTGATCTTAAAAGACATTAAAAAAATTATCCCGAGAAGAGTACTATTTAATAATTTATCCATTTCTTGTTTGAATCTTAAATAAATTCCAAAATTATTCATAGTATTAAGAAATCAATGATATTATTTCCTTAAGAATATAAGTCATTCCTAAATAAGATAATTTAAATTCTTTGGTCAAAAACTATTAAAAACAAACTTTCTTCGAATATTTACAATCCAAAATGTTATTCTAATAAATAAAAATCAATCTATTTTAAAAATACTCAATTAATTGCCTATTAAAAAATAGAATATTGAAAATTGAAATATGAAATAAAAAAAATAAATAAGGGAATATAAGTAAATGTAGTCATTTTTTAATTTATTAAAAATTGAAGCTCTTTTTAATCCATTATAGTTGTACATTATATGATTATGGATCTGGAGTTTCATTAATTGAATGCTGAAATCTTGATTATCCTTATCCGAAAGCAGGAGGATCTTTGGAGATTGGTTTTTTATAAGTAGAAATTCTCTCAATTTTTTCATCTTCAGATTCTTCTATTATTGCTTATTTCCATCTTTCTTCTCCTATTCCAAAAGGAGGTTTATCAATTAATTATTCAAAATTGTATTCAATTTAACTTTTTAATTTCTCTTAAATAGATCCAAGGGATGTATCATAAGAACCTGGAGGAGGAAAATCTTCATTAATAGTAATTGATGTTCTTTTCACTTTACTTTTAAATGGACTGGATGATATATCTTTTTTTTCTATTTTTTTTGGTTCGCTATCATAATACCCAGGTCCTGGAGTGTTTTTTGGTTTTTTTTTGGAAAATCTTGGTAACTTGCTACCTATTTCTTAATTGGGACTTTAAAGTAATTTTTAGATAATTTTATCTTTCATGGAAGTTTTCGGTGAGTAAGTAATGGGACTAGGAGAGACAGAATTAGAATTTTATTTAAATCTTTCAGCTTTTGGAAATTCTACTTATTAATTAATGGAAAGGAGATTTGGATTATATTAACCAGGTCCAGGAATATGCTAATTTTTAATAGCAAATCTAGGAGCTTTTGTTAATAGTCTAGCTCCAGTTGAGATAGCAGTTGATTAAGTTTAATAATATCCTGGGCCAGGAGTAGAATCATCTAAGAATTCATATTATGAGGAATCAGAGTCAGGAGTGGAAGACTTTTAGAAACTATAATAGATTTTATTGTCAAGTCCTTTTTTAACATAATATTTAGGTTCTTGTGAAGTAGAGAACTTAATTTATTGTCCAACTTTTTTGTCTCTGTATCTATAAAATCTATCAACATCATAATGTCCAGGACCTATCGAAGTATCTATATCTTCGTGTTTAGATGATCGTCTTGACCAATCACTTACTAAACTTGCATGTTTATTAAGTTGAGATTATTATGTATCATAATAACCAGGCCCAACGTTTGCTTATTATCTCTCTTAATTTATAAGTAATTATACTTTCATAAGGTATTGAATTAGCAGTTTGATAAGTACCTGCATACATTAATTGTTCAATGATTTTTGGACGATGAGAAAGAGGTTGTTTGTGTTTTTATAACATGGCGATATCGTAATATCCTGGACTATAATATAACAATAATAAATATACCCAACTAAACCTTATTTTTCATCTTTGAATCGTTCTTCTTCATTTTTAAAGACTGCACTAGCAATTTAACTATTTTAAGACGATCCTTTATAATCATATGCACCTGGTCCAGGACTGAGTTTTCTAGGAATATCAACTAAAGGCAGTGATGGTACTTAAGTACTCATTCTTTCCCATTTTCTATCTAACTCATAAGAACCTGGTCCTGGTGAGGGATCCAATATTTAACTTTGATTACGAGATCGATAAATAAATGCCATTTATATTTTAATATATATTATTCAAGCTAGCAAGCATAAACTAAATTTAGAGCCTGGTTTAATAACATAAGTTTTAGATTCCGTCTCTATGGCAATTATTGGCACCTAATTTTTTAAAGCTGTAGCACAATCTGCTATATTTTTTACATATTGGCTTAATTAGGGATTAATAGTTTTATTGGCTAAAGGGAATCCAAATTAATCAACAATCAATGCTCCTTAAACATTATCTTGCATAATGAAATCAATTTATTGTAATAGTTATTTATCCATTTAAAATATTAATGATAAATTGATTATTGTTAATATCATAAATCTTTGATATTAGTAAGATATTCTACACCAGGTAATGTCTTTCCTTCTAATAATTCTAGAGATGCACCTCCTCCAGTAGAGACATGACTAAGTTTATCATTTGCTTTATTAGCTCCAACAAGATTAACAGTATCACCACCTCCTACAATAGTTGTAGTTCCACTTGAAGTCTATTTAATTAAAGCATTTAACATGCTAACAGAACCATTTTTGAATTGTTCAATTTCAAATGCTCCTTATGGTCCATTCCAAACAACTAAAAACTAAATAAAAATTTAAACCTGTTTTAGCTCTTGATATAGCTTCTGCATTTTCTCTTTATGTTAATTATCCTGCATCTAAACCTAACCATCCATCTGGAATTCCAGATTTAAGATCATGTAATGCAACAGGACTAGATGCATCTAATCCAGTGCCACACACAAAATCAACAGGTAGATGAATTTTAACATTTTTTTCCTTAGCTTTAGTTAATATTTCATCAACAATTTTATATCCTTCTTCATCAAATAAAGATTTTCCTATTGGAACATTATGAATTTTTTTAAGAAATGTAAATGCCATACCTCCTCCGATTATCATCTCATCTACTTTATCAAGCATAGATTTAATTAATTGAATCTTATCTGCAACTTTAGCACCTCCTAAAATTACTAAAAATGGTCTTTAAGGTGTTTCCAATGCTTTTGCAAAATAATCAAGTTCTTTTTTCATCAAATAACCGGCTACTCTTATTTTATGATCAATTCCAACCATAGATGAATGTGCTCTATGTGCTGTACCAAATGCATCATTCACATATATGTCTCCCAATCCTGATAGTTCTCTTCTAAACTTTTTAACACTCTCTTTATCAGCTTTTATTTTGGCTCCTTTTTCATCAACTCCTTTTCCTTCCTCCTATATATGAAATCTTAGATTCTCTAATAAATTAATTTATCCATTTCCAGAATTTGAAGCTTCAGCAGCTTCTTAACCTATACAATCATTAACAAAGTTAACTTTTATTCCTAACAATTCTTCTAACTTAGGAACCACTATTTTCAAAGAATCTTTTTCGACTCTAAAAATTTATTCATTTTTCTTATTACCTTTTTCCATCTGGTCTTCCCATATGAGACATCAATGTCACATTCTTTGGATTTTATTCTAAAATCTTCTTTATTGTAGGAATAGCTCCTTAGATTCTTGTTGCATTCTTTACTTTCCCTTCTTTTATTGGTACATTGAAATCTACTCTTATTAACACTCTTTTATTTGTAAATTAACGTAACACATGATCTACACCTGCCTTAGAACTTAACATTTAAGATTAATATATTTATCTATATAAGATATTTGACTCCTAAGTTTATAAATTAATTATGTTAACATTATTATTCTTACAAGTGGTGTTATCCCAGAAGATTTTAGATTCTCCACTTGAGTAAGTCATATGGTGCAAATCAGAAACCTTTATACTTACAGCCAAAGGAATGCTCTATAAAAATTTCACTTCTGAAATGCCTAAATTTATTAGCAATGTAATCAACCCACCATTACTATTTAGTTTACTATTAGAGAAATCTTGTAATCTCAAGCAGATATTTAAGTACTCTATTTTATTGGAGATTTAGATACATCTTATGTCTCTTAAAATTGTGGAAAAACTTATACTAAATTTAAACATGAGAAGACATTACATGATTTCAAACTAAATTCATTGGAAGCTCATAGCTTGATGGCTTTTAAAGATTTTAGATGCAATTCAACTACTACTTTATGCAAAGATAAATATAAAAAATAGATTTATGTTAGTAATGATTATGGAGCTAATTGGAGAATGGTACTTAATAGAACTAGGGATGCTATATGGGATAAATTGATTGAATTACCAGAAATTCCAGATTCAAGAATTGTTGCTTCATATCTTAATGATTAAGGTCATTTATAAGTAAGTTATAGTGATGATTACTTTAAAACATTTCAATTATTAAGAAATAATTCCTATGGATTTTATTAGACTAAGGAATATCTTTTTATTTTAATTGATGCTGATTCTTTTAGTAAGGGTTATGATTTAGAAGTAATAAAATAAGGGACATTGAATCCAGTAGAATTAGTTTTGCCTATAGAAGATCATCAAAAGTATACTTTTACTGTGTTGGATACTGTGAATGGATCTATATTTATATCTATTTCTCATCTTGAAGATATGCCAAAAATAATGAATATTTATTAAAGTGAAAATAGTGGCACAAAATACACCTTATCATTATTAAATAATGTAAGAAGTTTGGATACTGGAAATTGTGATTTTGAACCAATTATTAGAGGAACCTATATAGCAAATATTTATGATAATACAGAATTTGAGAAATTTAAAATGAGAAGATCTACAAAAAATACAGATGGAATTAAAAGATTAGAAAACTATAAATAAACAAGAATTACATTTGAGTAAGGAGGTGATTGGCATGCACTTAAAGCACCAAAATATGATTATAAAGGATAACCTATTCAATGTAATGGTGATTGTTCTTTACATTTACTAGGAAGAAGTGAAGCTCCTCGTAATAGGATCATTAGTCATTCTTACATTGCTATTGGTACAGGAAATACAGGTATTTATTTAGGAAATGAATATAAAACTTATCTTTCTAGAGATGGAGGTCATACTTGGTTTGAAATATTAGATGGAATGCATATATATGATATTGCTGAAAATACAGGACTCATTGTATTTGTAAGTGATGAGGAATAAGCTAATGAAATATTGTATACATGGGATGAAGGCTTAACGTTCTAAAAAATTAAAATGAATGTTACCTTTGATATCACAAATGTTGTATATAAGAATGGTAAGTTTCTATTTCATGGAATTCAAGATAGCAAAACTCTAGGAGTTGCTAAAGAAGATGATTTTACTTCAAGTGCTCTCAAAGGGGTTGTTGTATCATTAGATATTAATTAAATTATGGTCAGAGAATGTTAAGGTTTTGATAGTCCAGGTGAATCTGATTCAGATTATGAATTCTGGTATCCTTCAAATTATGCAGGAGACAAATGTTTATTTGGATAGAAAGAAAAATATATCAGAAGAAAAAGAAGTTCTTAATGTTATAATAAGTAACCAAATTTACCTATTTAAACTGAAAATTGTCCATGCACTAAAGCTGATTGGGAATGTGATGTAGGATATCAAAGAAATATATATTCAGAATGTGTTCCAATGAAAGAAATTAAATCTAAGCCATGTAAGGGAACATATCTAAAAAGTTAAGGATATAGAAAAATATCTGGGGATGAATGTTAAGATGGGTATATATCTATTTTTAAAATATAGAGTCTATTTAGGACCTATTGAAACAAAATGTACTGAAGAAGATTAAGTCACTTAAAAGGATAATATTAATATCAAATAAAGTAAGGTTAATGATATACCAAATTAAAAAGAACCAATTAAACCTTAAATTAATAATCCTTAAAAAACTAACCCAATTATTCAAGAAACTACTGAGAGTGGAATTAAATATTCATACTTTATTTTTGGAGTTATTTGTTTAATAATCACATATGTTATTAAAAAAAAATATTTTGATGGAAATGATTAAAATAAAAAAAAATATCCAGCTTATTATTATCCTGTAAAATCATCTGAAAAATAAAGATTATTTGCTGAACCCTGAAATGTAATTCTTATTTTTTGTATTTTAAATTAAGTAAATATTATCTTTATTTATCAATACTACTTTAAATATATATAAAAAATTTAGATAGCAATCAAATTAATCAATCAAAAAAATTAATTTTTGTGAAATAATAATATGTTTCAATAAGTAATGAGTTTTTATATATATTATAATTAAATTAATTAATTAATTCAAATGTCAACTTCTCCGTTGATAAAAGTAGCTAGTTCAGCCTTTACAAACGGATCAGCATTGACATTTAAAAATAAGAAGTAATAAAATTCCTAAGCACAAAACTTTATTTCAATGAATTCTCCTCTAAAATCTACAGATGAGAATGAATAATCACCATCAAAAATAATTAATATTTACTCGGATAGTGGATTATTTAATGTTGGAAATTCTTACTCAACTGTAAAAAATGCTCCAATTATAGAGGAAGAGAAAACACATAAAACATACACATATAGTTAAATGCCTCCTGAAGAAGCAGAGAAAGCATATTGTGAGAGATAAAAAATTATAAAAGAATAGATAAAGAGAACTAAAAATAGTGCAAAATTTAAACCAAATAAGAGAATTGATCCGAATAAACCTACTTTGAAAAGTGCCTTAAAGAAATAATAATTAGATTATTCAACTGCTTAATCTTAATAGATAGATATATCAAGAACTTCATAAACATTTAGAAGAAAATCAATAGATTAACCTATTCAAACTGTCCCAAAACCTCATCCTAAAGTAAGTAAGATAATAGATTATAATAATAATTCAAATAATAGTACAAAATAATCATAAGTAAGTCCTGGTTGTTCAAATGTATTATAGCAATCTTTCCATTAATAATTATAAAGTAAAAAGTAATAACTATTAAATGAAATTGCTTAATTGGATAAAGAAATAGGAAAAGAGAAAGAAAAAAAATAATAGAAGTCTCTAGTACAATCAATCAATATTTCACCAAGAGTTTAATAAAGAAAATAAATCCCCGCTTAGAAAGATGATATGAAATCAACATATGAAAAGAGATAATAAATGAAAAAAGTTGCAGATAAAGAAAAATAAAATAAGGATATGGAATAATGCACATTTAAACCATAAATTAGCAGTAATACAAGTAGAAAATTGAACACTTCTTAAAGTTCAAAATTTACTCCTTTAACCTCCCCAAAGCAAACTTCAGCTCCTCATCAAGTTAAAGTTCCTAGATCTCAATCTTAAGAAGAAAAAAATGTAAGGAAGGATGGATTGTAAAATTCAAAGGAAGATTTAAATTGTAATAAATTATTTAAATTTAGAACGACTATAAAGAATGAATGAGAAATATAATTTGATATTAGAGCAATCAAACAAAATTAGAAACCAATTAAAATAAATCTGAATATTTTTAATTAATATTTATATAGACATCAATGAATTATTAGATGTGATAGATTTCGATAATGAGTATCAGTCCTTAAATTCAAGATATAGAAGCTAAAGGTCATTTTTAGATCCACTGTAAAACAGAACTATTTAATCAATGAAAATTTAAGATCCAGCAAATTTCAAACAATTTCCATTAAAATTTTATTGTGTTCTTAAATCTTCAGATTCTCTAAATAATAAAAAATATTCCATTGTTTCTCTTTAATAATACAAATTAAACAAATACCCATTTTGATAGAAGAATTAAACAAAATATTAAGAATTTTTTATAGACACAATAAATTCATAAAATTAAGTTAAACTTTAAAAAAGTGATAAGAATTAAAATTTAGACCAGATTGTAATCTATTCAATCACATTATTCAGTTTAATAAATTAAATAACCCGAAATTCCATTCAATCTTAATAAACACTTAGAAAAATAATACAATATCAATAATGTTACTTTACAAAAATAATTAGATTATGAAATAGTATAATTTAAAATAAAAAAAGAGAAATTAAATAAAGAAATTTCCTTGACTTATAATGAGAGTATAAACTATCAGAAGAATTAGATTTTGAGTATATGAGAGAACATAAGGTTAATATAGGATAAATAAAAAGGATAATAAGATTATTTCTTAAAAAAACAGATATTTGTAACAAAAATATATTTTCAAGGATACAGCTTAATAAAAAGATTTGTATATGAAAAATAACAACATACCCTATTCAATTGCAGAAAGAAATCGAATTAGGTTGAAAATGTAGCTTCAATAATAAATGATAAAGAATAAAATTATTAATTACGAATTTTAAATATCTAAGTGTTTAGATAACAATATCAATATGAGAGAAAGTAGATACAGAATGGTGAGTGATTTTATGATATTTTTATTACTTTTGAAAATTTTAGTTAATTCTATTAAAGTTTGACTTAAAATACACAACCATTAATAGTAAATCTTTTAAGATTAGAAATTATTTAAATTTAATTAAATTTAGGTTCAAAGACAAAAATAAAAACTTAAATCTGCATCAAAGATCTGTTTTAATAATTATATAATTTTTCATTATATTAAAAATCAACTACATTTTTTTTGGCAAATTATATGATATATTTAAAGAATGTTAATTATTTGAATTGAAATCTATATAAATATAATATATATATATTATCATTGTTTCTATTTTGTTTATCGTTTATTATTTATTAAAGTATTTGTAGCTTATTAAATTATGGAAAGTTGTTTATTTTCGGTTTAAAAAAGAAAACAAGTTTAGCCTCTTTTTTATTTGAATTATTTATATTTTAGTATTATAGATAATATTCGTTAAATTCAAAATTTAAAGATGAACTAACAGAGATGTCCCAATAAGCAACATAATTTATATAGACATTAAGCTATCAGATATAAAGATGATACAATCGTAGATTCTACCCATACAAAATCATAAACATCAGATTAGAGTATTAAATTCTTAATAATTTGAGAATTGTCTAAAATCTCAGAAATAAAAGTCGTGAATGATTTTTCAGTAGATTCATAATGCTTAGATCGTAGTAGTATTTTAGAACAATCTTTGGAAAATGATTTGCGTTAATGGCAATAAGCTTATAAGATAGATAATTTGATTGTCTAAAAACTTGAAAAAGGTTCATTTTTATGAATATAATAGAAATAAAAGATATTGATAATTAAATAGTTTAGATTGCAACATAATTTGATGTTTGTATGAACTTATAATAGAAAACAGAAGCCAAATTTAAAGAGTTTTAATAACTTATGAAAGGTACATAATTTATCAAGTTTTCTCGATCTAATTGTAAGAAATGGGATTAAAGAATGATCTTTTATTGTTCATTTTTAGATTCAATTTGTTGGAAATCTAAATCTTCAAAATTTCCATCTGCAAAATAAACTATTCCAATAGATTAAATAATTTAGATTCATACTAATTATAATAAGTATTATAATTAATTATATGTAGATATAAATTGATAAAAAAGAATTTTGTTTTGCCTTAAAATGCTGAATAAGATTGTTTTTTGGCTATTGAAGCAAAAAATGGAATTCGATTAGAGTTATTGGCAGAGAATAAGGAAGATTAATTGTTGTATGCCAAAATTTTGAATCTATTGATAAATAAAGAGAGAGGTATAAAAAACTAAAATCAATATATAATAGAATAATATAGTATTGATATTAATTTAATAAGAAAAGTATTATTTATTAATAATTAAAATTAGAATTTGGAGGGATCTAAAAAGAATTTCTTAGAAACAATTGAAAAGTTATAGCAAACCTTTATTTCAACAACTTCAACACTTTTGAAATAAGAGAGAGAGAAAACAAAAACTATAAAAAAGAAATCTTAACATTATGTTTTTTAGAGTAAATTATAATTAGAAGATATGAATAAAGAAAATAAAATATAGTAAAAATAAATTAAGGAGTTGTAATTGGAGAATGATTATTTAGAAAGTAGAATAGAATAATTATAAGAATATTACACTTAAAGGTAATTATAAATAAAGAGTTCAACTAATCCTTAGTAAGTTTAGTTATATTAAATAATAAAAGACATTATAGGAATGAATGGAGATTAAAATATTCAAAATGAATCTTAATATGAATATTAACCTAAAGATTATCATGAAGAAAATGTTAAAAATTTATAAAAGCTTTCAACTCTCTATGATAGACAATAGAGCATTGAAATAGAATTAAGATAATTTATCAAGGAGTTGTAAGAAGAAAAATCTTAATTAGCAACTCAATTATAATAATCATAATTCGATTTACATGAATAGGAAATGTATATTATTGAATTAGAAAACATAAATAATTTGTTACAGACAAAACTATAAGATGTGAATTAAGTTTTAGAATTCAAAGAATAATAGTTTTCTAATTTAGTTTAAGATATGCAAAAATTATAATAAGAAATTCCTAAATTGATGAATAATAATAATAATTAACCATCTATAAATACCGAAACTAGAAGACTTTAAACTGAAAATGATAAATTAAAAGATACCATCTAAAATAAAATAAGAGAATTAAAAAAGTAATCATTATTTTTATTTTAGTTAAATGATAAAGGATGAAAAAAATTGGATGAATTTCTTTGTTCAAATTATTTCTTTTATTTGTTACTATATTGCACCAGATGATTTATCTTCTGACATTAATATAACGATTTAAGGACTGTATTATAAATTGTGTGAAAAAGCTTATGGAGAATCATAATCTTAATTAGAAAACTTGATCAATTTGATTAAATAGAAGGCCAATTTCTTTTAAAAGTAATATTAAGAGGAGTTTGAACTATTATATAAGGATTAATAAGCTATATTATGTAGTTTAGCATCTAGTAATGAATTAAATTTAACATTTAGGATTACCTTCTCCTAAAACTACAAATTCTAGATAATCATCTCATCAGACTTTATAATTAGATAAGACATTTTAGTCCCCAAATAGAGTTTTTGTAAAAAATAAAGCTAAATTATCAAAAGATAATCATCCATTAGATTCTGTATAAATACAATATTTGACTTAATTAATTAAATGAATTAATTCTATATATAATAATTATTCATTTTAAAAACTATTCAAGTAAATTTTAAGGAATAGGTATACCGCATTTAAATTCAAACCCAGCTTAATGCAATAAAGCTACACAAGGATAAATAGGACCTTTTTTTAATTGATCTGAACAAATAGCTTTACCTAAAAAATTGTCATTGTATGAAAATGCCAATAATCCTCTATTCATATCTAATAATATCCCTACTTCACCGCTGTTTTTAAATTTAACGCCATATTCAAATCCCTATATTTATTTTTATTATACATTAGAATTGCTTCCATTTCTAAATTAGCCTACTGTGTAGTATGCATATCCAAAATTGTAATCAGAAAAAGCAGTTTTGAGATCATATTTATCAGATGTTGATATTCCAATTTTCATTTCGTTTTTTGTCATAGGTAAAGGATTGATTTTCCAAAAATGAATGCCATTTTGAAAACCTTTAGAACTGGTAACAGTTTTAAATGTATATTCTTCCTCTACCAAAGTTATAGTTGAATATTTAATTACTATTCCTGGTCCACATTTATCAAAAACAAAATTTGTAACACCAACATCAACTTATTAAATGGGTTAAGCTATTTGTTAAAATATTTGAATTGGTTATTTATTTTTAATAGATTATTCTAAATTAATAATTTCTTTTCTAATTTAAGCAAAATCTTATTATTCCACTAATGGAAATAGTTTTAATAAAAACAAACACTCTGGGCTACATACTTATTCATTTTTATATATTTAATTGATATTTTGTTAACAAACCTCAAAATTAATACATTTTTCTTTTAAGTATATTTATTAGGTCTTATTTTCTATTTAAGGAAGTTTAGGAACAGGTTTAGCAACTTTTTTAGGTTTTACTATTTGAGACTTAGTGAGTATTTCATCATATGCTTCTGATAATGCTGATTTTTTAACAGATCTGAATGATTTAGATTAACATTAAACACATTCAAAATTTTTACCAAAGATTTCTTTGAGGCATGTCTTACAGTACATAGAACCACACTTTTCGCATATTTAAGCTTTAATAGCTAATTTCATACAAAGGTAGCATTCAAAACCTGTGTCAGTCATTTTGTTGAATTATATTTTAATTTAAATATTAATAATAAGAAAATTTTTAATTATAAATTTCTTTATAAATTTACAGAATCACATTTAACTCATATAAACGCTTTGATTGGAACTACCTTTATTGGTGAATTATCCTTCAAATGCTAATCTGTCCATTTTTTATTTGATTTCTAGTTCTTTTTTTATATTTTAATATTTTTATAATAATCTATAAGTAAATATGTAACTGTACTTTTCGAGGTCGAGACTGCGATTTTTTTTTTATTCATCTTAGCCACCTTTGATTCTTTATTAAAGAGCATTGATTTCATTTTTGTGTCTCATTTTCAATTATTTCAATTAGGTATTAATTTTGTTGCTTCTTTCAATTAGGTATTTCTAACAATCAAGATCTTCAATTTAGACTCTTTAATCTTTGATTTTCTAAGCTTCAACATAACAAAAAATTATAAAAATGGATACTTTTTTTGTTTAGCCAAATATTCTTCTCTTTTTTTGAGATTGAGAACATCAGAAGATTCTTTTGGTTTAAGAGGAATAGTTCTTTCTAATTCTTCAGAGACTTTATTGAATTCATTTTATTATCTATTTAATAAATCTGATTCTACAGCTGAAGCTTCATCATTAAATTTTTACATCTTCTCATCCCAGAATTAATTGAATTAATTGAATTCTTCAAGATGAGCTCTTTCAATTTCTTATTCTTATTAATAATGTGCTTGTTGCATTTCTTTTCTTCTTCTTGAAATTAATTGTTTTTTTAACTCTACTATTCTTTTTTGAGCAGCATCAGCCTGCATATATTCTGCAGATTTTTCACAAGAATCTTGAAATTATAAAAGTGTTTTAATATATTAGTCTATATCATTAGCTGTATTAAGATTAGGCTCATTAGGTAATGGGTCTAGAGACATTTATGCTTTGATATTTTATAATTAATAATAAAACTTCATTTTTATAAGAATATAACTATACAAGTAATATCGTCTCTTGCTAAACTATTCTTAAAATAAATAAATAATAATACTTTACGCCATGCTTACGTAGCTTCAATAATGATACGTTCAGCTGCTTAATCAGGATTATCTTTATCCAAAAATGGAATTACAATACTCATCACCTAATTGATTTGTAATGTACCTCTTCATTAGTCATATATTCCCAAACTCCATCTGATGCAATAACAATAAATTAATCTTATCCACTAATAGAAAACTATTAAATTTCAGGTTCAGCAATAACACCAGCTTAAGCTCCAACTTTATCTCCAAAAGATCTAGTCATTGCCAATCCAGGAGCCTAAATATAAGATAACCAAACTCTATATGGTCCTATACCATTCCCATTAAAATCTATATATATATAGTATATCATTATAATTAACAACCTTTTTATTATTCTACTCTTCCACCTGCATCTAAAATCCTTTATTTTTCTTAAGGATCATCTGGTTTATGATCACGACTCAATTCAATTACTTTCCAACCATCTTCAAATCTACACATTATTGCTCGAGAATCACCAACATTTGCAGAATAGATCTATTTCATCTTATTTTTATTACAATGTCTTTTGCTATTAGTAAAGATACTGTTGTTGATCCAGATAAGTTTGTATCAATATCTGAATTACATAATTCTTTATTTGTTATTCCAAAAGCTTTCAGTATTTGGTTTTCTATATTCTCTGTTTCTTTTAATACTCTACCTAAATGTTTTGGTAATTATTAACGAATTTAATTTGAAACCATATGACCATATTAACCATGTCCATCACATACTCCAAAGAATTTGTAACCCATACTATATATAAATAAATTCTTAACCTTTCTAAATTCTTTGGACATAATATAGCAGCATCCTGATTTATTTTTGTCATCTTATTTGACTGACAACCAGCCTTACTTCTCATTGCAAATTAAACTTAATTTCTCTTCCCTTATCTCCTCTCTGGTGTTATTGATTTCCTCATCCCATCAGTTTCTGATATCTATTTTTTTCTTTGTAAAAGTTAATCACTTAATTAAAGAGATGGCAATTTATTCACTTTCCCTTTATAAATCTATACTGTCTACTCTATCTTACTCAATTTTTTTTAAGGAGGTAAAGCAGGCAATGATACATTCCCTTAATACTTACTACTACTTCCTACATCAACACTCTCAGGATATCTAGGAAGTAATCTCTAAAGGTTCTCTTTCTATGGAGAATACATTCCTACTGGTACTAAACGATATTCTCTATGTAATCTTGCTAAAGATGACTATTAAGGGTACATTATTATATTAATTTATTTTTATAATGCCAGCTGAATGTGTGAAGGTTATTGTTAGAGTTAGACCATTTAATTAGAGAGAAAAAGATAATGGTAGTAAGACTTGTGTAAATGTTCATGAAAGTACAAATTGTGTAGAACTCTTTAGAGTATTCAAACAAATTTTATTGTATTAATAGAGTTCAGATAACGATCAAAAATAATATACTTATGATTATGTATTTGGTTCAGAGACACCTTAAATATAAATATATTAGTAGACTGCATTTAATTTGATTGAATCTGTGGCAGAAGGGTACAACGGAACAATTTTTGCGTATGGTTAAACAGGTATATAATATGAATAATGAATAAGGTTGCGGTAAGACTTTTACAATGATTGGAGACCCATAAAATGTATTATGAATCAAATTAATCTTAGGAAAGCATGAAAGGGATAATTCCTAGAAGTTTTGAATAAATAATTAGTATAATCAATAACAATAGTGATTAAAATAAGAAATTCTTATTAAGATGTTCATATATTGAGATATACAATGAAGAGATTCATGATTTATTGAGTAAGGATGTTAAATAAAGATATGAATTGAAAGAAGGATAATAAGGTGTTTATGTAAAAGATTTGAACATTCCGATAGTGAAAACAATATAAGAAATGGATAAATATATGGTTTTGGGGGCATAGAATAGGTCAGTTGGAGCAACAGCTATGAATAAAGAGTCAAGTAGGAGTCATTGTATTTTTACAGTATATATTGAATGTTCATTGAGTGATGAGAAAGGGAATGAACGAATAACAGCTGGGAAATTGAATTTAGTAGATTTGGCAGGAAGTGAAAGATAATCAAAGACTTAAGCTACAGGAGATAGATTAAAAGAAGCAACCAAAATTAATTTATCATTATCTGCTTTAGGAAATGTAATATCAGCTTTAGTTGATGGAAAGACTTAACATATTCCATACAGAGATTCCAAATTAACAAGATTATTATAGGATTCTTTAGGTGGTAATACAAAGACAATAATGATAACTGCAATATCTCCATCAGATTTTAATTATGAAGAGACTTTATCAAGTTTAAGATATGCATCTAGAGCGAAAATGATTAAAAATTAACCTAAAGTTAATGAAGATCCGAAAGATGCTCTTTTAAAAGAATAAGCAGAAGAAATTAAAAAACTGAGGGAATTATTATTAAGATAAAAAGGAGATCATCATTAAATTGATAATATTAAATTTAATAATTATGAGGATAACGATAATCATAATGAATAAATTAATNGCCAGCTGAATGTGTGAAGGTTATTGTTAGAGTTAGACCATTTAATTAGAGAGAAAAAGATAATGGTAGTAAGACTTGTGTAAATGTTCATGAAAGTACAAATTGTGTAGAACTCTTTAGAGTATTCAAACAAATTTTATTGTATTAATAGAGTTCAGATAACGATCAAAAATAATATACTTATGATTATGTATTTGGTTCAGAGACACCTTAAATATAAATATATTAGTAGACTGCATTTAATTTGATTGAATCTGTGGCAGAAGGGTACAACGGAACAATTTTTGCGTATGGTTAAACAGGTATATAATATGAATAATGAATAAGGTTGCGGTAAGACTTTTACAATGATTGGAGACCCATAAAATGTATTATGAATCAAATTAATCTTAGGAAAGCATGAAAGGGATAATTCCTAGAAGTTTTGAATAAATAATTAGTATAATCAATAACAATAGTGATTAAAATAAGAAATTCTTATTAAGATGTTCATATATTGAGATATACAATGAAGAGATTCATGATTTATTGAGTAAGGATGTTAAATAAAGATATGAATTGAAAGAAGGATAATAAGGTGTTTATGTAAAAGATTTGAACATTCCGATAGTGAAAACAATATAAGAAATGGATAAATATATGGTTTTGGGGGCATAGAATAGGTCAGTTGGAGCAACAGCTATGAATAAAGAGTCAAGTAGGAGTCATTGTATTTTTACAGTATATATTGAATGTTCATTGAGTGATGAGAAAGGGAATGAACGAATAACAGCTGGGAAATTGAATTTAGTAGATTTGGCAGGAAGTGAAAGATAATCAAAGACTTAAGCTACAGGAGATAGATTAAAAGAAGCAACCAAAATTAATTTATCATTATCTGCTTTAGGAAATGTAATATCAGCTTTAGTTGATGGAAAGACTTAACATATTCCATACAGAGATTCCAAATTAACAAGATTATTATAGGATTCTTTAGGTGGTAATACAAAGACAATAATGATAACTGCAATATCTCCATCAGATTTTAATTATGAAGAGACTTTATCAAGTTTAAGATATGCATCTAGAGCGAAAATGATTAAAAATTAACCTAAAGTTAATGAAGATCCGAAAGATGCTCTTTTAAAAGAATAAGCAGAAGAAATTAAAAAACTGAGGGAATTATTATTAAGATAAAAAGGAGATCATCATTAAATTGATAATATTAAATTTAATAATTATGAGGATAACGATAATCATAATGAATAAATTAATTAATTTAAAGAGATCAATAATTAATTAATTTAGGAGAAATAAAGATATGAAACTGAGATGAAATAAAAAAGTGAATAAGCTGAATAAGAAAAATAAGCAAGATAGAGATTGGAAGAATTATTGAAGGAAAAAGAATAAATGATGATTAAAGGAGGAAAAGGAACTGAAGATGATAAAAAAAAATATAAGAAAATGTAATAAGCTATAGAATTATAAAAAAAAGAACATGAATAACTTAAGTTTTTGTAGGAATAAAAAGAAAAAGAAATGCTTGAAATTGAAAATAAATATAATAGTGTACAAGATGAAGTTGAAAAATTAAGAAAATAAGTTAATTATTTTAAAAGCAAATTTGAGTAATAAAAACAAGAGTTAAATGAGATGAAATAAGATTTTGAATATGATAAGGAAGATTTTTTAGATACAATTAGATCTTAATCAAAAGAAATTAAATTATATTCTGGAGTTTTGAGAATGATTTTATTATAAGAAGATATTGATAAAATCACTAATTGTTGTGAATGGAATGATGATTTAGAAGAATACAAAATACCTCCATTCAATATCAAAGCTAAAAAAGTAAACTTTCCAAATTTACCTTATTAAAAAGCAATGGATTTAATTGATGTAGAAAAATAAGAAAGATAAATAGAAATCAACTAAAAATAAGTTGAAATTAATCAAAGATAATTGCCATCTAGTTATAGAGATGTAGAAAATACCAGAAATTATTCACCTTATAAACAAAGAAAAGGTATTAAATATTTTATAATCAGGTGAATCATAACCTAAAATGAATGGAAATAATGATAATAAAGGAATGAGTATTGTAGAAAAAACTAAATTAAATTAATAGCTTTTAGAATTATATGAAGGAAGGAATAATTAACATTAAAAAGATGAATTATAATAATAATAATTACAAAAAAGAGTGAATTAAAAAATTATTTTAAATCCAATTGATAATAGAGGTAACACAGTCCCAAATTTTAATAATTAATTTGAAGTAATAGCTGTTAATAATAATTAAAATACATCTCTAATAGCTCCTCCCTTAGTTAAAAAAAGTATAATATATGTATATATATAGTAGTTTCAAATTTAAATCCATTAGAATAAAAACCTCCAACAGGAAGATAGATATAAGTGCAAAAAATGTAATAATAATACTGATATATATAAAATCATTCTTAATAAATATGTGCTCCCAATTACCATACTTACAATATATTATTATCTTCAACACTTGATATTATATAGTTTTCATTAAGATTCCAATCTAAATCACATACTTTAGATCTGTGTCCCCCATGAACAAACTAAATGATATAACATAATTAAATACTAATAATTCAGGAGGTCCATCCTAAGCTTCCTCTGGTGTTTATGCTTTTCCACACCTTCCAAAATCCCATATCATGCATCTACGATCAGCTGAACTGCTAACAAATGTTTTCATATTATGTGGTGACCATTTCAAAGATAGGATTTAATCACCATGACTTTCAAATGTATGAAGCGGTTTTTCTGTATTTCTCATATCAAAAAGATTGATCCTTTTATCTTCTGACCCTGTAATAAAAAAGTATTCATTAAAATGATTAAAATCTAAACAGTAAATATCTCCAGCATGAGTCTAAATATCGCTTAATGGTTAAGGTTTACGAGTATCCCAACTAAACATAAATATCATTATATTATTACATTCTCACATGTCTATCATCTCCACATGTACCAAATATTTCTGGATGAAATCTATGCCAACATACATCTTCAATTTATAAATTATTTGCTTGAAATGTTTATTTTGGTTCTGGAGTATTAGTTTCAGTGTCCCATATACATATTTTACCATCATAATCTCCACTTAACAAATGACCCACTTTTTATTCGCTCCAAGATATTCCAAATCTATAATTAATTTATAATCATATACCCTTCTTTCTGATGGCCAACTAATTTCAAATCTGGTTTTACTATATTATTGGATGGTTAAGAGGGATGCTTAATATAATCAAAAATGTGAATTTCTCCTTTTGGTGTGAAAGTGGCAATTATATTTGATTTTTAAGGCATGTACCTTGCTCTATTTACTTCTCCTTCATGATTTATTCTTACATCAATTTCTATTCTACTTTCTCCTGTTGCTTTGCCTATTCCACTAGATTCATTTTATTTGTATTCTGAAGGATCCTATTATACATCAGAATCTTTTGGCAATCGAACCTAATATATTTTAAGTTACTCTACTTTAGCAATCATTAATGAATTCATTTCATTATCCCCGGTATTTGTTCCAATAATCAATTTATGAATTGAATAATCTTAACCTTGTGGTGTTTCTTTCTTTGGTAACCACTACACTGTCAAAGATGGCCACTCTACTGGATGACTAATTGCCAAATCATATAGAAATGGTGCATTCTTTTTCCATATTTTGTATTCCTCATTTATTGTTGCTTCCTAAGATTGTTCATCAAATATCTAATCTTAATTTGCTGCCATTTTGGCTCCAAAAATTAAATTAATTAACTTTCATTATAAAATCAGCTAATTATTTCTTCTTCATCTTCTTCAAATTATCCATTTTGTATTTTTTTATTTACCGTCCAAGTATCATATAAAATTAATCCATTTGATATTAATTCTCTTACATTTGTTGACAATATCTAAATTCTATTTCTTGCATTCCAAAGATTTATTATAAATTAAGAATTCTATTATTCATTTTATAGAAAGCATCCTTAATCCGAAATTCTATTTTAGTGATCATTTAATTGCATTCCAATCTAATCCTGATAATATAAAAAACGTTGATTTTTAAAGGCAAAACAACGGTAAAGACTTTATAACTAAACCTTTAAACTCTTTAGTCAATACTTCGTTTTTTAATTTAATTTAAAATCAAAATATACAATGTATCCATTGGTATATGATTTAAGAAAAAAATGAAATATCGAATGACAATGGTGATCCATCTTTTGTATGCATCTATTGCATATTTATATTGATAGACTCTCTAAGGCCTCATTAAACAACCTTTACAAAAAAGTTTGATTGTCAATTTGGTTTTATTGTATTTGCATTTCATTGTATCATAAATAAATGATCTTCCAATTTTATAATCTCTTTTTATGAATATTTCATTTATTAATCCTGAAGATACTATCATCACTTAGACTCTAACATTAAAACATAATTATATAATAAAAAATTTTGATTACAATTTTAATAATTAAGATTGTATTACTCCATATTCTTAATAATCTAAAGTTAATTATTTTTTAGTTTATCAATGTAATNTTTACTTCTCCTTCATGATTTATTCTTACATCAATTTCTATTCTACTTTCTCCTGTTGCTTTGCCTATTCCACTAGATTCATTTTATTTGTATTCTGAAGGATCCTATTATACATCAGAATCTTTTGGCAATCGAACCTAATATATTTTAAGTTACTCTACTTTAGCAATCATTAATGAATTCATTTCATTATCCCCGGTATTTGTTCCAATAATCAATTTATGAATTGAATAATCTTAACCTTGTGGTGTTTCTTTCTTTGGTAACCACTACACTGTCAAAGATGGCCACTCTACTGGATGACTAATTGCCAAATCATATAGAAATGGTGCATTCTTTTTCCATATTTTGTATTCCTCATTTATTGTTGCTTCCTAAGATTGTTCATCAAATATCTAATCTTAATTTGCTGCCATTTTGGCTCCAAAAATTAAATTAATTAACTTTCATTATAAAATCAGCTAATTATTTCTTCTTCATCTTCTTCAAATTATCCATTTTGTATTTTTTTATTTACCGTCCAAGTATCATATAAAATTAATCCATTTGATATTAATTCTCTTACATTTGTTGACAATATCTAAATTCTATTTCTTGCATTCCAAAGATTTATTATAAATTAAGAATTCTATTATTCATTTTATAGAAAGCATCCTTAATCCGAAATTCTATTTTAGTGATCATTTAATTGCATTCCAATCTAATCCTGATAATATAAAAAACGTTGATTTTTAAAGGCAAAACAACGGTAAAGACTTTATAACTAAACCTTTAAACTCTTTAGTCAATACTTCGTTTTTTAATTTAATTTAAAATCAAAATATACAATGTATCCATTGGTATATGATTTAAGAAAAAAATGAAATATCGAATGACAATGGTGATCCATCTTTTGTATGCATCTATTGCATATTTATATTGATAGACTCTCTAAGGCCTCATTAAACAACCTTTACAAAAAAGTTTGATTGTCAATTTGGTTTTATTGTATTTGCATTTCATTGTATCATAAATAAATGATCTTCCAATTTTATAATCTCTTTTTATGAATATTTCATTTATTAATCCTGAAGATACTATCATCACTTAGACTCTAACATTAAAACATAATTATATAATAAAAAATTTTGATTACAATTTTAATAATTAAGATTGTATTACTCCATATTCTTAATAATCTAAAGTTAATTATTTTTTAGTTTATCAATGTAATCCCACTTAATAATAAAAATGATTTAAGTATACTATTTCTGATTTTTTCTATATAATCTAGTGACATTTAAATATTTTAGGAGATATTTCTACATGTTGAAAAATGCTGGATATATTTTTTAAGGTGAATAAAAGTTTAAGAGGAATTAGTCTAAAATAATAAAAATTAAGAAAAGTATCTATAGATATAGTAATATAAATTTAAAATAGTATAGAATAAGATCTTAAGAATTATAAGTAATAAACAAATATTTTTTAATATATGTATATAATTTGTTCTAAATAGAAGTAATATATTATAAATGGGAAATTAATGTACTGCAATAGATCATTGTTCAAAAGCAGAAGTTATTTTTGATACAACAGGTGGGGAATTATACACAGAGAATATAGAATTAACAGATAGGCCATCAGAGGATTTTGTTTAATCGGTAAGAATGAGTTATAGACCCTAACAATCAATTCCAAAATAGAAAGTATAGGTTGAAATAGAATTAGAAGATAAGATAGAAGAGCGACCAACATATTAGTTTCCAGATGGTGTTCTATACACAGGTTAATGGAAAGGAACAATACGAGAGGGTCATGGAATACAAGAATGTAAAAGAGATTATAAAATATAAAGGGCCTGATGGAGCAAGATATGAGGGAGAGTTTCACAATAATGTACCACATGGAAGAGGAAAGTTTATTCATGTAGATGGAGATATATATGAAGGAGAATGGAATGAAGGATAAGCAGAGGGATTTGGTACTTTTTATTATAAATTGAATGGAAAGTATGAAGGAGAATGGAAGGAAGATGTATAACATGGGTTTGGGAAATAAGAATGGCCGGATGGATCACGTTATGAAGGTAATTATGTAAATGGAATGAAACACGGAGAAGGAAATTATTATTGGGCAGATGGAACTTCTTATTAAGGAGAATGGGCATAGAATTAATTTAATGGATAAGGAGTATATGCATGGGCAAATGGAAGATCATATGAAGGATCATTTTTAAATGGTTTTATGCATGGATAGGGTTTATATAAATGGCCAGATGGTAAGTAATATTAAGGAGAGTTTAAGAATGATAAAAAGGATGGTTTTGGTGTTTATACATGGGCAGATGGTAAGAGATATGAAGGAAGTTTTACTGATGGATTATAGAATGGAAGAGGAACTATGGTATTTTAGGATGGAACGATTAAGTAGGGTATTTGGGAGAAGGGCAAGAGAATTGGATGGATGGATGAAAATAATGAGTTACAGAGAAGCGTAATAATGAGTTAGATTGAAAATTAGAGTTTATATTAAAGTTAGTTGCCAAGTTAAGTAAGAATGGTTTAGGATTGATTTAGATTTATGCTATATGTATTTACTAATAATTATAAATAAATAGAAAATAATAATCATTAGTATCCATATTAAGATGAATGAAAATTTATAAAGAAATAAATAATATTTAAAATAATATCTAGAGTTTATGTATTATATTAGGTTGTCGTAAATAATCATATAAATCTATAAATTATTAAATTTAAATATCAACAATATATATCATTAATAATCTTTACAATAATATAGTAATGAGAAAAAAGGAGAACAGAGAATAAAGTAAAAAGGAGAGTTGAGAATTATTAAATATAAATATGTAATTTTTATTATGTATATATATATATATCTTTCTTTATGATTTTCAGACAGCTGAAGCTCCTGAAATAATTTCACATAATTCTACCGTGATTTTAGCTTGTCTAACCTTATTGTATTCTAGAGTCAACTTATCAAGCATTTCTCCTGCATTCTTGGAAGCATTTTCCATAGCATTCATTCTAGAGGATGTTTCACTAGCAAAATTATTTAACATTGCATGATAGAATGCAGTTGCTAAATAATATTCGTACATGTAATTTTAAACGAATTCTTTTTCTGGTTCTGCAGTATCATATTTAGTGACCAATCTAAATTAAGCAATAAAGTTCTTTCTATTGAGTAAATCTACTCTCTTAACAACTTATTAAACAACATTCTTGAATTAATTGAAAATAATAGAAATTTAGTCAACATCCTCAGTAGCATTAAGTTAAATTTGATGTGCAATAGATGAACTATTAACAAAATTAATTGGTGTTTAAATAGCTGTGACTGCTTATGTTAATAATTCTGGGAATCCTCTTTACAAAGCTCCCAAAGACTATAATTAAATTTGTATTTAATACCTTCTCACCGACCAAGAATAATTTATAAGCATTACGATTTTGTCTGACAATACTTCTTGTTTCTCTTATGATTGAAGAATTAATGCCACCACAAAGTCCTTTATCAGAAGTAATTGGACAAATCAAGGTCTTATTAATCTTAAATGTCAATTGCTTCTTCTATAGATAAGTTTCTTAAGCAAATAAATCTTAGACTGAACGAATTCCAAAGTACTTTCCATTCTCTAATCTTTAAACATCTTGCTTCATTTTAGAAGCAGCAACCATCTTCATTGCCTTTGTAATCTTTCTAATTGATCCAACAGACTTCATTCTCTGCTTCAATTACTTTAAATTCAATGTTGCGAATGCATACTATGGTACTGGAGTTAAGCTACTCCATAGACCGAGTGTGGCACCCTATAATCTCTACATATTTAATTAAATAAATAAATCTTTATCACAAAAGAGTACATTATTTTAAATCTCAACCGTAATTAAAATTAAAGAATGCTCCACACTCTACGCTCCATATAAGCTCCTTTCACACTCAATAATACTGCTCGTGCACTCTTCGCCAAATTTGTCAGAGACAAGCCTCATCTTAATGTCGGTACCATAGGACATATCGATCATGGTAAAACTACACTTACCTCTGCCATCACAAAAGTCTTGGCTAAATAATAGTAATTATAAAAAATAAACCAAATAGACTTGCTGAGTTCCAAGAATATGGTAAAATTGATAAGGCTCCTGAAGAAAAGGCTCGTGGTATCACTATCAATAGTGCTACAGTGGAATATTAGACAAAAACAAGACATTATGGGTAATAATTAATGTTATATTTTATCTTTCAGTCATGTAGATTGTCCAGGACATATTGATTATGTGAAAAACATGATTACAGGAGCTGCCAAAATGGATGCTGCAATTTTAGTTGTGGCAGCCACAGATGGTTGTATGGCTTAGACACGTGAACATGTACTTTTATGTCGTTAAGTTGGTGTGGAGACTATTATTGTGTTTGTTAATAAGATAGATTTAGCTAAAGATCCAGAAATCCATGAATTGGTAGAGATGGAAATAAGAGAACTTCTTAGCAAATATGAATATGATGGTGACAATGCAAAGATTGTAAAAGGTTCAGCATTACTTGCATCTAATGATTAAGAACCTGAATTAGGTGAAAAATCAATACTTTAATTACTTGATACAATGGATAAGGAGATTAAAATACCATAAAGACCAATTGATAAACCATTTTTAATGTCAATTGAAGGAACATATCATATAGCTGGTAGAGGAACAGTTGTAACAGGAACAATTGATTAAGGTAAAGCATCAATCAAAGACAATGTTGAAATAGTTGGATATGGTAAACCAAAATAGACAGCAATAGTTGGAGTTGAAACATTTAAAAAGTAATTAGATTTTGGAGAGGCTGGTGATAATGTAGGTGTTTTAATAAGAGGTCTTACAAGAGATGATGTTAGAAGAGGATAAGTATTATGTAAACCAGGATCTTTAACAACTCATAATTGTATTGAATCAAATCTATATATTTTGAAAGAAGAAGAAGGAGGTCGTAAAAAACCATTTCCAAATGGCTATCGTCCATAGGTAATTTTAATAATATTTATTAATTTAGATGTTTGTTAGAACTGCAGATGTTGCTGTTACATTATAGTTACCAGATAACATTAAAGTAGGTATGCCAGGAGATAATTTTACTTGTAAATTGAATCTCTCTTATAATTTACCACTTTATCAAGGTCAAAGATTCGCACTTAGAGAAGGAGGAAAAACTGTAGCAGCAGGTGTTATTTCTAAAATCTTACCAGATGAAGTAGCACCAACTTCAAAGAAATAAATTTTAGACAAATAAGAAGCAGCTGGTATAATTATTAAATATATTAATAGAAAAAAAATTAAAAGAAGCAGAAGATAATAAAGCAGCTGCTGCAGCAAAAACTGCCGCTGCAAAACTAGCAGGAGGAGCAAAATCAGCAGCTAAAGCACCACCTAAGAAATGAGATTATATATATAATAATAGTATATATATAATAAGAATATATATAATTAACTGAATTTATTATTATAGTTAAATTAATGCTAGGACTTGAATAACACTAATAACTTACATGCCAACCTACTTCTGAATTAATTTATCATCAAGAATTCGATTAACCACATGAACCAGCTATTTATATGTCTTTAAGTAAATTTTTTTTTTTATTTTTAGATTATCATAAAACTCATTAATAAAGTTACTCTTAAACATCTTAATATAGTTAGCATTCAAAACTATTTGATTTAAGAAAAAAATATCTAAAAAATAGAGAGGATACTTAAAGACGCTCAGTATCTCATCATAATAGAAACACTAATAATCGTTCACCTCTAAAGAATTAATAAACAATAAAATAGTATTCTCCAAAACAAGAAAATTATCTACCTTAACAAAAAAAGAAAACTCTTCCAGTTTCAAAAAATCTAGGTAGTAATTTAAGAAATATTCTTAAAACTAATTATGTCTAATAACCTATTTTCGAGGAAAATCCATAAAATGAAAATATAAGAAAAGAGTATTCTTAAATTATTGAAATTCCATTAGAATATTAGTCAATCAATAGTTATACTTTTATAAAAACACTTGGTATTGGAGCAACTGCTGAAGTCAAAATGGCTAGGCATAAAGATTTAGAAATTGATGTTGCTATTAAAATTTATGATAAAAAGAAAATGAATAATATGCATTTAAAAAATCTTGAAAGAGAAATTGAAATTTTAAATCAACTCAAACATCCTAACATAATCAATTTATATCATATGTTTGAAAATGATAAATCAATCTATTTAATTATGGAATATTCATCCCCAACTAATCTAGAGATATTTATGAAAGGAAGACCATTTAAAAGAATAAACGAAGATGAAGCCAAAATTTTATTTCGTTAAATTTCAGATTCTGTTTATTACATGCACGAATAAGACATATCTCATAGAGATCTTAAATTTGAAAATCTCTTAATAGATTATAATACTAGAAAGATTAAACTTATTGATTTTGGTTATTCCATTAAAACTAATGGAAAATAGACCTGCTCTTGTGGTACTCCTTAATATATGGCCCCAGAATTAGTTAAAAAAGGTACTTATGATCAATCTGTCGATGTATGGGCTTGTGGAGTCATCCTTTTCAAAATGATAACAGGGGTATTCCCTTTTAGAGGAAATTCTGAAAAGGATTTATTTAAGAAAATCTGTTTAGGCAAAATTGAATATCCATCATTTGTTTCCTTTTCAGCTAAATAATTAATTTCTGCCATGCTTAGAGTAGATCCAAAAGAAAGATTATCAATGCAAGAAGTTTAATAAAGTTAATGGTTATAGTGAATATTATCACATCATTGTTTTTATTATCGTCTAATTATAAATCTTTTTTTTTTTATGATTACTCCTTTTTAATTATTTCATAAATGAGCTATTTCTAAAATTTACATTTTTTGCCATCGATTGACATTTGATTTTAATCTTATTAAGTTGTAAAACATCTTTATCACAATTAAAGTTATTTTATAGGAGATTTTATTTATTATTATAAAAAATTAACAAATTCTCAATAATTTGCTTTTTAATAAATTTTACTTTAACAAGCTATGTCTCTTTCTTTAATTATAAAAAGTAGAAAACTTTTTAAATAGTTCTTCAAAAAAAAGAGCTTAACTAAATTTAGATTTCTTAACAATCTTTTAGTTTTTATGTTGATTAAGATAACTATTAAATAAACATATTAAATTCTTTTTTATATACAATGAGTTTATTAACTTTTATTTATTAAAGTAATAATAGCTTTAGAGTCTGTCATAAAAGAAGATTTTATAGTAGAAACATACAAAATTTGGTTGACTGAGAAAAAATAAAAAAGTTATTTTTCATAAGTGATAGTAGCATATATAATATATCATTTAATATTTTTACATTTTAGAGCTATCTCTAATAATTTAAGTTATTTCTACTTTTCCTTATTTTCCTAAAATGTATTTGAAGGTGTTTTCCTGTAAAATAGATCAAATGTATATGAATTATCTCTAGCTTAATTGATATTGCTTATTGTTTATTATAATTAAAACTAATATTTAGTTTATGAAATAGGTTTTGGGGTATTGATACTTAGTTTTGTATCCATAAAATTATTATTACTGAATATTTTATTTATTTGGATAAAATTCTTAGCTTGTTGTTCTTACTAATCTTTATTACCAGCATAATCATCTGTTTTATAATGTTGTTTCTTAAATTTTTATTACTAGATGATAAATTTTGGAAATTTAAACTTGGTTTGTGTTTAACTTTTGGATTCTTAAATTCCATTTTGTTGAATTTAATTATTTTGTGACCTGTCACTATTAACTTTTTATAATTGTTAGAAATCATTTAATGGTATTAATTACCTTCTTGATTTTGGTATGGATTGATAATTATCTTTAATATCCAATTGAAGTTTGAACTTATTTTTTTTGAGCTCTTATTATTACTTTTATTTTTCAACAAGTTGCTACTACTGTTTCATAAATCTGTCATCATTTGGATCAAATGCTCTATGAGTTTCATATTTATATTGTTCATTTATTGATAGAAACTCCATAACTTTTTTTAGTTCTTCTATAGTACTATTTTATTTTTTCTGCATCTTGCTTTTTACATATTGGGATGAGTTCTCTTTGTTAGAAAAGAGATCTAAAATACATTTCAATAAAGACTTGATTTTGAAATTAGCATTTTTTCTTAATCTTCTTTTTTTTAACATAAACTATAACTACGAAGATTTTAATGTAAGGGGAGTTCATTAATTTTCTCCTTATTATTTCTATCAAACTTTACTCTATTGAATGAATCTACATCATCCAACCATCCTGAGATCTCTTCTTCAATCATTAAACAAATAAAATTAGTTGTTAATAAATAAATTTAATATAATTAATCTTCTTAATTAAGATAAATTTTTAAGAAATAGGAAATAAAGACATCGCTGTTTATTATTTGTATTTTTTTTATTGATCTTTTTATAGAACACTCTATCTCTTAATTTTTATAAATCTAAATTTATAATCTCAAAATAATTAATCAATACTAAAATTTCACTTTTTGATTTATATTTTTAATATTGTAAGAATTACTTTTTGCATAAATAAATAACAAATCACTTTTAATACCAGGTTTTAATAGATGGTTAAAATTTTAATCAGAACATTCTAAAAAAGAAGCTATTGAATATTACTTTAAAATATTTCAATGCGTTTTATTTATTCAAAGAACAAAATACAAAAAGAACAATTATAAATAATGTTTGATGGCGATAAAATATTATTATCTAAACTATTATTTTTTGTACAGTTAAAAATATAATAATCTTGTTATCTGTAGAGATAACTTATGACAAAAGTCCATTTTATTTTGAATTTTTGAAAAACACTAATTATGGAGGAAACGTTTTTTATAATTTGATATAAGCTTAGCTTTATCGTTTATGAATTTTGCATAATAAATTCAATCTATTTCAATTTGTCCTAAATCGTAGTTGAGATTAGCTATAGATTATACTTTAAAAATAAATAAAAATATAAAAAAATCTTATTTTATAACAAAATTCGAAAATTTTGTAACATAAACTAATAATTGTTTGGAATAGTTCTAAAATGGAAATATGTTATGATTTTCTTTAATTCATTATAATATATAATTTTGATACTACATATTTCTTGGCAAATCACAAAAGCATCAAAATTGCAATTAATTCATAATTTAGAATCTTCATTTTTACTTTATTTCATTTACTAAGTTAGTTTTTTTTAGTATGGATTTGGTAGGTATAGCATTGTATTATTATTATTTGTTGAAACTTTAAGGGTTTTTAAAGTTGACTTTTGTCAAATCAAAATTCGATAATTAAGAAAGGGTTTCTTTTATTTACAATACTTCTTCTTGAGGATCATAAATGCAAACAGTAACACAATTGTGAAATTCGATTGAATAATTTTTACTTGTAATTATCTATCTTCCCTTTGTGTCATACCTCTATTATTTATTTAAAGAGAGTTGTTGTTTATTAAATTGCATAAACGGCTCCTCTGGTATAATATCATCACTTTGACCAACATTTATTTTAATTTGGAGTAGTAATTTTGGACCTAGACCTGATTTATTCATTTATATTTAATTTTTAGATTTTTAATTGATACTACAGGCAATTTACTTCTGAATTCTGCAACAATATTATGAATAACAATTCTAACAAGGAGAGAGTAATTAATATGGAAATTTAACACTGGAATTGATGCAAAATAACTGAAAAGTTGAGATTTAAAATATCAGAAGGAACTTTAAATAATTTAAAGAGGATTTTTATTAAAAATAAAACTGAATTCAATTATTATTATAATTAATTTATGGGTAGTACATGCAAAAATATTTGTAAATAATAAGTAGCAGAAAAAGAATTTAATATTAACACTGCGGGAAAAGTAAAGTTAAAAAAGAAATCATATTCAAATGGAGATTCTAAGACTGATTTATATTGTTCACCATAATAATTAATGAAAGAAGAATCAATAGGAGATGAGTCTAAAAATAGTCATAAATTAAAAGATTAGCCCTAATTCATTAAAACAAAGCAAATTAATAGTATTGTCGTTCAAACAGATAGAAAAAATCGGTTTCTTAATGATTAAGAATTGGAAGTAAAATATTTAATAAAGCAAAAGTATGTTATAAAATTTGTACATATATAGCCTTTTAAAGGAATAAGAAGAACTTAAATAGTTATAATAAGAATTCGAAAATTAAAAATAATTACAATAAAAAGAAAAAGAAAGGTAAGAAAAAGAGATGGAGAAAACTTGTTAAGAGTTAGAAAATTAATTTTCTTTTTAAAATTCTTTGAAATAGAATCAAATTGAATAAACTTATGTTTAATCAACATCTAATCCATACCTACCAAGATAAACATCTTAATTTGCACCAAAAAAAGTTGATTAAGACACAGTTTCTTAAAAATCTTAAATTTCTAAAACACCAACAATTCCTTTAAAAGATTAATAAATATCACCCAAAAGTGATATGATGAGAAAAAGTGCTTTAAAAAAAATTAAGTAAAGCAGGGAAGAAATAGCAAGTAATAATGCAAGTATTGGTTCACCTAAAAATGGGATAAAATAGAAATAATAATAAGATTCATTTGAGAAGATATTTAGTGATTGTCTTTCAATAGATGATAGAAGTTAAACTGGAAGTCACAAAACAGTAAAGAGTGTAAAAAGCATTCTTAAGAAAAATAGATCTTCATCTTTAAGGAGCATATCTATGGGAAAGAATTCAATTAAATCAAGTCATACAGTTTTTAAAACAAAATAAACAAAAAAGGTTCGTTTTTCTAANCAATTCTAACAAGGAGAGAGTAATTAATATGGAAATTTAACACTGGAATTGATGCAAAATAACTGAAAAGTTGAGATTTAAAATATCAGAAGGAACTTTAAATAATTTAAAGAGGATTTTTATTAAAAATAAAACTGAATTCAATTATTATTATAATTAATTTATGGGTAGTACATGCAAAAATATTTGTAAATAATAAGTAGCAGAAAAAGAATTTAATATTAACACTGCGGGAAAAGTAAAGTTAAAAAAGAAATCATATTCAAATGGAGATTCTAAGACTGATTTATATTGTTCACCATAATAATTAATGAAAGAAGAATCAATAGGAGATGAGTCTAAAAATAGTCATAAATTAAAAGATTAGCCCTAATTCATTAAAACAAAGCAAATTAATAGTATTGTCGTTCAAACAGATAGAAAAAATCGGTTTCTTAATGATTAAGAATTGGAAGTAAAATATTTAATAAAGCAAAAGTATGTTATAAAATTTGTACATATATAGCCTTTTAAAGGAATAAGAAGAACTTAAATAGTTATAATAAGAATTCGAAAATTAAAAATAATTACAATAAAAAGAAAAAGAAAGGTAAGAAAAAGAGATGGAGAAAACTTGTTAAGAGTTAGAAAATTAATTTTCTTTTTAAAATTCTTTGAAATAGAATCAAATTGAATAAACTTATGTTTAATCAACATCTAATCCATACCTACCAAGATAAACATCTTAATTTGCACCAAAAAAAGTTGATTAAGACACAGTTTCTTAAAAATCTTAAATTTCTAAAACACCAACAATTCCTTTAAAAGATTAATAAATATCACCCAAAAGTGATATGATGAGAAAAAGTGCTTTAAAAAAAATTAAGTAAAGCAGGGAAGAAATAGCAAGTAATAATGCAAGTATTGGTTCACCTAAAAATGGGATAAAATAGAAATAATAATAAGATTCATTTGAGAAGATATTTAGTGATTGTCTTTCAATAGATGATAGAAGTTAAACTGGAAGTCACAAAACAGTAAAGAGTGTAAAAAGCATTCTTAAGAAAAATAGATCTTCATCTTTAAGGAGCATATCTATGGGAAAGAATTCAATTAAATCAAGTCATACAGTTTTTAAAACAAAATAAACAAAAAAGGTTCGTTTTTCTAATGATACTAATTTTAATAATGAAAGAAAAGGAGTTCCTAAATTAAAAAGAAATTGGTGGGAATGATGAGATTCGCCTGTTACTTAAGAAGTAAATTTACTAAAATCTTTGATACTAATATGTTGTTATATATATTAATGTGTTAACTTTTTCATTAGTTATTTTATGATAATTTTTATTTGATTAAATTTTCTAAAGTTTCTAGATCTTAAGCAAATTTTCTAATTCCTTCATTTAATTTTTCAGTACCCATAGCATCCTCTATAGATTATAATTAAAAATTACAGTTCATTTCCCATCTATAAGTTTTTTCATCAACATTAACTTTTTCAATATTTAAGTTATCTAAATTTTAAACTTTTAATTTAGGTTCTAATACAGTTCCTTCTAATGCTTATAAATCATTGAGTAATTTAATAGGGATAGTCATTCTATCACATCCACACAATTCAGTAGCTTCATCTACTAAACGGAGAGATGCTGCCTATATTAAATATAAAAATAATAAATTACCATAACAATTGTATCATATTTAAACTTTTTAAAACTATTCCAAATACTAGTTACTAATTTAACACCAGGATGATTTTATTTAGTATAATCTTCACCACTTTTATTTTTTGAAAACCAATCTAAAATTCTACCAACAAATGGGGAAATTAATCTAACACCAGCTTAAGCACATGCTAAAGCTTAATAATAATTAAAAATGAGAGTCATATTGCATAATATGCCTTCTTTTTTTAAAGCTTTAGCAGCTTGAATTCCTTCCCATGTGCTAGCAATTTTAACAAGAATTCTATTCTTAGAAATACCAGCTTATTCATAAAGAGTTATAATTCTTTTGGCTTTGTCAATGGTTGCTTATTTATCATAACTTAAACGAGCATCAACTTCAGTAGAAACATATCCTGGAACTAATTTAAGGATTTCTAATCCAAAATTAACACTTAATTAATCAGTTATTGATCCAATAACAATTTTTTATTCTTCTGGATTTAATGTATTAAAATTGAATTATGGTAATTCTGGTTCAACTATTTCCTTAATTTCAGGTTCATCTTTCTTTTTTCTAGAATTAGTTCTTTTTGGTTATTTTTAACTAGAGATTAATAATGGACATACACTGGTTGTTTAGATAGTTGATAAGCTTTAATACCTTTTTGGATAGCATCATCAATTAAAGCTTAATATTCTGGTAATTTAGCAGCTTCAAGAATCAGACTAGGATTAGTAGTGGCATCTTCAGGTAGGAATTTTTAAATGTCATTGATCTTGCCAGTATCAGCTACTACCACAGTATGCTAACATGAGTATAAATGATAAATACATCTCTAAGAGAATTCAAAGCATTTGGATTTGATTTAACTTTCTTTTATGGTGAGGAACCATCATGTTATACTTCACCACCGTCCATAATTAAATAATAATACTTTAACACATTTTAAGTATTTTTAGTGCAATTTATACTAAATTATATTTAATAAAATCGCGCCTAAAATGAGTGCAGAAAATGAAATTCAGGAGGAGAAAAATTATGAAGAGTAATATCGAAATTGGAAGCAGAATATTCCTTTTATGTATGAAATTTGTATCAATCATCAAAACAATTGGCCATCTTTAACAGTTTGTTGGTTGAACGAACTTGAAATGTCTAATCCATAATTATCTTAGTGATCAAAATGAAAATGAAGTACATAGATTGATAGTGGCCACACAGACTAATAATCAAGAGTAGGACTATATTAAATTGCTAAAAGTTGCTATTCCAAAAGAAATTGATGACAAACTTGATAACACTTTGCTTAACAATATTTGTACTTAAATATCAATATTCTTAGGGAAAACTTAAGCAGTTGGAAAAGTCTAAGAAGAATTGTAAATCCCAGTAGAATTTGAAATAAATCGAGTAAGATAATAACCAAATAATTAATACATTTTAGCAGCTTAGGCAGGAAATGGTGAAGTTGGTATAAATATCTAATCTATTCTCTTAGGTATATATGATTTAAGTAAAAAATCAAAAGTTTAAGTTTTAAATGGATAGACTAAAGAAGGTTATGGATTATCATGGAATTCAACTAATTGTGGACATTTATTATCAGCAAGTTATGATCATAAAATATATTATTGGGATACAAATACAGCAGAACTAATAAAGTCTTACAATTTTCATTCAGCTGAAGTTGAAGATGTGTGTTGGCATCCACAAAATCCAAACATTTTTCTTTCATGTTCTGATGATAAGACATTTGCTATGTAAAATAATCATTTTATTTTATAGTTGTGATATTCGTACTAATTAAGGAGTTACAATTTAATAAGAAGCTCACTCTTAAGAAGTTAATTGTGCTTAATTTAATAATTTCTAATCTAATTTATTTGCAACAGGATCTAATGATGCTTAAGTTAAAATGTTTGATATGAATAAACCAGAAGAAGATATACATACTTTCTCAAATCATGAAGATGCTATATATAGTCTTTAATGGTCACCTCATTAAAGAAATCTACTTGCATCTGGTTCTGTTGATACTAAAATTGTCGTCTGGGATTATTTCAAAATTGGTAATGAAATTAAAGCTGAAGATGAAAAAGATGGCCCATCAGAATTATTGGTATTTAATCTCTTATTATTATAGTTTTATCATGGAGGACATACCTCTAAAGTTAATGATTTATCATGGAATCTTAATCATAGACATTTATTAGCAAGTGTAGAATAAGAGAAAAACATATTATAAATATGGAAGATTTAATAATAACTATGGGAACAGGATGAAAATGATGAATATATTCAATCTCTAGTTTGATCAAATTATTTTTTTATTAAATTATAAAATAATTATTAAAGAATTACATAACTTTATTTTTTTGTTCTTTTATTTATATATATATATACTTATATTTTATTATAAATTATGTCTAACTTCGTTTAGAATATGCATAATCAAACTTAAACAGAAATCGAATCTAAAGAAAAATACTGTTTTTTATCAAAATTATACTAAGATCTTAGGTAAGATTCAAATGACCAAAATAATGAAGATTAATATCAAAATCAAACTGAAAAAAACAATAATAATTCATAAGATGACCCAATTTTAAAATTATAATATATAAAAAGAGATGATCATGAATAATAATAAAATAATTTCCGAGGAAATGATATATCCTATAATAAGTTTAAAGATTAAAATAATTCAAATCTTAATAACGAAAAGTAACATTAATAGATTAAAAAAAGAAAAAAAAAACATTAACAACAATTATAAAATTAGGAAGAATAAATTTAATTAAAATAAACAGAAAATATTTAAGATATTGTTTCAAAGAACAAAAAATTAAAAGTTGCTGCATAATTGGCTTTAGAAATGTAGGAATAAAAAAGAAGAATTTAATAAGAACAAAAGAGACTGGAATTATTTTAAAAAGAGCAAGATGAATAAATTTAAAAATAAGAAGAATAACTAGCAGAAATTAGGTATTAATAATTCCAAGCATCAAGATGTAGTCATTGTTTGAATTTAAAAAGAAGATTAAACTAAAAGGAATGTAAAATTGTTATTGAAAAATAAGCCCTATTTTAAGAATTTATTAAACAATAATCACAACAATAATAGTACTAATAAAAACAAGTGGAGTAGTATTAATAATAATAATACACATGAATATCGTATTTGATAAGATTATGAGTATAATATAATTATAATTACATACAAAAGTTCATAAAAAAATTATATATGTTTATTTTAGGTCGGTATAATTCTGAAAAGACAACCTTAATAAAGGGATTAATCTAATTTTTAGAAAATTAGAGTTTTTATATTGAACAGTTTGGTAAAACGTTTTTTTGTTAGCCAACTTCAAATAATATAAATAGATTTGTTGAAATTTGATAATATTTTCCTGTAAATTATGAAAATTAGAATTTGATGTTTTATGATTTACCTCAAAATCCTAAATAAATTTTAATTTACCCTAGCTGTGATAATTCCAGATTAATTTTTTGAAATAATGAATGGTTTAGAAGAATAAAGTAGGAAAGATATAGAATATTTAAATTTACATAAAATATCTTTTATTATTGCTCTTAAGTTTGATAGGTGCCTTAAATTAAGATAATATAATTAATAATCATATCAATAATTATAAAATTAAATGTTAAATCTTTATTTAGAAATAAACTGGATGAACTAATGAATTAAAGCTCTAAAAGATCTGAAAGAAGTTCATTATTGGAAAAAAATACTTTACTATAATCTTGTATACAAATAGTTCCTTGGATTCGAAGATTTATTGAATNATAACGAAAAGTAACATTAATAGATTAAAAAAAGAAAAAAAAAACATTAACAACAATTATAAAATTAGGAAGAATAAATTTAATTAAAATAAACAGAAAATATTTAAGATATTGTTTCAAAGAACAAAAAATTAAAAGTTGCTGCATAATTGGCTTTAGAAATGTAGGAATAAAAAAGAAGAATTTAATAAGAACAAAAGAGACTGGAATTATTTTAAAAAGAGCAAGATGAATAAATTTAAAAATAAGAAGAATAACTAGCAGAAATTAGGTATTAATAATTCCAAGCATCAAGATGTAGTCATTGTTTGAATTTAAAAAGAAGATTAAACTAAAAGGAATGTAAAATTGTTATTGAAAAATAAGCCCTATTTTAAGAATTTATTAAACAATAATCACAACAATAATAGTACTAATAAAAACAAGTGGAGTAGTATTAATAATAATAATACACATGAATATCGTATTTGATAAGATTATGAGTATAATATAATTATAATTACATACAAAAGTTCATAAAAAAATTATATATGTTTATTTTAGGTCGGTATAATTCTGAAAAGACAACCTTAATAAAGGGATTAATCTAATTTTTAGAAAATTAGAGTTTTTATATTGAACAGTTTGGTAAAACGTTTTTTTGTTAGCCAACTTCAAATAATATAAATAGATTTGTTGAAATTTGATAATATTTTCCTGTAAATTATGAAAATTAGAATTTGATGTTTTATGATTTACCTCAAAATCCTAAATAAATTTTAATTTACCCTAGCTGTGATAATTCCAGATTAATTTTTTGAAATAATGAATGGTTTAGAAGAATAAAGTAGGAAAGATATAGAATATTTAAATTTACATAAAATATCTTTTATTATTGCTCTTAAGTTTGATAGGTGCCTTAAATTAAGATAATATAATTAATAATCATATCAATAATTATAAAATTAAATGTTAAATCTTTATTTAGAAATAAACTGGATGAACTAATGAATTAAAGCTCTAAAAGATCTGAAAGAAGTTCATTATTGGAAAAAAATACTTTACTATAATCTTGTATACAAATAGTTCCTTGGATTCGAAGATTTATTGAATACCCTTCTAAAAAAAACAAAAAACAATTTTTATTAATGAATATGCCAAATAATTAACCTTAATAAATTAAATAGATTAGATAGTGAATTATGGATTGCTTAATAATTAAAAGTCATATAAAAGGAAGAGATAAAATATTAATTGCAGATATTTATAAAGATTTCGAGAAATTTAATAGATAATCTTATAGAAAAGACTTAATCATGGATGATTAGATGCTTGTTAAAGAATTGAAATAGTATTTTTCTATAGTTTGGATTAAATAAATTATATATTTATTATTCAATTAAAAAGCAATCTTTCTTTTTATTAATCTAAATATTCATTCAAAGGACCAATTATTTTATTATAAGATTATAATTGTGATTCTTAAACTCTTGAAAGTACGGAATTGAATAAATTTTCCTTTTTTATTGTATAATTTAGTCTATCAATTTCGTTAATTAATTCTTTTTGAGATTTTTCTAAAAGTTCAATATTTGTTAGCTAGTCTTAGATAATTATGTTTAATTCTTATTCTCGCATAACTAATTATTGATTTAAGCTTAAAATATATTTCTAAAATATATAAAATATTTACATTCTATTCTTCTGTTAATTTCAAGATGCTATCATTTCTGTCTAATTTTTCAGTGATTGAATTTATTTAATTTTTTTGGTTGTTTGAAAAATCTTATAAATTACTAAATTCTAATTGTTATTTCAAATTTTATTCTTCCAATTATTTAATTGTTAATTTTAACTTTTTAATTTATTCAATTAGAGCATCATCTAAAGGTTATAGTTTCTGTTATTATGATTATTACTCATTTTATCTAAATAATAGTATTTCCTTTTAGTAATTTTGAATTTAAATTTTCATTTTTTATATTTCTTCAAGTTATAGTTTAATCTATGAATCATATTCTTTATATAAACTATTTTATAACAAAAATTCTTATTGTAGTTTCATTAGTTAATTTTAGCTCTATTGATATTATTCAATAAGTTATTCCTTATCTAGTTTTAATGTGAAGAGATCTTAATTTTCACATTCTACTTATGTAGCAGCATCAATCATTCTCTTAAATGTTGGAGATGTAGGAAATTATGAAATTATTGGATAATCATGTTCCTAACCTACAGTTAGATAATGAGAATGAATCATTTATTTTTTATCTGAACTATTTGCACTTTATTCTTAATAACTATTTGATGAAAGTGAATATTATTAAGAATTATTTAAAGAACTTTTAATTGGAGACGGGGATGCTACATCATTCTGTAAAAATATGAACTTTAATTAAACTTTTATTTATGTTGAGCATTCACTCTAAAATTCATACCATTAGGCATACTCTTATTTATATTCTAATATTTCTCTTACAGATAATTTTAATCTACCTTAAACCTTTAAAAATATTATATAATATGTTTACAGATTTATCAGTTAAATTTTTTATGATCATACTAATTTATGATTCTGGATCACTTAAGGATATTTTAACACAATTATTTGAATCTGCAAATAATGCAACATCAATAAATTTAGCATCCTTTTTAATTAAAGAGTAATAGCATCCTAAATCAGATATACTGTCTTGTAATTGTTAACATTATTAATCAATTATTTAAATTTGAACTGCTTTGTAATTATTCATTAATATAATAAATTAATAACTTTTATAAATTTGATCTCTAATATATCAAATACTTAAATTTGCTAATTTAACAACTTCAATAAATTAATTGTAAATAATTTAATGAATTACTTTCAAAGTTTTTTATTGGCTAAGCAATTATTGAAAAATTTATAGAATATTATTATAAAATCAATTATTTTCATATTTTAACGAAGAAATTTGAAATTAATCAGTAAGATTTATTTATGTGTCATGGTTGATATAACTAAAGAAAAGAATAGTAAATATTGTTTTAAAGATTCCGTAAATAATTAAAAAATAAAGAATATTATATAGTATATTAATTAAAATAATTCGAGTTATTAGTTAGATATTTCTTCAAATGGATAGTATGTTATTTTAAAATGGTTAGAGTGAGTTTCTACGTTATTGAAATGAAATAATGAATTAGAAAATAATATAATTATAAATGGAAAACAACAAAAATTGAGAAGTAAGAGAAAAAATTAAATGAATCATAATTGATCAGTTTTAAATGATATTTGATATTAGAAATAGTTTGATTTGCTTATAAATATAAATAAAATGTAATAATAAATTTATAGAAGGCATAGTGGTTCTTCAATAAATGATGAGGAAGTAGAAGAGATTGATAACTATCAAACTTAATTTCAATAATCTTATAATAGTGATCCAGACATTAATGAGAATATTGATAAAATATTAATGAGTGAAGCTTAAGCAAGAGAATTAGAGGAGAAAGTAGAAGAATAAGAGCAGATAATATTAGAATAAGAGATAGTTGATCATGATGCATAAATGGAAGAATTATTGAATAGTATTAATTTAAATGTTCTGCCTCGTTAGAATTAGATGTAGATTTAAGAATATCCATAAATATTACCAGTTGTATTGTAGATATAATCAATGAAATCTTTATTAAAGAAATAAAGAGCAAATATTGATTTAATGTGTGTAGTAGATGTAAGTGGTTCAATGGATGGAGAAAAGATTAAATTAGTATAGAACTCTTTGAGATATATTTAAAAGATATTAAAACCAACAGATAGAATAGCTTTAGTAAGTTTTTCTACATAAGCAGGAATAAATTTATAATGGACAAGAAATCTTGTAGAAAATAAGAAGACTATAAAGAAGGCAATAAAAAATATTAAGATTAGAGATTCAACGAATATAGCATCAGGAGTTGCATTAGGATTAAGAATGATAAAGGATAGAAAATTTAAGAATCCAGTTACATGTATGTTTGTATTAAGTGATGGTGTGGATGATGATAAAGGTGCTGATTTAAGATGTTAAAAAGCATTAGAAAAATATAATCTATAGGATACATTAACAATAAATACTTTTGGTTATGGTTCAGATCATGATCCTAAAGTTATGAATAATATTGCTAATTTAAAAGGAGGATAATTTGTTTATATTGATTAAATCTAAAGAGTTTCTGAACATTTTATATTAGCAATGAGTAGTATGTTATCAGTCAAAGCTAAAAATGTTATATTGAAAGTTAAATAATTAAAAGAAGACATTAAAATAGCTAAGATATTTGGTGATGATTTTTTATGGAATAAAATTAGTGATACTCAATTTTAATTGACATTAAATTATTTAGTAGAAGAAGATAAAAAAGAATTTGCCTTAGAAATTGAAATCCCAAGCCTTAAATAATAAGAATTATTATAAGAAAATATATTATAAATTGATTTAGAGGGAGTATTTCTTGGATTAAATGCTGATTTTAAGAAAACCTAAAAATTATTATTGGGTTTCACTAAAAATGAAGTTTAATATGAACCATTAGAATTAGTTGAAGTTAATTATTTGAGATCTAAAGCAGGAGATAGAATTGGTTAGGCTAAAGGATTAGCTAACAGTAAAAAATATGATTAAGCAATACAATTACTAAATAAAATGATTGATGAAATTGAAACTTCATAGTTTGTCTAAAATAAATAATTAACTGTAGTCTTAAAAGATTTAAATGATATTAAATAAATTTGTAAACCTTAAACTTATGAAAAAGAAGGTGAAGCTATGATGTTGTATAAATAGAAAAATCATGTTTTTAGATAGAGATCAATAAGTATATATTTAATCATTATTATTAAGATAATTCTGATGAATGGTGTGAAGCTGAAGAGGAATAAATGGATGAATATAGAAATGGAAATTTAAATCTGAGTGCTAGTGAAGGTAGTTGTCATAGTGCAAATTTTAAATAATTTAAACATAGTCAATCTTCAGGATCTATTCATCAAGAAATTATTCGTTAAGAAATTGACAATGAAATTGAACAAGATCAATCATCAAGTCCTAAAAACATTTTGAGATAAAGATCTCTCAGTGGAAGTTGCGATACTTGTAGAAAGAATTCTTAACATTCATCGAAGAGTTGATTTTATATTAGAAAAAGATTTATAAAATTAAAATTAATTCTATCATTTTAGTCCTTTGTTGTGAAAGTTCCTCTTAAACTTCTTATAAATTAAAATTTTTTATTTCTTCATAAAAAATATTAAAGTTATAATACTAATTCTTAAATTCCTCATAAGGATTTAAACATATTAATAGATAGAGAAGTAGCAAATTTGATCTCAATTTCTTTGCTATTTAGATTTTTTATCAATTTTAAGTTTTCTTCAATAATATCTCTATATAATTTAAGAAAAGTGTCATTTGCTTCAAAGATATTGTTTTGTATGGATTAGAAATTCTCAATTAAACTTAAAGTCTCACTTTTTACTCTTCCATTCATTAATTCCTCTTGCTGAACTATATTACAATTCTTAGATATTTAATTAAAGAAATCGAAGGAATTTTTTTCATCCATTTAAATTTATTGTATTAATTTTTGATATTCCTATAATATTAATTTCTTATTTTACTTAGGATTCTAAAAATTTTTCCCATTTTTATTTTTTAAAGTTATCTTGATCCTTACTTTTTAATTTTTTAACAATAATTTCAAGATAAATCATCTAATTTTTAGTAATCACATAGATTAATCGATAATACTTAGCATTTGCTAATTTAATTTTTGTTTGTAATTTAATAATTTCTTGAACAACAAAGTTGAAAAAGAAAGCAAGGTTTCTTTGAAATATAAAATAATTTTTCATTTTTAACATACGTTTTTTAATTTTTTTTTATTTGTAATCATTTTCGTATATATCATTATCATTAATTTCTAATGTTTTATTAATTTGAATATTCATAGGTGCTCATAAATTATAAATTTTGATCTTCAATCACTAAATTTTAATCAATATAAAGTTTATTAAGGCTGTTGGATTTGAAAATTTCGTCTGTATAAAAATACATATTCAATTTACCTTTTTCATTATAGATATTTTTCAAATCTTCTTAGATAATTTATTATCCTCTAATAATAGGATCATCAAAGACATCTTCCCAAGAAAATCTGTCTTTTTCTTCAATCTTTAACATATTAGTAATAAGTTCTTTGATTTTTTAAGATCATACAGGTTTAGGTGGAAATTACTATGGCTATATATAAATATAAAATAAAAAAAGACTTAATTTTTGATGTTTTCAAGCAGAAATTGTGCGTTTTCAGCAAACCAAGGGGTTTTTAGTAAAGAAGTTCATAAAGTATAATTCCAACTGACCAGACATCACATTTAGATGAGAAAGATTATTTTTCAAGAATTTATGGAGCCATCCATGTATAATGGTGATTCAGATCTTGATAGATAAGCAAGATCTAAACAAAATATTAATAAACATACCATTTAATTCTATATCCATGATATTTGCATAAGTAAAGCCAGCAATTTTAGCCACACCTTTATGTAAAAGAATGTTAGCAGGCTTAATGTTTCTGTGAATGATTTTTAACTTATACAATATCTTGAAGCCTTCTACAATATTTTTGATCAAAAAAACAGCTTCAAGCTTGTGAAATTAATTTAAAAAGTTTACTTCGCTAAATCTATACTCTTTCTTATAGCCATATAATAATTGAGATCTATATTAACACAATATTCAAGAACAATATACAAATAGTTATTTGTACGAGCTACATCAAATATCTTCACTATATTTGGATGATCGAGTTTTTAAAGGATAATTATTTCTCTTCTAATTTAAGCAACCATTCTTTGATTTTGAAGGATTGTCTATAATAAAATTTAATAGTTCCAAATTTACAGCTATTTTTATTGTTTTGATAGCCATTTGGAAAGTTTTGTCTTCTTGAAGATAACCTCTGTATACGATTGCTAAAGCTCCTTTGCCTAAAAATTTATTGATGAGCACATAATTGAAAATTTATATGGACAACCAAGTACCATCCATCATAATATAATAATTATGAAATTCAATATTTTAAATCAAATTAATATTGTATGAGTAAATGATTCGATCTTTTCATATAATAATCAAATGAATCAATAAGATTCATAAGATAGTTTATATTGTTTATATTTAAATCAAAAACTTATAACAACAAGTTTATGTTAAATCCTCTTAGTTTATCCAAATATATATTTTTATTATTTAAATATTAACAAATATTAGTATTGTATTTTTCTCAACTCTGCTATTAGTTTAACATCACTACCTGTATAATCTTTATATGACCTTAAAGGAAATGAGATTTAAAATTTAATGGAAACATTATGGATATCCAAAAGCATAATTTGCTGAAATCGGAGGATAGAGTGTAGCTCTATTTATAAAGAGTTATATTAATTTTTGGATAAGATTTTAAAGTTTATCTTATCAAAACGTATATTTCTGATTGGTAGATGTTCGTTATTCGGTAGAAAGAATAGTGAAAGTTGATGCAGTTTTATTATATCCTAATGATCCTCTTAAATGTCGATTGTTAAATAATTAAGAACTTTTTAGTTAATTTATTGAAGGATTATGATCTTGTTATTGATGCAATAACTCACAGTTGAATAGAGTAACCTAAAACTTTAATCAAAGAATTTATGCATGCCTTTTAAGAAGTAAATAAGAAAGTGCTTGCAATCATAAATTTACCTTTTAAATAGCATAAAGGCAAAGAAATGTTGTGTAATGTTTACATACCAAAATTTATTATCTCTTTGGGTAAAGAGAATTAAAAACTATAATGTGTAATATGTTATANTATTAACACAATATTCAAGAACAATATACAAATAGTTATTTGTACGAGCTACATCAAATATCTTCACTATATTTGGATGATCGAGTTTTTAAAGGATAATTATTTCTCTTCTAATTTAAGCAACCATTCTTTGATTTTGAAGGATTGTCTATAATAAAATTTAATAGTTCCAAATTTACAGCTATTTTTATTGTTTTGATAGCCATTTGGAAAGTTTTGTCTTCTTGAAGATAACCTCTGTATACGATTGCTAAAGCTCCTTTGCCTAAAAATTTATTGATGAGCACATAATTGAAAATTTATATGGACAACCAAGTACCATCCATCATAATATAATAATTATGAAATTCAATATTTTAAATCAAATTAATATTGTATGAGTAAATGATTCGATCTTTTCATATAATAATCAAATGAATCAATAAGATTCATAAGATAGTTTATATTGTTTATATTTAAATCAAAAACTTATAACAACAAGTTTATGTTAAATCCTCTTAGTTTATCCAAATATATATTTTTATTATTTAAATATTAACAAATATTAGTATTGTATTTTTCTCAACTCTGCTATTAGTTTAACATCACTACCTGTATAATCTTTATATGACCTTAAAGGAAATGAGATTTAAAATTTAATGGAAACATTATGGATATCCAAAAGCATAATTTGCTGAAATCGGAGGATAGAGTGTAGCTCTATTTATAAAGAGTTATATTAATTTTTGGATAAGATTTTAAAGTTTATCTTATCAAAACGTATATTTCTGATTGGTAGATGTTCGTTATTCGGTAGAAAGAATAGTGAAAGTTGATGCAGTTTTATTATATCCTAATGATCCTCTTAAATGTCGATTGTTAAATAATTAAGAACTTTTTAGTTAATTTATTGAAGGATTATGATCTTGTTATTGATGCAATAACTCACAGTTGAATAGAGTAACCTAAAACTTTAATCAAAGAATTTATGCATGCCTTTTAAGAAGTAAATAAGAAAGTGCTTGCAATCATAAATTTACCTTTTAAATAGCATAAAGGCAAAGAAATGTTGTGTAATGTTTACATACCAAAATTTATTATCTCTTTGGGTAAAGAGAATTAAAAACTATAATGTGTAATATGTTATAAGAGGTATATATACCTTAAGTAAACACTTTTAATTATGTTTTACCTAAATAGAAAATTGAAGGTTATTTTCATTTACTATAAAAGTGAATTTTATATAAATTAATTTTATCATGTTCTAAAAATTTGGATAGCAACTCAAACCTATAATAAATAGATCATCTTCTGAAAACAAAAAAGAATAATCAATAACTAAACCTAATTATCATTTCACATAAAAAAGAGAAAGAAGTGAATCTAAAGTACAATAATCTAAAGTTGAAGATTAAAATTAGAATAGCATAAAACCATAAACAAATCTTATTTAGAGTGTTCCAGCATAAAGATTGACAATTAAGTTACCAGATTTAAAAGGATATTAAAAATAGATGGAAAAATCGACATCAGGGGTTGATTTAACTAAGAAACCTCCTCTTTTAAAGAGTAGATTAATATTAGATTCAAAAACTAAACTATAATAATAAGGATAGCAGAGTTCATAAACATAAATTCTTCCTATAAAGAGTTAAAAAGAAGAGGTTTAGGGAAGCTAATAATAATAAACAAAAAATAAAATAAAAATAAATTATTATAGTTAATCAAGAGCAGGGTTTGATGGCATATAAGATAAAACAAATTAAGATAAAGAGCTTTGTTTATAATTGGATGATAATAATTATGCATTTTCAGTAATGGATGGTCATGGAATGGATGGTGAATATGTCAGTTCATTTATAAAAGAGTTGCTAAAATGTATAAAAATGTAATATATGTAGATAATATAACTAAATTTTATAAGGCATTTGATTTTCAGAAAGTATTCTTTGAAATACATCAAAAAATGAAGTTTTAATCAGAATTTGGATGTCAATTTTCAGGAAGTACATTGACTGTAGTTTTGATAAAAGAGAATATTATTTAATGTGGATGGGTAGGAGATAGTAGAGCCATTCTAGTTAAAAAGAATATTAATAATGGTTGTAATTTAAATGTAGTTGAATTATCCATGGATCATAAACCACATTTGGATAATGAAAGATTAAGAATAGAATAAAATGGAGGAGTTGTTGATACTTATCATTTACCAAATGGAGCACCTATAGGACCATCTAGAGTTTGGGCAAGAGGAGCTCAATTTCCTGGATTGGCTATGAGTAGAAGTTTAGGTGATACTGTTGCAGCTGCTATTGGAGTTTCATAAACTCCAGATATTAAATCTATCAATATTAACATTCAAGAAGATATTTTTATTGTTTTAGCATCAGATGGAATATGGGAATTCTTAGATAATTAATGTGTATATTCAGTTTAATAATCAAGATTGCTGAACTTGTGTATCCATTTTATCAGAAGAATGATCCTTAAGGAGCATGTTAGAAAATTATTTAAGAATCAGTTGCTGCATGGAAAGCTCATAGTGAAGGAATAGATGACATTACTGCAATTGTTATATTCTTTTAATATGAATTGTGATAATGTTAGAAATCATAATTTAGCATTTACTTCTCTCATTTTTTAGATATAATTGATTCCATTGTGAACTTATTGTTTATTTAATGAATTTTCCTTAGAAGCAAAGTTGTACATGTTCATATAAACATCGCCTTCTTTTGGAGCAATCAAGCTTTACAATGAATTATCACTCAATCCTTGTGCTTCAACTAAACATAAAGCATTTTATCTGATGATTGGATAGAGTTATTCTCTTGTATCTTACAAGGTTCTTATGTCTTGACTACTAAGTAAATTTTCTATTTTTTGAACAAATATATTTACTTAATAGTAATCCTTGCATATTATTCAATAACATAGTAATACCATAGATTCTAGCTAAAACTGTTAAAATTTGTTTGGTATCTTTAGCCTTATTGTTGATAGTATCTACAAAACAAAGCATGTTGAAGTAAGGAATGAATGTGGATGCAGCTTTAGCTAAAGCAATTCCAGATTTAGTATCCCAACTTTCTTTCATATCAGAATGTGACATCAATTTTTAGGCTGCATATTTAGTTAAGTTAGCACAATTCAATCCTAAAAGTGTAACCAAATTATCTAGAGAAGTGACATCATCTAGTTTAGCTGTTTCTAATTATAAAAATTTGAAAAATTCAGGGACTGCATTTGGTTTGGAAACAATGTGTTATAATTATTTGAGTAAGTATCTAGCTAATTGTAAATTTAAGATAGTATTTTCTCCTTCTAAAGTAATCTAAATACTATTTATAAATAAAATACATTAGGAGACATTTCAAAGAATATAACTGGTAATCCAGAATAATGAGCAAATCCATGTCCTCCACAACTTAATCGACACCATTCAGCACAATTTGCTACAAAATATGTATAATTAGCTTTGGCTCCACTTAATACAGCATGTGTCAATCCAAGCATACTGAAATCATTTTATTAAGAAATTCTATTGAAATTGTCATTTACTAATTCCTTGATTTTAACACTTCCAAAAACACAAGCATAGAATTCAGCCAATAATGGGAATAATTTCTATTATTAACATTAATAATCTAAAATTCTGATTTCTTATTTATTATCATCTTTAAATTATTTTCTATATAAAGAGTAACGAACAGCAATTGCTAAAGCTCTACCAGCAAACTTCGTATATTAATCACATAGAATATTTCTCATATACATCATACTTCCATATCCAACTTTTGGATTTCCTTATCTTTCAACTTTGCCATCTCTGCTAACTTTGATGTATCTATTTAATAAACTATCTAAAGGGGCTCTATAATGATCAAAACTCATGAATCCATTATCTTTAACTGCATAACCCATTTTTGGACCAATATCTCCAATCTCAATACCTGATAATGGTTTATGAGTGTCTTTGTCTCTAATTCTAATCCAAAATGGATGTACTCCATATCCTTTTCCATCAACTATCAATTGAGCAAATACTAAAGCAAATTCACAATACAATCCTAATTCTCCTGGCCAAACTATGTCTTAATAATTCATAAATACATTTTGTTGCCTCGATATTTGGAGTATGAATAACAAATTCACAAGTTTATTTATCAAAAACTGCTACTGTCTACAAATTCTACACATCAGAACCATGACCTAATTCTGTCTAAGCATAACATCCAAATGCATTCAAATTCTTTAGTAAGGTCATCCATTTTTATATCTATTCATCAGATGCCAAAACTTAGAAGGCAGGTATCACCATTGCAAAATGAACTGTTGATACAAATATACCTTAAAAACATAAGACATTAGGAGTGTAGTAACTTGGATCTGCCAATGAAAGTTACTTCAATGCTACAACTGTTCTTTCTGCGTTCAATAGGATCTTAATTATATTATAAAAAATAAACCTAATCCTATCTAGACAAATTGAAAAAATCGTGATTAGCTTTGAACATAGGATGATTATCAAAGAAGCTTTATCTCTCAATAAACTTATCAAACTACTCCTTTCCACCATAGATTAAGTGTGACATCTCCAATAAAGGGAATTATCCTTATTTTCTTTCAGCTTCTAACATTGTATTTTTTTATAATTAATTTTTTTATGATGCAATTTTTATTTAATTATTATAAATAATACGCACGTAAAATAAACATTACATATTTCAATAATATTCATCTTCTTCAACTTCATCAAACATTGAAATAGTTGGTTACTTCCAATTCTTTTTGGTTTCTTCATCGACTAAAGTATTAATTAAATGTATCATGAAGGCTTCAAGTTTATAATATAAAGGTTGTTGAAATCTAAGTTCATAATTCCATTCTTTCTAAAGTTATAAACTTAATATTACTTCATCTTTTTTTCCTAATGCAATAGGAGAATACTTTTCTGAAATTCTAGCAATTGCTTCCATAAATTCAATCCACTACATTTAAAATAATCGATCACTTTCCAATTCATCAACCTATGTCAACATAGATAAATTAAAAGCTAGATTGACATCTCTTTCAACAAAATTCTCATCATACAAATTGGCCCTATTACAAATGTCTTTAAGTTCATCTAAACACATAAATGGAGGTTAACCTGGTTTAACCTTTTTCTACGAATTTCTCATATAAACATAGTCAATAACCCATTTATATTTTTTACATACATCATCACATTATTCAACAAAGTATCGTTCAGCTCTCCATTTATGACAATCATATTAAGACATATGAGGCATGCATTAATCTAAAATCATTTTAGTTGCTTAAACTATATTGATTTAAGGATTGAATCTAACATATTTATCATCTGACAATCTAACTAAAAACTCCATCATTTAATATCTGACTAAAGATCTTTCAGGATTTCTATAATTGCCTTTCCAATCAATGGATGAAGCACTGCAAGTAGCAATAAATTTTAAATCTACATCAGCTAATTTTAATTATTTTCCATCTATCAATTAACATTGATTAATGAAATCAGAAGTTGGATTTACAGACATTGAAAATACATCCCCTGTAGGATTAACACTTGCATAAAATCTATAAGTTTCTCTCATTGGTTTATATGCTTACCATAACATTTCTTTGACTTGATCTTATTCTTCTTATTTCTTTACAAATTTTGATATCTTACAACAAGCCCAATCTCTTTCAAAGCATTTTCTAAGAAGCTCTTCAGTATCAAATTTGTATTTTGGAGCCCAAATTGATATTGGATAAGTCCAAATTCTTTTTTGTTTCTTTCTTTTTGCTGGAATATAAATTGGATCTTATGTTCTTGGTAAAACATCATAAGTAGGATACCAATCTTCTATTACTGGCTTTGATTTTTTAAAACTTTCTAAATTTGTTTCATCAATTAACACATTTACTATTTGATCTGCAATTGAAACTTTAGTTCTAAACTTTTCTATATGTTATTTAATTGGAGCAGTTTGGCTGGCTATTTATATTGAATTAGCAGTATAAAAATATTCTATATCTCCTGTTGGAATCATTCGATGTGTATTAAAATTACCATTTGAATCAGGTTTTCCTAAGAAGATTGGTTCAAAGCCTTCATAATCAAAATGAATAAATATTGGCTCTTCAGAACAAGCTCCACTTTAATCTATAATAATTTATTTATAATACTGGGAATCCACTCAAAAGTACTCATTTACCATTCATCACAAATCCAACAAACATCTTTTAATTTCTCAAAATGAGAAGTGTGTTCATATGGTTTTGGATTTGGAGATACTCCTTTAATTCTTTGATCTACATGAATAGAATTATAATTTTTCATATTGTTCTCAATAACTAGAAAGCCTTTTGAATCCACATAACCAAAATTACCCCTAAAATGGAATCCATAAATAGAATGATTAGATTTCAAAGCTTCAGAAATTTAAAGGCAATCTTAATATGTGAATCCATTTGCAGATAAATCTAAATGTTAAACTGTCTTATTTTCTATTATAAAGTCTTTAAGGGCTGTTATAATTACACTCCCAGCTCCAAGTAAATTATAAGAGAAATCCAGAACCTTGATATTTTTATTGGCCTAAAGAACCTTGAATATTTCAAGACCTCCAGATCCTTTAATAGAATTCCATCTTAAATATAATTCAAGCAGAGTATCATTCTATTCAATCATTTACTTAATTGCTTAATAAGAAGTATTAGTAATATTGTTCTTAGATATATTTAGCATCTCTACAGATGGATTCTTACTCATGGCTTTACACAAGTCTGAAATTAATGTATCCCCTAATTAATTATCTTCTAAATTGAGAATCTAGATCCTTGAGATTGCAATTCAAATTTACTTGCATGTCTACAATGGCAAACATTATAGAATTGGTTCAAGTCCTTTTTATCCTATGGAGTTAGTTTAAAACTCAATTGTTCTTGCTTATTTGCTGATTAGAGGAAACAACTACGATGCTCCATGTTCTTTGATTCTATTATGATTGAAATTGAAATCTTGGATAGCAGGTAAGGTTCTTAATCCTTCTGATAGTACTTCTACATATTTATCCCCAAATTTTTAGTTTTAAATGGAGATGGAATTCTTATCTCCTTTAAGTTTAATCAATCCCATTTTGCATGGTAAAATTTTCAACTTATCTGCTCTTTAAATTAGATTAGTTTATACAGAATCTAAACAATTAAATTGATTATGGTACTTGCAATATTCTCAAATTGATTCTATTCTAAAATTCGTTTTATATTTTTGAATGTATGATAGTAAGATTTGTAGGCTTCATCTCCAACAAGGTCTTTAGGCTTACGGTCTAGGTAAGGTTCTTCATGATTATTTGAAAGCGAGGCATATACATCTTTCTAAACAATAACCAATTCAGTTAACATCGCTAATCAAATCTCTCTCTTTCGCAGATTGTTGGATCTTATAATATTATCTGTTATAACGTTTAGGGACATTACTAGTGTGTTCATTTATTCCACTATGGTAAGGTGATTTTTCAAATCTAACTAAAGTAATTCTTGGTAAGGCTAATGATCTAATTGAATATTTATTCTAGGATAATAAAACTAATCTTCTACCGTTTTTTTTGGGGTTTCAGTTTCAAGTGTTGTTATTTAATGCATATTTCTAATATTTATTATTATTTTTATATACTGAATATTAATTATAATGTAATACAAAATATTTATATTAATCAATTGCCAATTTCAAATGTCTCTTTTTCACTATCATTTGTTTGGATTTATTTTGCAATGATTTCAGACTTTAATTGTTTTTTAAGAACAATTTCATCAAATTGTTCTTCTTCTTTAGATAATGTTAAAGTTCTTATTATTGATCTTTATTTAATTTTTTCAGTTTAAATTGTGAATGACCTAGAGACACATTAAAATTTTTGTTATTCAAGTGGTACAATACTACCACTTTTTCTTTGATTTAACTATTCAGGTGATGAATTTATAAATTACTCATATTATAAAGCCACTGGTCTCACATCAGGAAGCTTGATTTATGGTTATTTAGATTACTTATGAGATCCAAACTAAAAATGGTAGAATCTATTCAAGTTCTCGATCTTGTTTATCATAGAAAAAATCCTTTATTTTAAATCCATTTTCTGGATTCAAAGCAAATGATAAGTTTGAATTCTTAAAATTAATTAATAAATACTTACATCAACAATAATAATATCTTTTAAATCTCGACCTAATATATTTAAGTCTTTAGTTAGGCCACCTTTAATGATTGTACAACTTTCTCTAAATAATCTTTCCATGACTTTTTTTTCAGGATCAACAAAGTCCATTACAGGCATAGCATACTCTTTGAGACTTGCAGTCCATAAAACAACATCATAAAAAATGCTAAGTTCCTCAATAAATTCTTTAGCACCTGGACGAAGTAACACAAAAACTTTGAAATTTTATGATTAAACGACAATCTTATATAACAGAGAATTTGTACATCCAATTATAAATCACAATTATCCATTGGCTAAAATTAACTATGTACTAATGTTTCATCTAAATCCAATACAATAGTCTTCTTTTAACCTAACTTGAGTATAAATTGTTTATGAATACAATAAAGGATGATTTTGGAGTGTCAATTTCTGGATGATATTGATTTTATTGACCTTATTTCTTCTTTCTATTAAATATTTTCAAACATGCACATAATCGAGATAAGAGAGATCTTTGTTCTTGTTACTATTAGTAAATGATTTAATTGTTTGACATTATAATATATATTAAAATATATATATATATATAAATTTTATGAATGTTATCAATTTATAAACTCTGTCAACTATCTTCTAAACAGATGTCTGCTTTATATTCTTTTTTCAGAAGATTCAATATAATCATCACTGATCAATTTAACTTAGATTTATTTGTTGAAGGAGACTCTTTTAGGTGAAATAGCATTTGCCATTTAAGGAGAAGGAGTAGATTATAAAGGTTCAAGAATAGTATGCTTTTTGTTTCTGACTGGCAAAGGTTATTCCTCTACCAATTCAAAGAAATCTAAAACATCTGAATGTTGACTACTGTTCGAATTTTTTCTTTTCAATATACTTTTTGGTTGATTATTTTAGGTTGCCATATCTTCAAATTTAACTAATAGTCCTTTTTTTTAATTTTGTTATTCTTGGTTCAAAGAGAATTTCTTATTCTTTATGATAGATTGATATTATGATCGTGATGTCTGAGGTTCCTGAATTTATTCAATTATGCTATTCCTGCCAGACAATAAAGGATCTGCTGCTCTACTTGTATTAGGAATATTTTGAAGTGATCTAAATTATTGGTACATTTAGATTTCAGGTAGAAATTAAGTTTTAGGTTATTGTTGAAGATTTCTATCGAAAGATTTTAGGTCAGAATAATAGGGAGTCTTGTATAGCATATTAAATTAATTAAATAATTTTGTTTTCTCAACTCACATTAAGAATAGGATTAAAGTCATTTATAATAAATTGATGTTCTACTAATCTGTTTTCCATATTGTTAAATTTTGAGACCCTCTCTTTGTTGTAATTGAATTCATCATCAATCAATGTAGATAAAGTGACGAAAGCAAACTAATTTGACTGTGATCGTTGCTGTTTCCCAAACCATTAAGAACTCATTCTAAAAGTTGGTACTTAAGTAATTTAGGTTTATAAATTAACATCTTTAACTCTCTATTTTAACAATGGAGCTGATTGTTATTTTTATGATGTTCTTCTTGCAATGTTTGTTTTAGCATTGGTTATTACTTCATCGAATTTCAAAGGAGGTGAACTGTGTCTGGTCAGTTTTCTTGATACCTTTAAAACCGATCGCAGTCTAATATTTTGAGATTAAAATTAATGTATAGTCTTTTGAGGACTGAAATCTTATCTAACCTAAAATTGGATTGGACAAGGTTGTCTTAATAATGTTTTTATACGATTAGTTGCACATTCTCGAGATTTTATATAATTTTTTATCTTTTCTTATAGCATAAATTAATCTTTGTCTATATATTTTATATATAAATAATGTTTCATGAATATCTACAAGAGTTGGGTCCTTTGAAAAATTCAGAGCTTCCATTACAATTTCGAAATCAGTTCAAAATAAAAGAAAACTTTATCAATCCTAATAGTAAACATTTTGATTCTATTGCCTAAAAGTATATGCTTTTAATATGAAATTTTTTAGATTATTATCCTAGGAAAAATCAAGTATAAAACGAAAATGGGATAAATAATGTAAGATGATGTTCATTTGGATATTGGGCAAGTTTTTTTAATTGTAAAATAAGAAAACCATTAACCCAACTCAAGATGAATGGGGAAAATTATCAAATATTCTTAAAATAGATGAAGTTACACTAAAATAAAGGTGGATCACCCTTATAAACCCAGTTTCTAAGAGTATTAATTGGGAAACAGAAGAAGATGATATCATTCGATCACTAATGAAGTATTAGATATTCATATTTGTAATACAGCGATTCAGATGAAAAGCATATTTGGACATAAATTGCTTTAGAATTATATAATTAAAATAATGGATAATACATCAGAACTCCAAAGTAGGTTAGAGAACGATGGATGAATTATTTAAATCCAAAACTTAAAAAGTAAATATTGACAATAATAAAAATCAATAGAACTAATTGGAGCTAATAAGAAGATCTTCAATTATTGAACATGGTAGTTAAGAATGGGAAAAGATGGTCATTGATTTCTAGTCTTTTAGATGGAAGAACAGAAAATCAAGTGAAAAACCGGTATTGATTATTAAATATTCAAAAAGATTTAAGAGCCTAATCCAAAAAATATACAAAGATGAAGACAATGATGATATTGAAGAATTAGAAGCTATTAAGGAGTATTTGAATAAATAGAATGTGTTATAAATTTAGGAACCATAAAAAGAAGAGTCTCCTATTCGTATAACTTATTAAAGATAGGTTAAAACTAAAACAAATCAAAAATAATTAAATAAAATAGATGATATAGAAGTGCCTATAAAGAAACAGAAACCTAAAAAGAATACACCCTAGATAGATACTTAAGTGCCTGTTAAGTTATTAAAGGATTCAGTAATCAAATCAAAATTGTAGGATAATAAATAAAAATAAGAAGAGATTGTTTAGGATTTCTAAGTAGAACCACAATAACAATAATAACTTTAATTTGATCAATAATTAAAAATACAGTAGTCGATTTAATTATAATCCTTAAATGAAAATAACAAAAAAGACCTTTCTACTCCTAATACATTATATTATAATATTTAACCAACATTTTAAAAAATTGAGGAATAAAAAAATGATCAAATTGGATACAAATAAGTATAGTACTCTCCAATACAATAACCAAATTAATACTTATATTAAGGATTCCGTCCTTATTAAGAAGAAATTTAATAATAATTTTAATAAACTCCTGTTTAAATGTTTATGGGTTAGTATTTTAAGAATTACTAATAAAATTATAATCTTATTTCTCCTTTTCCATAACTCAATCAAACTCCTATGGTATATACCCCTGCTTAAGCTATGTATATGTATAATAATAACAATCCTTTTAATATGGGCATTTCACCTCTTTTGATTAGAAGTCCCTATCCAGAGAATTTATCTCCTAATATTGCTCCCTAATAGTAGCCTACTTAAGCTTTCTGGTAAACCCCTCAATATACTCCAACGGATTATTTATAGAATGAATAAAAAATGTCAATTGTAAGTTTAAAATAATTATTAATTTAGAACAAATTAGAATTTTTATAGTCTAATAACTTAGTTGATAAATGGAAATAAAAAAGAGTAAATGAAAAGTAGAATGCTTCTTTTATGGAATCCTTTTAATCACTTGATTAATGAATAAATTTTTTTTATTAAAGATTTATTTATCATTAAATAATATTAACATCATTTATAAATTCTGATCCATTTTTATGAATGTATGTTTTATAATATCGAGATCCCAGAGAAGGATTAATCTATAAATTAAGTAAAAGGATATTTTTTTAATTTTAGAGTAAAAAATCATCATTTTGTTGTTACTTTTCCATTTAAAGTTCTCTTAATAGATTATTTTTTTATTTTTATGTTTTAGTTTTGATATATTATTTTAAGTGGTTTATGTTCTTTTGAAAAATGTATCTTTATCTTCAATTTTAATTGAAATAATCTTTTAATATTAATCATCATAGAGAATTTAATTTAGATTTATATTGTGTTAGTAACTATTTCTTCTTATATAAATTGAACGGCATTTTCTAGTTTAATTAATCTATAATAGGGTTTTGATATTTTTCCTTATATTCTCTTAATAAAGAAAATTGTTTAAGAAAGTGAAAAGTTTAAATGATAATGTATGGTCTAAAATTTATTAATTAATTTATGTTGATAAATAAAAAAGATGATGTAAAGTTTTAAGTTTTTATAATAAATTCTTATTAATATATTATTATATTAATTAACTATCAATAATATAAAGATCCTGTTCTTTCTTAGACTGCTTTATTAGCTGCTAATTTGGGTGTTGAAAATCCTTTACTTGATACAAGAAATCTTTGATTTTTTTCCCAAAATGCTTCATCTTTTGGAAATTCTTCTTCATCATTTTCTTCTCCTTCCATTTTTAAAAGATCATCATCTATATCTTCAAAAACTCCCAACTATTCATTATTTTATTATTTAATATTTTTCAAAATAGTTTATTCTTCTTAAGATGGATTTTCAGGATTAACAAAATCTAAAATAATGGAACTTTATTTATCAAAAAAATAAAGTGAAATAGTGAATATGATACCAAATACTGAAACTCCACTATAAAAAAATCCAACAGTTGAATATCCTTCTTGTTTATTAGTTGCTTTTTCTACAATATATCCAGCTAGAATTGGAAATAATGCCATTGAAGTACTAGTAAACATTCCTAAGATTCCAAATGCAGTTCCAATAACTCTTTATTATACCACATATTAAACAGATGGTATTAAAACACAACAATAGAGAGAATATGACATTCCCAATGTTATTAAAGGAATTATTGAAAACCAATTAGGTTAATCATGATAACCTTATTTCATATATCCAAATAGGAAATGTGTAAATGAAAAAAAGATACATGTGACTAATATGAATAATCGTCTTTTGCCAACTTTATCTACATATGGCCCTAAAAATGGACTAGTGATAGCTATATATATTACATTAATACCAGCTGCTAGATATGTTAAGGTTAATATTCTTCCAGATTGAATATAACTAAATTCAAACTTTTCTTATAGAAAATCATTAGCATCATCTAAAAAAGGAACATATGATCCCATCGCAATAGTACATATCAAAATGAGAATCCAAAATGTACCATTAAGACTTTTTATATCTTTGAAAGATACTTTTTCAATTTATTCACTTTTTTCACTTACATTATCCTTGTAAACAAACAATAATTCTATTTATTTAATTGATATATGTTTACCTTTTTACTTCCTATCATTTTTTTTATCTAAAATACATAAAAGAACTCCACAAATGAATGAGAGAAAGCATAAAAATACACTAAAAAATAATGGATAAGTTAAGCCATTAAAATGATCATAAATAGTTGGAGTAACAAATGAATTTGCTGCTGATGCTATTTCAGGCATTGTCATAATATATCCAATAGCTGTTGATAATTCTTTTCCTCTAAACCATTTTCCTATCATAGCTGTTTAAGCAATTAAAAGACTTTCAGAAGCACTTCCAAAAAGAACTCTTCCTGCTAACATTATCCAGAAACTTTTAAATAAACCTCCAAATGCTATTATAGTCTAAGCTATCACTACTATTGCACTGAATCCCAATATAGCCACTCTTATACCTTATATAAATATCATTTATTTACCTAATACATCAATTATTACTCCTCCTATTAGAGTTAAGAATATGTTTGGAAATGAAAATGCTGTATACAAGAGATTATATTTTGAAATGCTAATATTTAAATCTTCTGTTAATTATCTCTAAAGAGCTTGAGGATTATCAAAAGAGTAATTATTTCCAAACATTAAGAGGCATGCTAAGATTAAAACCATATATTTAAGAGAAGACTTTTCTTAATGTCCTTCTTATTCTGGTTTTACTTACTCAGAATCTAGGGTGTTTTTATTTACATAATTTTCAACACTATCATTAACTTTCATTTTGTTTAACACTATTTTTATAGATTAGACCAAAAAGTAAATTATAAAAATTAATGACCATTAATTTATAATTTTCTTAATCATTAAATTATAAGAATCAAAAACAATAAAATTTACTTACACTTCATCTGTTCTTCCTTATTCTTTTACTTTATTTATCAATCCTATTCATGAATTTATTTAAAGTATCTTAATCATCTTTACTTATAAATGTAAATTCTTCATTCATTTCTTCAATTTATTCCAGAAAGAAATTTAGTTGTTGGAAATTGTCATGCTTTTCCAATTTATTATCATACTTTCTTTTACTTTCTAATTAAGATAATGTATTATAGGCCTCATTTATTTCTCTAAATTAACTTATTGCATGAGCTCTACAACTAACATTCTTATCCTAATAATAGATTAATTAAATATTATACTGGATGCCATTTTAAAGCTAATTTATGATAAGCTTCCTTTATTTAATGTTATTGAGCATTTCTTTCCAAACCTAAAGTTATATAGTGATTCTTCATAAATATTAATCTTTATCTGAATAACTAATTCTTCAGAATTAATCATTATGGAAATTCTAGAAAATAGTTAATAATAACTTATTATTGTATAATTAATAATCAATCTTCTGTAGGGTTGCCTAAGATTTAAAAGTTTTTTCCTCTAAAATCTCCTGCTTATCCTCTAAGTTTAACATATTCAGCAAAATCTCTTTAATTAGCAGAAAAAGCACCAATGATCTAGGATACTAATTATCTTTTCTATTCTCTAATAATTATTATAAAATTTAAATACCTTTTTTCTCTTGTTAATTAATAATTATAAGCTTTTTCTCTACATTCATTTCCTCTATCTTCACTCTATTTATTTTTGGCAGCCAATCTAGCATTATAATCACTTAAATCTCTTTTTTAATCTTAAATTCTGTTATCTAAACTGAGTATGGCAGCTGTCAATTAAGCAAGAGCATTATTCAAACTTGTTAAATCTTTATCAAAATTGCCTTTTTCCAACATAAACATATTCAATCTCTTTTGTTCTGCTTTAGTTTCCAAAGATTTGCTATCTTCAATTTATTTAAGCATCAAATCACATAAATTCACAATTCTATTAACTGTTGGTGAATTCTAAAAGTCTTCTGTTTATGCAGCATTCGCTATTTCAGCAAAAACATTAAACATTTTAGAATAACTCTTTTTTATTTCAAATTTCTCTATATAATTATACATCTGTTTTACTTGCTTATTCAGAAGCATTTATAAAGTAATCTCTAACCTTTTACCATTATGACTCGTTGTTCATTTATAGAAAACTTTAATTTTTATCAGAAAACATTCTTCTTACTGTCTCTATAACAAATGTTGCATAATCATGTTCTTCAACTTTTTTATCAAATTCGGCTTTCTCAGTTTCTCTCTTCTTTACTAAATCTGCTAATTTCTTTTCAGTTTCAACTTTCCATGCATTCTTGGCATCAGCTTAACCTTATTTATATGATCTTAATGGCTCTAATTCATCTAAAATTGATTAAATTTCAACTGTTCTTCTTTCCAAGTTTGCACTCTCTTATTGCAATACTTTAATATCTTCTGTGCATTAACTCTAATATTCATTATTTGCTTTATCATCTTCTTTTTATTCATTTTCTATTGATGTTTCTAAATTTCTCATTATTTCAATAAAACGACCAATTGGTTCACCTGTACTCATTTACATTTAAAGAGTATCAATTAATGTTCTACCAAATTCATCTTCATCAAATGCTCTGAATTGATCAAATTTATCAGCTATACTCAATGCAATTAAGCAAAATACCAAGAATTTCATTTATAAATTAATTAAAAACGAATAACTATTGTTTATTTTATTATCATCATTATAGATGATGACCATATCTTAAACTATTATATTATCATATAGATAAATTCCTTTATTTCAAATCTTTTATGTTATGAATATTAAATAATGCATTCAAAAAAATCTTTTAGTATAAGGTAGAGATTTGTTAGATATATGAAAAGGAATTGAGAATTCTAAATCCAATTCTCTAACAATAATATGATACAAGGAAGACCATTTTATTGATTATTAAATTGGTATGAATACATAAAATACTTAATTATTAAAATAGAACTATAAGTTCTTATAAACAATGTTATAAATAGAATCCAAGATTATGGACAATATATAACAATTTTATTAGATGAATTCAAAAAGATTTAAATTAAAAATATAACATATAATAGAAATAATGTTTAAACTATGAATTCAAAATTAGAAATAATCAATATGTAACATGATTTATTTTTAAATAAGGTCACTTATGACAACTTTTAATAACAATAAAATTTGATTTTACAATAAAACAATCAATCAATATATTAGAGATTCTGAAAACTATGTAAAGTAATTAAATAAATCCGCTTCTCTTTTAATAAGAAGCTAAATTTTGTAGAATAATAATTTTTTAAATATATCATGATTGGGTTGATGATAAATTTATTTTGAACTATTTGTCACAAAATTTATTTTTTGATTCTCCAATTAAAATTGATACTTCTTAAACTTGTAATTATCACAAATAGTCAGACTTTAAGTTTATAAAACATGAGAAATGATTTATTTTGAAAACTTAAACAGCTATAAAATAAGAATCAATGAAATAAGTATTTTGTCATCAAATTATCTAAGAATATCAGAGTAATAATTAGGATACTTAAAATAATTAATTTGTGCATCAAATTTAAAAAAATGTTGATAAATCAAAGGCTGTAGAAGCATAAGTAAATTAAAAAAATCCAATTAAAAAGTTTAAAATAGAGAGTTTTAAACAAGTAATAGTATGTTGAAATTTAATAAAATTTTGCGAAATACAAGTAGCAATTTGATTTAATGTAAAAGTAGATTTTAGATTACTATACTTCAATTAATGCAATAATAGAGGATCTTTAGAAAGAGAATAAATGTATATAAGGATAAAGAGAATAGGATTGAAATTGTATGATTAAATAAATTAGAATTTATGTTTAAAAGTTTGTGTGTATTTAGGATTAAAATGTAAATTAGGATACTTGTAAAAATTGTTAGTTATAATATTAAAATAACAATTAATTAAGGTGGAATTCTGAAAGTATATAATTGATAAGGAAATTTTAAGGAATTATTAAATAATGTTGTTAGATATCAAAATGATAAAAAAAAAGTTTAAAAAGATTGAATTTATTGAATGTGTAAATATAAATATATAAATAATTTTATTAGTAAGTATGAATAAAATGTGAGTTAAAATGAGAGTTAATAATAAACAAATTTTATTTATATATTTATCCGTTAATAATTAATCGAATGAATTCAAGCCTCAGATAACCATTATCACTACATAATTCAATTGATAAGAGAGAAAATAAACCTGAAACAAAGCAGGAAATGAAAGCATTCTCATTTATAAAACCAAGTGTATCTAATTGTCAACCATTATAAACATCTAATTCTTAATTACCTCCTTAATCTCCAATGACAATCACATAATAAGTTTCTAAATAATAGAAGCCAAATTGTTCTATTTAGGATTTGGAAACTTTTATAAAGGAAATAGATAGATTGTAATTAGAGAATTAAAAATTGAAAGAAAAGTCTTCTGAACCACAAATAATTGTATAATAGGATCCTAAATTAACAGTAGAAAATTAGGAACTTAAAGTAAGTATAATAATTGATGATTAGGATTAATTGGATTTCCATAGACATAAATGTGAATTATAGGAGAAAAGTCACAATGATGCAGTAAGATAAATAGATTTAAGTTGGAAATAAGATATAGCTAATTTAAAGTATTAGATGGAGTAATAGGAATCAAAACATAGATAAGCTTTAAGATTAGAATAGTAATAAGCAAAATAGGAGATTGCTAGACTTTAATAGAATCTATCTTAGATTTCAAATTCCGATAATAAGAATTAAGGTCTTGTTTAAGCTTTGGTAAGAAATATTAATTAATTTTAGGAAACATAATTAATAAATCTAAAGAAGAATAACAATATATTGGAGGAGAAATTGTCATATGCTATATAATAATTTGATTGTTAATCAAAAGATTAAGAATTTACATTATTGAAATAATAAGCTGTTATTGGTTCATAGGAATAACATGTTATAGAATTGAAGAATAAATTAACTTAGTCAAGAGAATAAAACTAATAAATTAATTAGTAATTGATTAAATACAAAGATGTGGCAGAATCTAAGACTAATAGTGAAAATCTTTTATAAAATAAATTGAAATTAATAGAAAGTGATTTTGAACACTTGTCATAAACTTATAATGAACATAAGGATTCTTTGTAATAAAAGATAAGTGAATTAACATCTATGTATGGAAGATCTCAAGAATAGATTAGTCTTATGTAATAGTAACAAATTAAAGAGTAGAATTAAATTAAGAAATTATAAACATCTTTAGAAAATTAAGAAAAGAATCATTAAAATGAAATTAATGATATTCACAAACAAAAACAAATGCTTATTCAATTCTTAGAATAAGAATTATTAGGTTACAAAGAATAGAATCAATAATTGAAATTGATGAATTAGAAATTAGAGACTTCTTACAAAGAAAATCAATAATCATATTAATCAAATTTTAGAGAATTAGAATGTAAGACTAATATGTTAGGAGATGAATGTACAAGACTTAATAATATAATTAAACAGAAAGATGAATAAGTTTTTAGACTTTAAGTATAATTGAAAGATTTGATGAATCTAAATGGAAAAAATCAATCTTAAGAATAAATTTTAGAAACTTTATAAATCAAGGAAGGAGAGATTAACATTCTAAAATAATAAAATGATAGTTTGATAAGTGATTTATCAAGGTAAGCAGAAAATTATAGAAATTTAGTATAATAGCACAAACAATTATAGAAATGCTCAGAAGAAGTAAAAATTAATAGTATCACAATCAATGAGTTTTAAAGTAAATGCGAATTGTAAGATAGGGAGATTGAAAGATTACGTTAAAAGGTCTTAGAGAAATCTTAATTATTGGAAAAAGTATAGAAGGAAAACTTGGAATACTAAGCCAAGTTAAAATCAAAGTTGAGATGATATTATTACTTTTATTTTGTTAAATAATATGAAATACATTTATAATTTAAGAAATAGATGCCTCACAAGGATATACAAGAACATATATATATATAATGTGGATAACGAACTAAAAATAACAAATTAAATTCAAAAAAAAGTAAATTTAAAATGTTAATTGAATAAGGAGAACCTAAGATTATAGTAGCTGTTCGTAAGAGACCATTGAATAAGAAGGAGATGAATAAGGGGGATGTTGATATAGTGGATGTTTAAAATTAATAAAGTTAAGTTATAGTGAAAGAATAGAGGTATTGATTATTTGATGATGAATTTAGAATGAAAGTAGATTTAACAAAATACATAGAGGAGCATTAATTTAATTTTGATGCTGCATTTGATGAAAACACAACAAATGAACAATTATATTTACAAATAGTGAGACCAATAGTTGAAGCAGCATTTAATAAGGCAAAAGTGACATGTTTTGCATATGGATAAACAGGATCTGGTAAGACATATACAATGCTTGGAGATTATTAAGAGAGAGTACCTGGTTTATATTTATTGGCAGCATATGACATTTTTTGTTTATTAAACAATGAATGTTATGGACATTTGTAAATATCTATATCTTTCTATGAAATATATTGTGGAAAATTGTTTGATTTATTAAATGAACGTACATTATTGCATGCAAGAGAGGATGCAAAAGGAAATGTGAATGTAGTAGGTTTATAAGAGAGAAAAGTATAATCTGTAGAATAATTGATGAAAGTAATAGAATAAGGTAGTGCTTCAAGAATTACAGCATCAAATTCATCTAATAATGATTCATCTAGATCGCATGCTATTTTATAGATAACATTAAAAGATGGTAATAAATGTCATGGCAAATTATCATTTATTGATTTAGCAGGTAGTGAAAGAGGTGCAGATGTAAGTGATACAAATAAATAAACTAGATTTGATGGAGCTGAAATTAATAAATCATTATTAGCATTAAAAGAATGTATAAGAGCATTAGATTTAAATAAAAATCATACTCCATTTAGAGGATCTAAATTAACATTAGTATTAAAGGATTCTTTTGTTGGTAATTGTAAAACTGTTATGATTGGTAATTTCTCACCTTCTAATTCATCATCTGAACATACTTTAAATACATTAAGATATGCAGATAGAGTTAAAGAATTAAAAAAACCTAATGATAAAGATTTAAAAGATTAAGTTACCTCTTTAGATAAACTTGCTAGAGAATTAATGTTACCAAGATAATAATAATAACCATCATTAAAAAAGTAAGTTTAAGTTTAATAATCTTTTAATCCATTTAAGAATAATCCATTATAAAATTATTAGAATTAAAATTTATTTTAATAATAACAATAATAATAACAATAACCCTAATTTTTAAATCTTCAAAATTCTATACCAGGAATGTTGATCCCATAATCATAATAATCAAATTAATATTCATTTTAAAATTATATATAACCTCCTCCACCTCAACCTTAACCAATGATTCCTTTATAATAATAATAACAACCATAATTTAAAATTAGCGAAACTAAGATTAAAAATTCATCTTAAAAGCCAATTCCAAATGAGCCTCGTCCTTATATGAATGAGAATTTATTTCCAGGACCAATTGAACGTAAATCAAGTATGAGTACTAAATTGATTTGTAGAAGTTAATTAATCGATGGAAGAAGATTTAATGAAAATTGGATAAAAACATGAATAGTTAATAAGTGTAATTTTAGAGGAAGAAGAAAATTTAATATCAAATCATCGATCCCATATAGATTAGATGGTTGAATTAGTTAAATAAGTAACATTTTAATTGAATGTAGGAAATGATGTTATTACACAATATTGATAAACCTGGTTCTGATGTAGATGAATATGTTAAAGGATTAGATTAAATATTATTAACAAAAATGGAGGAAATTTAAACGTAAATATATATATATATAATTTATAGTTTATAATTGTAATTGTAAACATTCAGATCACATTTATCAGAAGAAGAAACTCTATAAAAACAATTTTATTAACATAGATAATAAATGACATAACAAGAATCAGATGGTTCTGATATTTTTAAATGATAATTAGATAATTATTTATATAATTAATTATTATTGATTCATTGTTCAAAAAATGGATGTTTTAAAGCATCCTCAACTTTTATCCTTTTTTGAGGGTCTAGTTCTAATAATTAAGTAAGTAAATCTTCTGCTTTATCATCAAATCCTTCAACATGTATTACACTTCTCCAATTTATTGGTGTTTTAGCTACAACAGATGGCAGATTCAAATAATAACCTAATTTAATAATACTTAATAATTACCAAATTTATTACAAATCTTTGTAATTGCTTCAGCTCCAAAAAGAGAAGTTAATTCTAAGATAAAATTAACATAAAAAAGGTTTTTAGGAACTGCTGGTTTATGTACCATTCTCACATTACTGAATAAATTGTATTTTCTAGTTAGAAATTATAAGAATATAACTCCAACTGCCCAAATGTCTACTTCATAAGATTATTCTTAATAATGTAGTATTGATTCTAAAGGCATAAAACTTTCAGTTCCTATTTTATTATGTCCAATCTATGCAATTGTTTTCATAATATCATCATACAATTATTTTCTTCTTCTTATTTCTGGAGTATTACCACCATTCTCTACCATATTATTTACGAATGCTTTATCTATTTCTGATAATCCATAATCTATTAAAATGCCTTTCTTTATTTTTGGATTATATAAAAAATTGCCTGGTTTTACATCTCTATGATATATTCCATTCTATTTTAAAACTAATAAAGCTTTTAACAATTCTCGTAGATAATCTCTTATTTACTACATATTGAAAGTAGAAAAAAATGTAATAAATGGATCAAAACTAAAATACTCTGTCACTATATAGATCTTTTGATTTGTTAAAAACAAATTCACTAATTAAGGTAAGTTCTCTTTTCCTTATACTAACTTTAAAAATCCAATCTCAGCAAATATCAATTCTGGAGATACTGTTGAAAAATTCACTTTTATTGCATACTTTTTTGTCTTGTCTTCTTATCCATTATTGTATGCATATCTAAATTATTATTAAACATACCCTTTATAAACAACACCATATCCTCCTCTTCCTAACTCACGAACTACCTTGTAATTATTACGAAGATAAGCCTCCTCATCTATTAATAGATCAGGATAATATCGATCATTTGAATTTTGATTCAACTTACTCTATTTCTCACTTGTCTTTGCTTTTGTTTTTGCTTGTACTTATTATTTTTTCATTAATTTAATAACATAATACAATTTCTTATTATTAATATGATAATTTATATTATAATCAATGTCAATCATAAGAACAATCAATCAAACTTTAAAATACAACAGAATATATATAAAAACTTAATCAATATTTACCATTCAAATTATTCAGTTAAATTATAAAAAAAAAGAAATTTTTTAAGAGATTTATTTAATAAATGTTTAATATTTAAAATTGACATCAATTTTAATATCTCTAACATTTTCAACAATATTTGTAAATTCTACAATATATATTCTGATATTAAAATATTTATTTTTACCAATCTTTTTTTTTTTATATATTTGAAGATGCTTTGAGTTAATAGATAAATAATACAAAACTTAAGGAGATAATTCAACTTAAATTCTTATTTTACCATAACTAGTGAATTAATATTAAATCAAATTGAAATATATTTTAGAGCAAGTATTAAACTATCAAATTATTTAAAAATCTAGAAGGAACTATCAATCTATTTAAATATAATGTAAAAATAACATTCATTTTCTGCTGTAAAATATCACTATTTAAAAGAGAAAAGCCTTTCTTATTGAATTATAGGCTTAAATTATATTTAGCCAAGATTAAATTATTAATAACAATATTAAAATCTAAACTTAATATACTAAAACTTTATTTATCAAAATTGAAATATTTAAATTGTTAAAATAATAATAACTGTTCTTTAATTATCTCATTTTATTTTTATTGAATAAGATCCTAATTTTTAAGTATTTAAAGACTTAAAAATATCTAAGAATAAATATTTTTGGCTCTCTTAAAATACCTTATATGTAATATAGAATTGTTGAATGTAAAATTATATTTAAGATACTGTAAATGTTATTACTAAACATTTAAACTCCACTACTTATCCTAATAATTATTTTTTAAATTGAGGTTCTATACATCAAAGAATTGATTACCATAAAACTTATTAATGGATTGATTGATGAAATATACTTGATTATTACTTTATATACTAAGTGAATCAAACTAATATTAAAAAAAGAGTATTCAGAAATTAAAGGAGAATTTATTAATACAAAAATTAAAGGATTTAAAAAATAATTGTTGATCAATTCAATATATTTGATTTTTAATTACATTTTCATTTAGAATTAATATAATTATTCATCATTTCAGATAATTTCTATTTTTTAATTAGTTTTTTAGCTTGTGTATATTCTTTATTGAGTTGTTATAATATTGAATTAATAAATTTTTAAATAGTATCTTCAAATTTTACAATCCATGGTTCTTTTTCTCCCTTATTGTTATTAATATATTTCTACACCAAAGTAGAAGCCATAACTCCATCAATTAAGAAACTGACTGGATACTCTTTATTTGGCTATTATTTTTCTGTAGTCAAGGGTTTAGAATAAAATTAAAAGTTTTTTTCTAATTCCTATAACTTTAAATCGTTTTGAATGGGAACATTCTTTTCTATCCATTTTATAATTAATTCATGAATAATAGATGTTATTATTGTTGAATTCTATTATATTCTTAATAATTATTAATGATTATCTTATGATTGATCAGGATGTTATTCCCAAGCTCTAAAAATAAAATTAAATGTAATTTATTTTAGAACAATAAATATCATCAAAATCATTTTTTAACAATTCTCATTCATTTCTCCTAAACTACCAAATTAAGTAGTTGGAATTCTTAAAATTTCAAATTTACTATATGCTTTTTAAGGTGGAAACTAATATGATTAAATAATATTATTCATTATCATTGCTAATTGTCCAACAATAATTTCTTCAACTTTAAAATCTTTTATTAAATTAGTTGATAACATATCTAGTAATGCACTTATTTTTTTTTTACTTTACGTATTCTATTTATCCTACCCAATTTACACAGTTAAAGAATCAGTTGTATTTACCAATTCCAATACAAAATCATAAATTGCATCAAATATATTATCTTACATCATTTCACTGACTTCTTTTTAGTTATTTTAGTATTTCTTTTATTATTCTTCTTTGTTTTTTTAAATTTAATTTTTCATTGTTTTAATATAATTCTAACCAAACCACAACATATTTTTAACTCTTCTTACAACTTTCTTAAATTTTATAATACAAGGTTTTTTATAATTTCCAACTTCTCTTTTTTGATTCTTATCTTCTTTGAGTTTTTTAGCTAGTCTTCTTTTTTTCTTCTCATTTTATTTCTCAATTTATTACTCATCCTAAGATTTCTCTTCCACTTTATTTTGTTTATCTTAATTTGAAATATCTTCTTTATTTTATTAATGTCTAGTAGTTTGAAATTTAATCTTTTCTAATTAAATTTCCTTATCCAAAGACTCTAATTTTCTTTTAGCAAAATTTTCTTTATTTTTAATAATTCTAAACTATTATTCATTAGATAAATATATTTTAGGGATTTCCGCTTATTCAAAATAATCAAATTCTGGTGGTTTATAAATAGGTTCAGGTATTTTCTTTTTTACAATTACTCTTTATGGTTTAGGTGGTTCTTTAGGTAATCCAAAATCTGATAAATCAAATGCTAATCTAATTTAACTTTAAGGTTAATGAACCATCAATCCTAAATTATAATTTATTGGTAAAGGATCTATAATCTAAGATTAAATATATGGTAATTTTTAATTAGTAGAATATGCTGGAATAAAATTACTTTAATAGCCGTAATTCAATGAACTTAAATAAGGATTAAAGTCTTAATTATAATTAAATTATTATTATTATTATTATTGTTATTATTAGTAATTAACTCCATATAATTATGCATACAGATATCTTTCATTTTAATTCAAAGGCAACTGATTAATCAAAGGAAATATACTAGAGTTGTTATGATGTAATTAATTCATTATAAATATTAATATAATTTAAAAGTTAAAATTTAAATGTCACTTTGATTTATTTAATAGAACATATTTTAATTATAGTGTCTATAAATAAATAACATTTTTATACTAAAATCCTCTTAATAATTTACAATTTAGAGTTAATTCTAATTAATTTTCATTAATTAAATGATTAGATTTATTTCTGTTCGAATTAAACCCTAACAAGATTAAAATAACCTTGATATTCTTGTTGACAATAATATATCTTAATAGTACTTTATTGCTGATTAAAATTTGATGATTGAAGCTGAATTTGGAAATACAATAATATAAGAAATCATATTACGTATATTTTTCATAATTTAAAATTAAGATCTATCTCCAATTCCTGAAAAAGATATCCTTTACAAATGTTTCAATTTAAATGAACTAAATCATGAATATAAGATAATTAGTGGAAAATTAATTAAAATAAGAACTGAACCAAATTATATTGTTTATGAAGCATAAATTAGATCAGAAGTGGTATTTATTATTCATTTATTGTATAAGCCATACACAAGATTGACATTAACTATACAGAATAATTTTTAAGGCTATTTTTAAATTTATTACTTTGGTGTTAGAGGAAAAAATATAGAGGAAGATTAAATGCAATAAGAATATCAAGAATCAATTGAAAAAAAAAATGTTAAGGTAATATTAAAACCAGGTAGAAAATCTGAAAATTTTAATAATAAAATTGTAGATAATGCTAATATGACTCCAAAAGAATTTTTTAATCGGATTAAAAATAAGATTCCAATTAGTAATAGAGAAAGAGAGCCATAAAATATTAATTTTTTAAATTAAGATGATGATTAAATGAAAATTGAACAACCTAAAATAGATGAATAAAATATTAATTAATTTAATAGAAAATAATATGAGGAATCAAAAGCCAAAGATTATCCAGATGGTCGAAAATATATAACACTTTAAGATGATGATGAAAATTCTGTTCAATTTATTGAAGAAAAAGTTAAATAATAATAAATTTAATAATAAATAAACAAAAATAATCACTTTTCTTAATAGAAATGTTGCTTTTCAGATTCTAAACCTTATTCAAATAATAAAATACATACTAAATAGTTAAGTATTACTAAATTCACTTCATAATAAAAATAAAGTGTCAATCCAAATTCTAAAACAGAATATAATGTGTTTTAAAATATGACTAAATATACAGCTTCTGAAATTGATTAAGAATTTCTTCAATTTCATAAAGCAAGTATTTATTAATCATAATATTATTAGTTGAAGAAAGTAGAAACGTTCCTGCTAAATATAGATTAATACATAAATTAAATACATAGTAATACTGATTCTTATTTTTTTATTAATATATATCAGAAATCATCTTTTTTTATTCAAAATTTTTCTATTGAAAATTGATAATCTAATTTTTTCCAATTCCTCTAAATTTAATTTATCAATATCCCCAAAGTTAATTGATATTTATAATTTTTTTTATCATATACAATCAAAGTTGGTACATATAATTTATATTTCTAAATGAAAATTTATTGACTAGTATAGTATAGTATTAGAAGAACCCATATTTGTTTATTATGATTAATTGTTTTCATCTATTTAATAAAACATCTCTATAAATTTAATTTTTCTATCAATCATTGTAATTCTATAGTTAATTTACTCTTCAAATTTCAATGCTCATAATAAATAGCATTTGTTATAATTTTATTGATAAAAAAACAAACATTCATAATTTATGTTGTTTTAAAAGTTAAATAGAATCAGTATTGACATTGTATTTCTAAAAATCAATCATTCAATACATAACTCAAATATATTAGAATGATTTTAAAATAATTGGATTCTTTTTTTTCAATCTTTAATGAATATTGATGGAAAGTAAGATATATTAATTATCAAAATTTATATTTCAAATAGAAGTTATATTAGTAACTAAATTTGAATTGCTATTTCTATAAGTCTATTTATAATATGATCCATTAATTAACTTAAAAGATCTGAGAATCTATTAAGTATATCAAAAATAGTAACAGAATATTGTTCTTTATTTAAAAGCTTTGTAGATTCATCTGATTTATTTTTATAAACATCATTAAAGCTAAATGATCAGGATCATCTTGAATTTTTGCTAAATTGATGGAACGATTGATTTGATTTCAATAATTAAATAAAATGAAAACAAAAACATATTTTTATTTGAGTTATCATAAAATTCAACCTATTAATTTGTTTATAAAAAAAATTTAAATTCATGGAAGAAGAAGAAACTCAAATTATGTAATTAAGAGATTCAGATTCTGAAGATGATCTAATTCCTTAATTTAAAATTATGTCATTAAGAGATGGAATACATAAAAAGGTTTAATTGCTTACTAATCATAGTAATAATAAATCACATTTTAGAAAATAATAACAAAATCTTATTGAATAGAAAAATGTGACTAACTATTATTAATAAGTTAATTCCTTACTTTATGATTTAAGAAAACAATATTTAGAAAAAGTGGAGAAAGAAAAAAATTAGATTGTAGAAGAATGAATTTAATATTAAATCTTAAAATTATATATTAAATGAACTATATTTTCTAGATTGCTATATATCTAAATATCTGAAGGATATAAAATTAATATTAATAAAAAAATCAAAAATTAACTACACCTAAAAAAATAGTGCGATTTTCTAAGTTTAAAAATATATCAAAACCCTCCCTAAAAAAAAAGCACTTTAAATAATTTATCAAAATTACTAGATTAATTTTAGGAGCTAATACTGTATAATATCTGGAATAAAGGCTGTATAGGATTGATTAGTTATGAATATTGGATTGATTAACCATTTGAAATTAAAAAGATACTATTAAATCTTTGTGTAGATGGCTGTAATATTGAAATAGGCTTCAATAAATGAAATTAAATTGAATTTGTCAAATTTTCATTATTTAAAAGAACATTGGAAGTTATTAGATAACAATAAACCATATAATAACATAAAAAATAATAAATATATATATTATCAACTATAGAATCATTTTAAATAAGATAATTTGCATAAAAATAAAGAATTTATCTACTTAACTTTTGATAGCAATAATTTGCAAATTGCTATTTAAATATTTGAGTGAAAATATCATAAGAACGATTGTAGGGAATAGAGATCATTTTAAAGAAAAAATTATCAACTCATTAAAATAAACTGAGAATGAAACTATCAGAATACGTGAAGGAAAATAATAATTTAATAGAATTTTATTAAAAGAGAGAAGCTAAAAAAAGATTTAAGGAATTTAATCAATAATTAATAAAGCAATATATCTAACAGATAACAAGATCGTTTTTAATTTTCATTTATTAAGATAAAGAAATTTATTTAAAAAATATGTTTTTGATGAATAAAATCGTTTTGAATTACTATTAAATAAATAAGATTTAAGATAATATTTATAATCTTGTATTTAAGGTTCATTGTATAGGTTGTAGAAAATGAATCAATATAGAATATATAAAAATGATTATAGATAAATCAGTCAGATGTTATTAATTTTATAAAATTTTTGAATATCTGAATGAAATTCTCGGATCAATTTCTATGGTTATTCATGTATTAATTTTCTTATATTTGTCAAATGATTTCCAATAGTATGGAAAGTAATTTGTTCTCTTTAATAATAAAAAAATAAATACTTTTTAAGAATTTTGGTTAATAGATGGAATCCTGCAAAATAAAGTTTATTAATAACACTGATAACAGAATCTTCTTAATTAATAAGTTAATTTAATTTATTGTCTTTGAGACTAACTAAAACAAAGGTTGTAATATTAATAAGTGTAATACTAAAAGGGATTTTAATATCTTAAAAGATTTTAAGTGTTTGTTTAATATAAATTTTATATTCTGATATGAAAGCAAGCATTTATAGTAATGCAAGTATTCCAGCACCTCTTAGATCAGTAGCTGGATCAGTTCCTTAGAATCCAATCAATTCCCAATGTGTACCATATCTAAGACAATAATCAGTGGTCATTAATTGACAATAGATAGTATAAAGTATTCTAAAATGAGACTCATTATTATCATCAAATGACAATTAAGACATTAAACAGACCTTATTTAGAATTATAGTACTTAGTTTTTTTCTTAGATAAGTCTACTACTTTTTAAATGTATACTGAAACATCCAAATAGTTTATCTAAAAATGATGTCTTTTTTTAGATAAATTAAATCTAATCTTTTACATCTTAAGAACCCTTCAATAAATCCCAAGCTTCAATGAAACTAATCTATTTAATCTCATTTTTTTTCTTTTCTAAATCAATCATTCTCTCTTTATTAGCTTGTTCGAATTCTTATTCAATTTTACCAATACTTCTTTCTGACAATCTAAAAACTTTTTTATCTGGACTTTCTTCACCTTTATCAACAGGAACTTTTTCATTTTCTTCATCACTAGATTAACATTGTTATTTAATTGGTGTTAAATTGTTTTGATTATTCTATAATGCTATACTTTTAGCTTTATCTTTGAGATTATTTACTAAAGGTCCTTTTCTTTAATTGATATTAGTTCCTTTCTTATTTAATTTTTAATTTATTTTTTATCTAGCTTATTCAATATGGTCATTTGATTATTAAAAGTGTTATTTATTATCAATATCAAAGTCATCATCATCTTTAGCTTAAGCAGCTGATACACCAGCCCATTCTGCTACTTCTCCCATTTCATCTTCATTATCAATAATATTTTAGATATTTCTCTTTTTTTAAATGGCTCTTTAATCGACATTCATTTTTAATAAATAATGAATTAATAAATCAAAGAACCACTTAATCCATCTGTTTGCGAAGTCTTTCAAAAATTGCTTTCTGATATATTCATTAAAAAGATATGGAAGGTATTCATTTTATATTTATATCATTATTTAGGAATTTAGAGAATCAGGTAACTTATCTGAAGGTAAAATGACTAAATCTAACTTCACTAAAGAAATGCTCAAATAACTTAAATTACATGTTAAAAGTAGAGAATATAGTTACATCTCTTCATAATTCTTTTTAATTTTAGCACCAGAAGAATTTACAAGATATTAAAATAAAATGAAAAATGATTTTGAAGCTATCGTTGAAAGATCATGTGCTGAATCATATAGATTTGATCATGATACTTAATTGGTTAGAGAACCTGCTTAAAGAAGAGATAATTAATCTGAAAAACACTAACCACCTGATTAAGCATTTGAAAATTGGTTTAAGTAGAATTATGATTAATAATTTCTTAAATGGTTTGGAACTAATTATAATTCAGATAAAAAAAAAATGAAGATATCAGCATTGGATAGTTTATTTGAAAGATGGTTTAGATCAAATAATGTATAACCAATATTTGAGAAAACATAATAAGAGAAATCTTAATAAGAGAAAACATATTTTGAAATATGGGTTGGTAAGAAATTCGAAACATTATTTGAAAAATTATTTGAAAGTAATTTGAAATATAAAATATAATATTAGGATTCTAATTAGAATTTGATGATAAAATAGAAATATAAGATTTAGTTTTATCTCTTGGAGTATTAGCAAGAATGGAATTAGAAAAGAAATTAGAATTAATATTTGATCTTAGTGATGTTGATGAAGATGGATGTTTATCTATAGATGATATATAATAAATGATAAAAAGAATAGAAAAGAATTTTACAAGAGAAACATCTTTAATAACAAGTGATTCATAAGCATTATAAAATGAATTAGCATTTAAGAGAGCTATGAGAAAGTTTTCATGGGCTACTATTAAAATGGATAAATAAATTGAAATAAAAAATGATGAATTAGGTTTGATTGAAGGTAAGAAATTTTTAGATTCTCTTAAATAAAATAAAATGCTTTTTGAGACATTTCTTCCTGGATAATTATTATTATATGATGTATTAATGACAGATTAAGGAGAAAAGGAATTTTAAATATAAGATATAGATAATAAAATTTTAGATGATAATTAATAGTTTTTTAAATAAGAGGTAAGAAGAGATGAATCTAAAAAGGAAGATATTAAAAAAGAAGAATCAGGTGGTTAATTTGATTTGTTTAGAAAAGAAATACATGCTTAATTAAGAAATAATTATAAAGATAAGTAAATATATATTATTATAATTAGATTATCTAAATAATACTTATAAGAACATAAAGGTTAAGTACGTTATCCAGGTAAAATGGAAGTTGTTTAAGTTGGGAATTAAGCTAAAAGAGTTCCTAAATTAGAAAAATTTGAAGAAAAAAAGGAAGCGAAAAAAGAAAAAGAGGATACATAATAAAATTAATAAAAATAAAACAATATTGAATCTCATGGTATAAATGATTTAAATTAAATATAGAAAAAAGATTAAAAGATATGAGAGAATAAAGATAATAATGGAATATAGAAAGTATATTAAAAGATTACAAAGCAGTTTGAAGTATGATATAATTGTTATATATAAATAAATATCTCTATAAAATTTGAAAGATGATATTATATTAAGAAAAACAGAAATGGATTGAATATAATAAAATAATTAAAGAGAATATATATTAAAGATTAAATAAATAAAAGTAGATAGGAAATAAGATTAGAATTTTAGAAAAATTAAGAAATTTAAATAAATATGATTAAATATGGATATTAAATATATATATAAATTTTAAATTGATATGTAAATTTCAATGCGTGCAGTTGTTTTAGAAGGTCCAGGTTAAGAAGCTGTAATGAAAGAAATTCCAATTCCTACTCCATAATCAGGATAAGTGTTAATAAAGGTAGACTCAGCTCCAATAAATCCATCTGATATAGCATTTTTACATGGAGCATATTCTAGTAATAAACAATTTCCATGTGTTCCTGGATTTGAAGGTTCTGGGACTGTAATTGCAAATGGGTATAATTAATAGTAATATTTAAGTGGAGGAATAATGGGATGGAGATTGGTAGGGAAAAGAGTAGCATTTTATTCACAATCTTAATTTGGATCATATGGAGAATATAGTATAGCAGATGCTATGGGTTGTTTAGAATTAGATAATGATATTACTTTATAAGAAGCTAGTTGTTCTTTTGTTAATCCATTAACTGTAATTTCTATGTTAGAAGTTGCTAAAGATCATAAAACATAAGCTGTTGTTCATACTGCAGCTGCTTCTTAATTAGGTAGAATGATGATAAGACACTTCTAAGCTAATGGTGTTAGAGTTATTAATATTATTAGAAGAGATGCTTAAGTAGATATGCTAAAAAAAGAAGGAGCTGATATTATATTAAATTAATCAGATTCTGATTTCTTAGATAAATTAAAAAATGTTACTTAAACTTTACGGTATTATTTTATTTATTTATTTTTTAGTGCAACAGTCTTTTTTGATGCTCTAGGAGGAGAATTAACTGGATAAATATTAGAAGCTATGCCTAATCATTCAATTTGCTATGTTTATGGAGGATTAAGTCTTAAACCTGTTGGAAATGTTTCCATTTTAGATTTAATTTTTAAAGATAAAAAAGTTCAAGGATTCTGGTTAACATAATATTTAAAAAAAAAAAATATTGTTAGTTAAGCTCTTTTATTGAATTAATTAAAAGGATTACTCAAAACTAATCTTAAAACTATTGTTGCCAAAACTGTTGATGTTTCAGATTTTAAAGAAGGTTTAGAATTTTATAAAAAAAATATGAGTGAAGGTAAAGTTTTAATTAGATACGACCAAAAGCAATCATAATAATAATAATTATAATAATAATGAATTTATATTATATCATAATTCAATTTATTATTTATTCTTAAATCATTATTGTACTTCTAAAATCAAATCTTTATTTTATAGCTAACTATTTTATATTATAAAAATATTAATTCTAATAAAGAATTAAACTTAAATCAAATTACTATTACTTAATAACTCAAATCAAATTGCCTTTCAAATAACTAGATAAATTAATCCATTTTATTAATTTAATTTTTTATCTCAAAACTATTTCAATTTAAGAAGAAATTCTATTTTTTATTAGAAAATATAGAGGTCTATGGTTAATAATAAAATTAATTAAGACTCCCTTAGATAATCTTTACAACTTTTCTTATAACATTTCTACATTTATTAATAGTTTTAAATCATTGAATTTTTTTACTTTAAAAATTCATAATCTGTTTAAGTAATTGATATTGTTCTTAATAAACAAAATTTATATTAGATATTAGTACTCATAATGATCATTTTATCAAATTTATATGTTAATTAGAAAATTTTAAAGAGATTTTAAAATATAAATATAAGATTTATTTATCTGACATTAGAGTATTATCTATAAATTTAAAAGACTATTTATAGTACTAACTTGATCAGTCAATATACTTTTAAAGGATTTTTCGTAAAATTTATATTTTAAAATATATTTCTAATGACATAAATAATTGAATAAGGGTTGAAGATTTACGAAAGTTTACTTGAATATTATTTTCCAATTCCTATAATTTATCATTTATTTTTTAATTACGAAATGGATTTTATAATAATAATCAGAAGTCATCAGAATATTAAATACATTTAACTCGCTAATACCTATTGTAATTAAAATATTAATTCTTTAAATGTTAACTTCATTTGAAGACTTATACTTTGAAGAAAACACAACATCAAAATACTGTTATTTTGAGACTGATAATTTTCTTCCAATAAAAGACTACAACGAATCCATAGAATAATTTGGAATGTTGATAGAAGCTTAAATAGATGATGTTATTATCAATTAAAATGATACACCAGAAAATGAGCCTCAATCAACATTCTAAGAAAATATTCATTTACAAAACAATTTTTGTTTACCAATTAAAAAAAAAATGTATAGATTCCCTAGAGAATCAAAAAACTATTTCAAAAATATTGGGCCAAAGCTCAGAAAATTCATTATGTAAAATTTCTCTTAAACACATGAATTAATTAATCATCCTTTAATTGTAGAATTTTTAAAAGTTAAAAATTAAAGCCACACCAAGTTGCATATTAAACAACTTTGTAAATCAAGTTAAGGCCTTGCTATAGCAAAAACTTTCTTTAAAAACTTTAGATGGGCCAAATCTCTTGTTAATGATGATCTCAGAAGCTATTTTCGACTGAATAGCGAATGGAATAATTGATTTATATTAAAAATAAATAATTTATCAATTATTCAATTATTTAATGAATAAAAAATATCAGATTTCTAAAATTTGTCAATGTATAATCACATTTCTATCATTAAATAATCAGATTTAAAAATCTTAAAAATTAACAGAAAAATTTTTACAAAATGAATTTAAACTTTAAAGTGTAATTAACCCAGAACTACTTACTTATAATTAGAATTCAGCTATTTATATTATAAATAATATCAAAGTTAAATCTGAAAGAAATGAATTATTATTTTATCTTAAAAAACAGATTAATAAAGATGGTGTTGAAAAAGAATAATATTTCTATTATAAAATAGAATATGATTTAAATTTTAATCCTGAATATCAAATGTATAAAGGTGAAATGAATAATTAATAGCCACATGGATATTGTATAAAATATTCTAGTAAATCAAAAGAAATATAATATGATGGAAAATGGTATTTTGGTTAAAAAATTGAACAAGAAAATATTGATAAATAATATGTTTAAAATACAAATTTATCAAAAAAAATAATAATTTAAGAAAATGGAGTAATAATACGTAGCACATAAATAAAAAAATAAAATCATTCAATAACAAGTTGGATAAAGTTTAATTAGTAAATTTCACCAAAAGACTTGCAGATTTTAGAAAATAAAAATACATATTTTACATGTAGTATAATTGATTCTTATGCATTATATTTAACAATGAAAAATGAAGAAGAATTTTTTAATAGCAATTTAAAAAATAAATTTAAGAGATAATTGTTTTTACCTAGTTATTTGTTTACGAATATGTGGCAAAATGAGGCTTAATTCAATAAGCAGATATTTTAAAATTATTTTCTTGAATTTTAATATGTAGATTATTAAATTATTGGTATTTATCAATAAATATATTTTGCAATAAATCAATAATTTCATTGGTATTTGGTTAAAATAAAGAAGAAATATAATAGTATGAATCTCACTTATAAAGTAGAGATTTTTGACTCAATTAAGCATCATTATACTTATTATTAAAGAATGATTTAAATCTTATATAATTTATTTAACATTTAGGAAGATTAACAGAAAGAAAATATTGAATTTAACTATAGATATATATAAAATAATTAATATGATTGTGGACCTTATGCTTGTTTAAATATGAAACTAGAATTCTTCCCAAAGATTTCAAAATCAAAGTTATAAGATGATTATTTAATTGTTGATTAAATGAAAAAAGAATTATTTTATTTATTGTAAAATAAATGATATTATATATATAATAAAATAAAAAAATGGAAGATAAGCAAGCGGCTATGATAATTTTTCTAATTTTAGTTGTGATGTTGGCATTGATAGTCAGTGTGAAATTATTCAATTTTTTCAGAGATTTTGATAATCAAACTCAATTAGAATAGAATTCTTTCAGAAATTTAATTTTGAATATATTAGAAAAGACAATACTACTATCTTAATTTCCATATGAAAAGATGAAGATTGCTTTTGATGAAATATCATATCAGATTAATTCTTAATATGTTGGGTATAGGTTTTAGTTCGATTATAAAGGAAATTGGAAATTTTGTAAATATAAATAAGAGAAGGATTAAATTACTATTTTTGAAAACAATAGTAACAAAGAATACAAAAAATAAGGACTGGATTAATAGTTTGAGTTCTTCTCTAACATAGAAATTGTAAATGATAAAAATTACTTTTATAATTAACCAATATCTCAATAATAAATAAATAATGGAGATATTAGTGTTTTAAATATCTATATACTACATTTGAATCAAAATAATTTAAAAGCCTATTTAAGTAACAATAGTCTTGAAAAAATTTCCATATTATTTTTACCTTCATTTATTTTAGATGATTGGAGAAAGTAACCAACAACAATCGAAGAAAGATTCTAAAAATTCTTATTTTATTTTGAACCCATTCAATATAGAGTAGATATTTTATATAAAAGACTATTTTTTATTTGGTAAAATCAAAAAGATACACATATTATTTTAGTAGAAATCAATTTTGATTAGAATTCCATTATTATACATAATACTTTCAAAGATAATTAAAATTAAAATTATTTAGAGCTGTGCAGATAATTAAATTTTTTAAAAATTTCATCTGAAATTTACCCTTCCATATGTCCTCTTTGTAGAGGAAAAAAATTAAAATCTGAAACATATGAAGCATGCTTTTTAGCTTATACTTACAATTAGAGAAATTTGGAAAATTCATTTGAAAAATAATCAGATCTTTAATAATATATCAAAGATAAATTACTCAAATTATGATTTACAAAATTATTTCTTTATTGTTTGAAATATTGAACATCAATAATTTTATACATAAATTTAATCATAATTAATTTCATTAAATTATGAAAGATTTATAATCTCTTCAAATAATATATCGTATTATTTTTTTTAGATTAATATATTCTTAATTAAATATATAAAAATGAGGTGATGTTATTATTATTTCTATTTCTTATGTTTACTATAAATAAGCATTATTTAAAAGAATATGGATTTTATACATTTAATAAATAATTATTTATAGTTAAACAATATAATAATTATAATAATTAATATCTAAATATGAAACAGATGAAATCTTTCAAGTTTGTGCCATTTATCCCACTTGATGTATAAATTTAGAATCTTGAAGTATTTTCCATAAAATTATATTATTTTAGAAAAAGATCATTGAAGAAAAAAATATAAAAAAAATATGTTTTAAAGAGTTTTAAAATCAATATAGAATAGATCATCTTTTGAAAGTCTAATCTAATCTCAGATAAATTAATAGCATTCGATAAGTAAAATTTTCTAGTACTGTACTTTCAATTGAGCATTTTGCTTTATTAGCATAATGGCTTAAATAATTATAATGCAACGATTTTATCATTAAATTAAATAACAATAAATTGGATAATATTGAAATCAAAGATTTCTTATATACAATAGTAACAGGTGATATTTAAATAAAAAAAGTATAATTTTTATTAATAAAAAGATTTTAATAACTAATAATCCAGGAATCTTTAAAGAATCTCTAATATCTGATTTAAAATAACTCATTAGAAAATAAAATGCAAATAATTATTAATATGAATATGGATTAATATAAAACAAAGAATATTTATCAATTGGAATTATAAGGTAAAATTTTAATGAACCTTAAGAATAAAGAGATATGAAATAAAAGAAGATATTAAAAAAAATAAGTAAGCTTAATTTTTTTTCATTCTCTTTCAATTAAACATTTACTTAAGTAAATTTTAGAGCTTTAGAACATCTAATTAATCTTAATTTTAATGAAAATGGAATTGATTAAATATCTAAATTATCAATATCTTCAAGTTTGATTGTTAATTCTGCTATAATGTGTGAATAAATGTCAACATCAAAAGGATTATTAAAATTAGGAATGTAATCTTAATAGATACTTAATTACTCAGTTCCAATTGAGAATTTAATGGGAAATAGATATCATAAATTTAGGGTAAATGAATTAGATATTGAAAAAAATCAATCAATACTTGAGAAAACATTTAAAATACTTTCAGACAATATATTTTTGCATTGTAAAAAAATTAAATTTAGCTCATCTTTACCTTAATAACTAAGTACTCTTTATAAAATGTTTGTGATGACAGAGTCATTTTAATAATTTTCAAATTAATTAATTTAACAATCTATAAAACAAGGAAAAATATTAAAGCAAAATTTAAAAGTATTAGATTTATCATTCCTTGAAAATTATAATAGACATGACTTAATTGCAAAATTTTTATAAGCTTTAGTATTTACAGAAACATCTAATTTAAAAAAATTAAGTAATTTAAATTTATTAATTTTAGCCATTTAAAATGTAGATATTGGAAGAACTTAAGCATATATTTAATCATTAATTAGATTTAGAGAATATATTTAATAATAATAATAAAAATATCCTTTTTATGAAAATTTCAAATTACCTTTGAAATCAATTAGATTACCAAATTAAACTTATAGAATGGAAATTGCCACTATGAAATAGTTTTTTTAAGAATTTTTTTTTACAAGAGTTGGAGATATGTTAGAAATTGAGGAATTTATTATGGAAAAATGTTTTAAATAATCTAATAGAGAGGAAGGATTAAAAGAAAATTGTGCTGAAATATTTTAATTATTGTAAGCAAATCCTGATATAAGATATTCAATTAAAAGGATTAGATTTATAGAATCAACTTATTAATTTGATAGTGTAACATATAGATGTTTATTTTTAAATAATTGTTTTAATGTTGAAGAATTAATGATAAAAAAGGATTCAATTGCAGGAGAATTTATTTAATTCATAAATGAAACAGAATAATTTTTTATTCATTAACCTTTAGAGTATAAACTGCCATTATAGATAATAATTTTGGATGAAATAGAAGATATAGTCTTTAATATTAGTGATTTATTACAATTTTTTGTTTTTCATGATCGAATGAAAATTAAAAAATTAGTTTTAAAATCGATTTAATTATTATATTCTTAATATTCAATTTCTACTTTAGAAAATGTCATAAATTCTAAAGATAAAAATTAGATATTATCTTTAGAGGAATTTGAGTTTTCTAATTTAACAGATGATGTTGGAGTTTTATAATTTTTTAAATATGTTGTATTTGGTTGGAATATAAGATTAAAGAAATTGAAATTTGGTTAATTAGATTTTTCAGCTTGTGTGTTATTTTTATAATAATATATAGAAGAATAAAAAAAGTAAAATTTAAGCCATTCATTTGAAAATTTGAATAAACTTAAAATATCAAATGTTTAATTTGAAGATGCAATTTCATGGGAGTTTTTTTTTTAATAATTTATTTTTTATTCATAAACTAATTTGAAAAAATTAAGAATTTGTTAACAAAAGTTGAATGAATCATTTTATTAGGGAATTTGTTAAAGTTTTGAAAATTCTGGAGAAATAATTAAGTTAGAATTAAAAGACTTAAAATATGAAAAATGTGAAATAATTGTGGATGTATTGACAGCATTTTTATATACAAGTTCTTTGAATCATTTATAATTTGTTTAATGTACTAATATAGATCAAGGTTTGAAAATGAGTATGGATAAATATCATCAATCAAATGTTAAATAATATAATAATTTTTAATTAGAACAATTTTCACTTTAAGAAAGTAAAGTAGAAGATACTAAATTATTTAAATGGTTAATAAAAGAGATTGCTTTAAATTTATAAAATTAAAGATTAAGAAAATTAAACCTTTCTAATGGTAATCTTACAAATGAACATCTTAGAATACTAGAAGAATAGATTGAATTAATTAAAGAAATAAATCATAAACAAAAAAACTCATTTTAACTTTATAAAATCAAAATTGATGAAAATCAATCTATATCAGAAAAAACATGGATGGATTTCTTTAATGTTTTAATGAAAAGTAAAACAGTTACTGAAGATAAATTACGAACAAATACAAATACTTAATTATAAAAAAGTAAAAATAAAAAATAGAAAATTAATTAAGACAAATAAACATAAGATTCTATGAATAAACTTAAAATGTAGAATTAGTAAGATAGAGAAATTAAAGAAAAAATTGATGTTTAATAAAAAAATATAATTGAATCTACATTATACTTAAATGATTTAAATCTTAAGTAAAAGATAGTCAACAATTATCACATTTTCACTCCCAATTTTCCTAAATAATTAAAATAATTAAATCTAAATATGAGTTTTTCTGATTTGGATAAAAATGATAAAAATTAAATATATGAAAGATTAATATCTGGATTAATTATGCATCCAGAAAATCAATTAACTGATTTGACATTAATAAATTTGAATTTAATATTGTTTATGGAAAAATGCGAATAATTTTTAATATATTCTAATATTTATTAAAATTAATGCATAAAAAATGAAGATAATAAATGGTAAAGTAAATTAGAAAGTTTATCATTAAAAAATCTTGCCTCTTAAAATTAAAAAAGTACAGAATTATTTGTTAATACATTTATTTGTTCTTAATCTGTGAATTTATAAAAGTTACTATTAGAGAACTTTAATGATAATTTGCTAGTAAGCTTAATGAATTAAATTGATAAAAAATAGGATTATAAAATCACTGAATTAACACTTCTTTGTAATTATGAATCAATAGATGAACGATGTTTAACTTCTTTTGTTAATGATATTATTTATTGTTAAAGATTTCCGTTGTAGAAAATAGAATTATTTGGAATTGGAGTATAATAAAGCAATAAATAGTAGAGTAGTTCTTTGAATAAATAGTTAAAAAACTTTTAATAAAATTAATAGAAATTGAAATAGATTTCATTAAAATCAATAACAATATAATTAATTGATGAATAATAGGAAAAAACTTTTATACCAATTTTTGGACATCTATTATCATAATAAGATAGTAAATTAGAAGTAATAAAAATATAAACAAAATAAGAAAATTTATCTTTGAATTTTTTTTAATAATTAACAAATGAATTGTAAGGAATTGAATAGTTGAATTTAAAAGAAATTAATGTATAAGGTAAAATATTATTTGATGAAGTGTTTGTATAATTTTTAGGGAAATGTATAGTAAGTTTAGAAATATTATCAATTAATAATGTAGATTTTCAATTTTCATAGAAATTATAGAATAGTTTAAATAAATTAAAGAGAAAGGAGAAGAAATCAAAATTTTAAATTGAAGTAAAAAAAGTTGAAACTGGGGTTGAACATTTTTTTGAATGTTTTACATTTAATAAAAATATAAAGGCTACAAATATAATTTTGAGTCATCCTTAGAATTTTAGTTCACTTAGATTTGAGAATATGAGTCCTTTTATAAAATCAATAAAATTAGATATGGGATTACTTTATAGTTCAACAGTTAGGTTAAATAGAGATAGTTTAACATTATTAAGTTAAAGATTTATTTATAATGAATAAAGTCATGTCGAAGAAATGTTATTATATTAATGTTAATTAAAAAGAGAGGAAATTGAAGCATTTTGTTTACCAGCAGGATAATTTAGAGAATAAATGATATAATAATAAAAATAAGGAACTTGTTAATTGAGATTAAAATAATTTTCGATTTATTATTCATTATATATAGGTGAATAAGGTTGTGAAATAATATCAAAAGATTTAATATTTTTTGAATATATTGATATTGAGAGAATAGATTTCTTAGTTACTAATTTTAATGATTAGATGTGTGATCATTTTACTTAAGCAGCTAAAGATTGGTTGATATTTTAATAATAACACGATCGTAAAAATAAAAGTGGTTATCCATTAAAATATTTAGATATTGGTAGAAATGAATTTGTACAATCTAAAGCAACATGGACTAATCTACTTTAAACTTTAATATTTACAGATAAAGCATAAGAATTAGAGACTTTAAATATATAATTTATGGGTTTTAATGATGAAATTATATCATATTTAGTTGAATAAGCTTTATCATTTTTAGATAAAAAACCTAATGATTATGTCTTACCAATTAAAAAAATTAATTTCTCTTAAAATAATGCTTTAACTCATAAAGGTTGGTAAAATTTATTTGATAATTTCTTTTTACATAAAAAAGTTAATCTTATTGAATTAAATATGATTAGTACTATGTTGGATACTTAAATTAAACTTAATACAATTTAAGAGTGCATTAAAAAAAGAGCATTATAAGAACCCAATTAAAAATTATAACTATAAGTTTTTTTATGTTATAATGTTTCTCTTAAAAATGCTATTGAACCTTATCTTTAAATTCCTATCAAAGATTATCCTAAACCTAAAAATCTTCCTGTTGATATTGATTATGAAAGTTGGAAATATGGTATATTTGATGGAATTCCTGAAGAATTTGGATCTATAATTATGTTGGTTAATACTCTAATTTAAAAAAGAAATGAATTTATTGAAACAAATAAATGGAAATAATTTGAAGATATAAGATTTCCTAATTATCATCTTAATTTTCATCAACATTATTTAGCAATCCTTAATTCTTATTTATTTTAACTCAAAAATAGATAACCAAGTTTTTATTTAAATTTATCTACTCTTGATGTTATGTGTTAATTCTTTAATTATACAACATATATAAGAGCAACACCATATCCTTATAGATTACTCTTTTCAGAAGAATCTTTATAATATTTATCTGAATAATAAATTAAAATTAAAAAATTAAAATTAATTTAAATACCATTTGCAAAATTAGAATAATTATCTTAATTAGATGTTTTATAAATTTGGTAACAAATTAGATAATTGAATATTCAAATTTAAAAAATAGAAATGGAATACTATCTAAATGATGAATTAATAGAAGAAATATTTAGATAAGGCTATAATGAATCTGATTTATTAGATCTTATTACTTTAATACCTCCTGCTAAAATCAGAATTGAAAATACCTTATCTCTTAATACACTTAAAGGATTCTACAATATATTATAAAATTAGTATTATTTCTCATCATCAATTATTAAATATTCATTTAATGATTGGGTTAATACAGGATTAGCTTATTAAATAAGAGAATGTGCATACAATTATGTACCTAAGACCTCTTTTTAGTCAAAAATTAAAATTATAGCATATAAACTTAGTAATTGGTTAGTACTTCCTTAATAATCTTATAATTATTCTAATGATCATTAAGAATTGTAATAATATTTAAAAATTAATAGTAGAACAACATTGTTTGTTTCTATAATTAACTTATTCTATTTTATTTTAGTCATATTATTGCCATTTTAAATAATATCTACTTATTTTGAAGAACTATCATTCAATTCTAATTACTTTATAACTTGTTTATTAATCATACTTTTTTCAACTATTTCTGAACTTTATCTAGTTTATGATATTTAAAAGAACAAACTAAAATCCAATAATTAAATAATTTACAATTAAATCTAATTATTACCAAAATTAATTTTTTCAAAATGTATCCCTTTTTTTAATTCTATTTCATTTTTAATGTATTACAAATACGACTCATTGATCATTTAAATTATTTTTATGATCATCTATTAATTTTACTATCTTTAACACCTATTTATCAATTTTACTCTAATATATTAGTATTTTAAACATTAAAACATTTCTTTATAGGAATTATATCATCTTTGCAGAATAGGCAATTTTATAGAAATTTAAAACATTTTGGATAAAATTTTACCTTTTAATTCTACTGTTATCATTAAAACCAAATTGACAAAGATATTCTTACCTAATAGCATATGGGGAAAAGCTATACATAATAAGATTTATTATAATTTTAGAGACTTTATTATAAGAGATTTACCTTTTTTTATATTAAATGTCTTCTTTATAACTTAATAATTATATTTTTAAAAGAATATTATCACATTATTATAGCAATTAGCTTAATTAGGATAACTTTTATAGATATCTATTTCATTTAAAAAGTAAATATTATATTTTATTTATTAATTAGTTTTATTTCTTATCGACCATCATTAGTAACTCAAGATGATTTTGATGAAATATGTAAAATAAATCATAAAAATTATAATAAAACAAAATTGAAGTTATTATAAAAAGAGAAAAAACAATTAGATTTATATGCAAATATCTTCAATGAAAGTGAATTTAAAAATAAGAAAAAGAAATGAAATTTATATTAAAAAATATATAGAAATATAAATATCAATCATAAAATGTTTATATTCGAGAATTGGGTTTTTATTTCAATTAGGATTTTTAAAATTGTTTAAAATGTAATAATTATTATATTATAAATTAATTAACAAGAATAAGTAATTATTCTATTGAATTTAAACTTTGTAAACTGATTGAAATGGAAATGATATTAAATTTATTATAATTATCATAATATATTTTTTATAATTTTTTATGTGTAAAGAATTTAGTCAAAAAATTAATAAACAATCAGTATTAATGAAGAATTAGGTGAACTATAATAAATCTGATTTTTTATTCTTAAGTCACTACTTTTTGATAGTTATAAGAATATTATTCTTATTTCTAAAGCATCTTATTTATTCAGAGATATTTTGATATCATAAAATGAATTCATAAAAATGCTTTTCATAGATACCAATTCACAATACATAAGATTTAATTAAGTTGTTTATCGAATATTTACTTGTTTGAACATCTAAGTAAGTTATAATTCTAATATTGCTAAAATTATATATTTGATTTTAGATATATACTCTATTCTATTATAAAAGGGTTTTTAATTTAGAAGGAGTAAAAATAAGAATATTAAAAGATGATTTAATGATGTTAATTTTGAAAATGATATTTTTTAATTAAATTTAAAAATATTTAATAATAAAGTTGAATTATTGATTCAGTTGTGTAAAGACATAAATAAAGCAATATTATGAATAATAATTTATAATACAATGTAAAAATATATATATTTAATCAAACAAAGTTAATTAATTAGCTTAGATCATGATTTCCATCAATCCAGGGATGATTGAGTACTTATTCAATAGTATATCTATCTTCAGGATTAGGTGATATCATATTTTGAAATAATTCTTAAAATAGAATGTCATTATATTTTGTATTTCTATTAACAATTTTCCAAAAATAATTCCATTTTTATTCAAATATCAATTACCAATAAGGACATTTTGAAGATGCCTGAGAGAATGGAGGAAATCCATAATAGAGAATAAAGATTAGAATAG